TTAGTATCAACAAACCAAAGAACCTGTCAAACGAATTTAAACTCTCCGAAAAGAAATTGAATATGAATATTTTTGGATGACAAGCCCCGTCCGGGCTTTAATTTACGTCTTCTTTCAGACCTTTTCAATGCAAATGAAAAATTTCAATTGCGAAAAACTTATCACTTCCCCTCTGTTAGAAATAGTCTCGATAACAACTGACTCGTTTCGGCTGTACTCAAATTGTGCACGCGAATAAGAGGTTACGTGTCTGAATATCAAACGAATTCTTGTTATGTCAGTAGTTCGTGAAGCACCGACTTAGAGCGAAAATTATAGCTAAAAATATTGTATTTGTTTTCTGGATGAGCTGAATTAGCGCGAACATTGCTGATTAGCGGTAACGTGGGAGCGAGTGAGTTAAAGATACAAATTTTTATTTGTATCTTTGTCAGTAGTTTAACTTGAGGACCTCGGAAGGTGACAATTCCAAGCGAACATAAAGTAGGACTTTTTCTATTATCAGAAATAGATGCTTGAATCTTACAACTGATAGCTTGTAATCATAACATTGGCGTTGTTCCATTTGTTTCCCTAACTTTGTCTAAGATTGTTCACCTACCAAATCAAATACAGTGTTAATATTCAGAAGAGTATTGCAATTCCCTGGCGCCGGGTTTTCTTTTGACCTCAAATCAACCAGGTGGATAACAGAAACTAAACAAAGAGACCACAGCACGGGCAAGACTTGATGGAGCATGTATGGGAAAAAACGTTACGTTTGAAATTTGACGAACAGTTCGCTTACGAATTTACGAAAGCCTCTTAACACTATTCCGAAAACAATTATTTTTTTCAGGATTAAAAACCAGTTTTTAATCCTGTTCTCTGTGGTAAAAACCAAACATGATTAAGCAGTGTTTAAGTTCGATAAAGTAGACACTTGTTCCCCGAGAAAGCGAAAGGGGACGCTTGCACAATATCAGTCACCAGATAAGCGTACCATACTGCTTATCATTCGAACTGAAAAATCGTGTTCGGACAGAAGTAATTTTCCTCGAAACACAGATAACATGATGATTACCAGTTTCATCAATGAATTTTAAAAATGGAGCCTAGTGGATCAAACCTTGTCCAGGCTGGTCAATGCCACTTCCGGCTCTTATTCGAGGAGTGCTGTAAACAGGAAGTTGAAAAGGGAAGGGGGGGGGAGGGGTAGTAGGTAGTCACTACTATATTATGCTACAAAGAAATACGGAGCCTGAAAAAGTAAGATCGACTAGGATCGACCAGTTATTTTATTTCTCACTGAATGGTCTTTTCGTCTTGCAAGTGACCTCATGCGACCGGTAGTCTTTAAAAGGATTTTTATTCTCTTTGGGCGAATTTACGACTTGATATTCAAACAGTGGTCTTAAATGAAATTCGATAAAAGGTGAAATGAAAGGGTATCTTGAGCTGTGATAAAGATGTCTTCGAAAGATGACTGAATAAGGTGAAACTGCTGGGTCAGGTCTAGATATAGTTTTCGGTGTGAAAATAGGGTGAAAATAAAGTGAAGAGGGACGAATACTACAGCAGAAAATTCTGTGGTGTGTTCCCCCCGTTTTGAGTCGAATGGAATGACAAAACAACTTCATCACTTCATCAGCTGATTATTATTTCGAAGAAAATGTGTTCAGGAAGCGCTTAATTCCCTGGGAAACTCACGCAACTCAAAATTGGCATGTTTCCAATTTAAATAATCAGGAAACCATAGTGATGAAACAGCAAATTATATTTAAGGACGCGTCGATCAGTAGTTTTATCAGTTTATCAGGTGAGCAGCCAAGGAGAGAACGTTTTCTTTCGAGGAACTTCCGCCTAGATCAGTAAAGGTTTTGGAGTCCGCTCTTATTCACAGCGATATCAGTAAATCGTATAGCAAGTATGGAAGGTAAGTCCTCAGGATGTTAGATTTTCAGTACGATTCATTGTTTCAGTTCTTCACTTCGCATTGAATTTTGAAGATGTGAAGATGTAAATTCTCCAATGTATTTCGCAACTGTCTTTCCTAGAAATGAAGCGATCTCGTGTTCGAAGAATTTGACATGATTCGTGAATGTTTGTGATGTATTTGAAATTGTCACCATGCCGCAACTGTCTCGATTCAGTTGTTTTCATTTTGTGCAAGCGAATTATTAGCCGTATCTAAAGGATAAGTTTTATATAGCAGTTCACAAACATTTCAGCGAATTTGACAGTGTAGTTTCGTTGTATTCCGCTAAGTTCAGTAAAGGAGACACTAGTAATGAGCGACTAATGTCTTATGGTAAGTGTGCGTGAATTATTCAGTTAATATCTTCCGATTGCTCAATTATAAGTCCAGTCAGAAACTGCGTTGGAAACCCTAGAATAATTCGTATCGCTTTTTATAGTCGTCTTTAGGAATCTCCTGCTATACAAGGCTGTCACAGAAATAATTTGTTGTTCACTGTTTTCCATCACTTACATATCCATGCATCATACAGTTTTCGATTACCCTGCAAAGACCTTCAGTCAAGGCTTGTTTTCGTGTGCTGCGAAAAAAACATCAAAGACGAGTAAAAACGATAAGTAAAGTTGGGGGATCCACGAACTTTCCTGTAAAATACATATATATTTTTTCGTTCTTTCTCAAATTTACCTTGATGTGAAATTTACCTCAGTTGATGTGAATTTATAATTCGGGTTTATCTAACAAACATGAAGAAAATACTGACAGCCAGATATCGATTTATTGAGTTTCACTAGAATTTACTAAATCTACATTATAGACCGACAATATAGGGAAAGTGATTGCTTTATTCTGTAACTCATAGAAACAATTCTTGGGAACTTTTAGTTAATCCACCAGCAAAGGATGTTCTCAATATATTTCTAACTGTTATTAAGCAGAAACGTTCTTTCCAACTAAGGGAAAAATACAGCGCTTCACTCCACTTTAAGTGAAAGAGCACGAGGGCCTCCTGAAAGACACTCCAGATGTTAGCAGAAAAACAAAAATACAATAAGTAAATAAAGTTTTGCGTGAACTTGAATATGCCATCACCTACAATCAGTGTCACGCGCAGCAAAATTTAGAAGGTCAACGGGCAAAAAAATTGAAGAAGATGGGTCACACTGGCTGTATCATTAGTGAAAATCGATTTTGGTTTTGAGCTGATCAAGAAAAAAGGATTGACTGCATAATGAACCTTTACATTGTTAAATATGTATTCATTGAAATTAGATACACAAGAATATGAAGAGCTGACTTCACAACTATTTCTCTACAAAATTATTACCCATATGTTATTATTTGACCAATGATCACTAACTTCCCCCCATGCCCGCTAATTAAAGTCTAAACAGTCCTAGCATTTGTATTTTTATTCTATAAGCGAAAGTAATTTGTGGCTAACATTTTCCTTACCCTGGAGATTATAAACTATTATCTTGCTTCACCCTAATATTATATGCTTTTAACGCACAATAATTTGTGTGAATTAAGACGTGGGATAACTTGTTGTTCGCTGTTTTCTATCACCTAAATATTCATGCATCATGCAACTGAGAACATACGCGCCATGGTTAATTCTCACCCATCCCTCCCCCCCTCTCTTTTTCCCCCTTCCCTCTTTCCCCCCTCCTCCCCGTCTGCATATGTCTGCGGGCCTTACTCTGAGCCCTAAATCCTAAGCCCTAGACCTAAGAAAACATTACGCTCTAAGAGTGAAACTCTGTGAGTGAACCTCTAGGAGCGACCCTCGGGGAGTGAACCTCTGGGAGTGTTCGGCGCTAAAAAGCTATGTACATCATGCAGAAATTTCACTGAAATAGCTTGTCTATTAGTAATAAATGCTAGTGTTCTTTGGTATCTTATCTCCACATGTAGATGTTGAGAAGCCACTATGCTTTGAAGTGCAACGAGTTCTTGCGTTGATCTCAGATTTTTTACAATCAGATAAACAACTTTAACCATGGCTAAAAATTTTTAATACGTCTCACCCTCTAAATCCTTGTTTAAAACGCTTGAAATAAAGACTTGTTTGAGTCCTGTGAACTTAAGAGATGAATACAAAACTGTATGAACCGTAAAAAACATCTGATTAATTGCTCCGAAAAGAGCTGGAAAAAGAACAAAAATTACAGCTTTTGCTGTCAACAAATTTATAAGGTCAGTACAAATTAAAAACTCACCTATTCTAGCAAATGTTGTTTGTGAATTTTAATTCTAACCTCAAATATAAACGGCTCTTGAACCACAAGTTGTGCTGTTTGTCTTACAGTAACACGGCTTAATAATAAAATCTAAATAATGACCCAAAAAAGTCAAACTACGGAGTTAAAAAAAAAACATACATCAATCAGCATTATCAAAACAGAATTACCACTTCACGCTAAGGAAAGTGCTTCCATGTATTTCAGTGGAGAAATGTTATGATCACTTTACCATGTCCAGCAGTATTATAACAACATTCATTTTGCTGATTTGTTCCGTTGTTGAAAGAACCTCCCCCTCCCCCACAGGAAATATCTTTATTCGCACCTCCATTTCCCCCAGAGTACCCTCCACCTCCCCCAGGTAACTCTTTAGCTGCACGATACCCACCCCCACCTCCGAACCCACCCCGATGTGCTCCCCCCTCTCCCCCGGCTAGAAATCCTTTACCTCCCTTTCCCCCTCCGCCAGAACCCTCTGAGTCTTCTCCATTACTGCAAAAGCCGCCACCACCACCACCTACAATCAAGAGATTTACAGTTGACATTAGCTACTGAAAAGATCATGGCTTTTAGTAATTCTGAAAAAAATCCAAATTTAAGCGACCAGTACCACCTCTTTGTTAAAAATACTGATGGATGGCAGTAGAATGCGAAAAGAAATTCAACAGTTATTAATAGGAAATTCTTCACCTACCAGAGTGCGGTTTATCAGTTTGTCCTCCTTCTCCGTTACTTCCTCCTGACAGGAATGGCGAGTTATACCCTGCATTTCCTGTTGTGTTTATGCACGCATCACATCCTGAATGTTGTTTTGTCATTTTTGAAACTCCTCCTCCACCTCCGGCTATGATCAAAGGCTTTTTGTCTCCTCTTACTACAAATGTACCTCCTCCGCCTGAGCCAGTTTTTTTGTTATCATACCCTTTTTCCCCTCTTTGGCCAACAAGTATACGAATGATCTCATCTTTGGTCAACATAAAGTTTCCGATCATCCGCGCCCCTCTCCCTCCATTGATGACACTGTCCTCACTGTACCCTCCTGAGGCTCCTATTGTTTCTATTCTGTATTCACCAGTGTGCGGCACAGTCCACAGTTGAATACCGCCGGACACTGTAACTTGTCCGTCATGATCCTGACCCGTGTAGTGACTGCCAACTGAGTCTGGACCCTTTGTTCCACTTTTACCAAGATTTGTAAAAACAGCCGTAAATCCTTCGTAAAACACAAGCAGTAAAAACAAAAGTTATGACACTAATAAGAAATTGCTAGTTACTTTGGGCTTTGCCAATACTGTAAAAACCCGCTTAAAAGAAAACGTGTTTTGCGGGTTCAGGCTGATCTTGTTCTTATGTATCGGGTGTTTCTGCAAAACCAGCTTGAAATGTTCTTAAGGTGTTGTTAAAATTGTTTCTAAAAATTAAATACCGCATAGACTACCAACAGATGAAATCAATGTGCAAGCACAACATTTTAATTAATTCATAGATGGAACTAACCTTAACTGCATTAATCAAGGCAATAATATTATATTAGGGGAGTGGAAGCAGTTCTGGTGATAAACAACTCGAAACTCAGCAAAAATCAAGCAAATTCAAAATGCACCAGCCCCCCCTCCCTCCCCCTTCCCTCCTTCCATATAACTATTGACTGGTCCCCAATCCTACAAGCAAACTGAGAGAGCAAAATGTCAGCATCCAGTTTCTTAAATTTCCAGTCCAATCATCAGATCCATTAAAATCTGATATCTTTCGAAACCTTGGGGGTTTGAGCCATTTTCTCAAACACTTTCTTGAGAAAAGGTCTCATCATTACTTAACTCACTCCACGCTCCCCCAGTCCATTGGGTTATTAAGATCCTTTGCTAAATGTCTATCCTGCCATTTATCGAGATTGTTCTCCTCTTCCAGCCATGTTTCCATTGTTGCACCAATTTTACCTTTCATCAACCGACCACGTCCTGCATCAATGGGTTGGATTTTGTCAGTGTGGTTTTCAGGCAGCATGTAAACTGTAGTGTTGATCTGATTTCATGTTTTCATGTTGATTTTTTTGGAAGCCGACATTGTCTATAAATAGAATTTTTTTCTTCTTTGTCATTCCCAATTCCTGAAATAAGTGTACCCTGGACCCACTGTAAGTTAATTTCTTCATCCATCCAAGCATTTTGCTGGAAATACACATCAACCCTCTTGTCATACTTTTCTTTCTCCTCAGTCGCCACACGCCCTTTTCCTCTGAAGATAAGAGCTGGCTTCACATTTTGTTCCCCGTCAGCCCCAATACAAAGTTTTAGAGTAGCCTGTCGTTTGTCTAAACCAGAAGATGGTTGTGACACGCACACTTCCTTAGCACCCAATGTGTCGCAGGTTTTATCTTGCTCATTTACAAATGGGACAGGAACCTACCTGGTCGATATTGTATCTATTTTTAGGTATCCATCTTCCATACTTTGGGTCAACTGTATAGGACTTTTTGCTTCTCCTTTGTGTTTTCAAGGCTTTCCTCAAATCCCTGTTGAATTTCTGGATCGTATCCCGGCCATCATCTGTCCAGACTTTTTTCTTGTTGGTCCTTCCCCTCAGTACTATGGTGTGTCTTTTCTTGAATCTTTGGAACCACTTGCTGCTTTCTTTAAATTTTGCAGCTTCTTCTGCGCCATAGAATGCTTCGATTTTAGATTTCATTTCTTTTTAACTAAAGTTTGGACACTTTGCTTCCTGCTGGCTGACTCGGCAGGTAAAGGATTGGAAGCCAGAGGATATTTATCAGTGCGTCGGGATCTGTTCCCAGCGATCCTCCTCCTTTGTCTCTTCTTCGTCATTGTCAGGGTCAGTTCTGCAAGAGTCAGAGTCAGTTCTGCATGAATTTTGCTTCTGTTTTTTTTCCCACTTAGGCACCAGCGATCTGTTGACTCCTTGTTGCTTTGCAACTGTTTTGTATTTATTAGTTGATGATTTCAATGAATCCAAAAGATCCAGTGTTTTCTTTATGAAATCGACAGTGTAGGACTTTCGCTTGTTACTTCCCCTTCGATTATTGCTTCGCCTTTGAGTTGGACCTTGGGCAACACCGCCCGATTCACGCGGCACATCCTCAAGCTGTTGACTCTCAGCCATTCTCTGCATGTTTGTTTCACCTGAGTGGTTGTTGATGTTTACAAAAATAGTCAATGTATCTCCAGATGCTGAGTTGATGCTGTTCGAGTTCTGTGTGGCAGAGGCCGGGTGCTTGAATTGTACGTGGCTGTTCAAATATTGTCGAACATTGAACGATCTGTCGCAATGTTTGCATTTAACTGTGGCGCTGCTCAGTTTAACTGTCTTTTCCAATGTCGACGTAATGACGTACACTCTGCCATCCTTCAACTCTACTGATTTTCGTAAACCACAATCGAATAAAGTAGGATTCATCTTCCACAATTCATCAAAATTGAGGAACACAAAAGTCAATGCAGTAATGTATCCCATAACACCATGTGCGTCTATTGTCCTAGAGACAATAAGGCCTAGTTCAAACGTCGATCTTTACATGTACCGAACCTAATTGCAATTTGGGTCGACTCGAATAATTAAGAGCGGCAGTTGATTCAAACGTCGATCCGAATTTAGTCGATCCTAATTGCAAAACTGAACATAACTCCATTGTAGTCAGCGGTTAATGCCTACCAAAATGGCGGAAAAAAATGCGGGAAGCACAACTTGTGGAAATGAAGAGCTTGTTTTTCTTGCAAATGCGATTAAGGAGGGTAGAAAAAGGCGACTCAAGATGCAGTTAGCATTAAACAACCTTGCTGCCAGGAGAAGACGAGTTTTGAATTTGGCTTGCCTTCTATTATTGCTTATTTCCCAAAGGAACATCACAGTTCCTCGTCCAGTTCGTTCGTGTCGTCGACTGAAAAGAAATTCTGGCTGGTGGGAAAATGTTTGTGTTTGTTTTATTTTGTGGTTTTAAAACAAGAGGAGCACGAGCCTTCCTCCTTTCCCGCCATATTGTTTGAATGGTTCGAAGGCTTTCGCGCATGGCACGTAAGCGAACTTTCTTGAATTGTGGGTAAAACATAATTATTTTAACGTATGTATAATGTATGCATTAAGTTCGGTACATGTAAAGTACGACGTATGAATCAATGCCGATCTTTTACCGTTCTATCCGACTAGCCGAGTCGGATAGAACGGCACTGTCGATCCGAATACAAATCTGCCGATCCTAATTGATTCAAACGTCGATCTTTACATGTACTTAATAGAAACGTTAGGTTCGGTACATGTAAAGATCGACGATCGAACTAGGCCTAACTGTTTGGCTGTGCAGAGGTTTTCTTGAAAATGACCTAAAAGACATTTCGAGTGAGGGAAAGTAAAGTTTCAATCTTGAATATCTCTTGAGTAAAGTCAACTTTCTGCACAGATCAAACCATAAAATGGCAGATGGATGTGAATTCTATGTTCAGGCAAGCAAACGTGGGTACCATGCTTATTTTGTAGATGCAACGGTGTATATTTAGGAAGTTATGGACTGCGAGCAGGTAGACTGTTTCTTTAAACAGTCTTTCTATGATTGATTTGGAACCTGCCTTTAGTTGTCACAAAACCCTCCTTAGTCGTCGCCTAACACTGCTAAGTTGTCGTACCACTCTTCTTAGTCGTCGCCAGACTCTCATTATTTGTCGGCAAACCCTCCTTAATTGTCGCCAAACTCCGCTCAGTTGTTACCGAACCCTTCTCACCTGTCGCCAAACTCTTATTCGTCGCCAAACCCTCCTTAGTTGTCGCAATTAGTTGTCTCATTTCCGAGTTATCGCCAAACCCTTCTTACCTGTCGCCAAACTCTCCTCAGTCATTGCCAAACCCTCCTTAGTTGTCGCAATCAGTTGTCACAAAACACTCCTTAGTAGTGGCAAACCACTTCTTAGATGTCACAAAACACTCTTAGTTGTTGGCAAACTCTTTTTAGTTGTCGCAAAATACATCTAAGTTGTCGCAAAACATTTCTTAGTTGTCGCGAAACACTCCCTAGTTGTCGCAAAACACTTCTTAGTTGTCGCGAAACACTTCTTAGTTGTCGCGAAACACTTCTTAGTTGTCGCAAAACACTTCTTAGTTGTCGCAAAACACTTCCTAGTTGTCACAAAACACTTCTTAGTTGTCGCAAAACACTTCTTAGTAGTCACAAAACATTTCTTAGTTGTCGCAAAACATTTCATAGTTTTTGCCAAACTCATTACACTCCCTCTTTTCCCTCCCATCCCCCAACCGAATAAACGCATATCATTTTGATAAGTCATTTGACTACTCTCTCAGTAAGCCGAAAACATAAACTATCAAGATACTCGCATGAACATCGCCTAAATTAATGGCAATGTACCTGAACACGAGCGTCCATCGCCAAGGTATCCCTCCTTACATGTACAGTAATGGGAACCCACCCCGATTAATTTAGCAGAAAAATAGTCTTGCATGACATGCAGAAGAAAATTCAATTGTCTCTGAACAAATTATACAATTGCTTTATAACTAAAATATTGAAGTAAGAATCTTGATCAAAGTTTTATCAAAGTGTATTTTGGTTTAGGCGTGTCCCTATGTGTGTATTTTTGCCCTATTTGGCTTTTTTATGAAAAAAATTGAATATATAAATCCGAAACTATGCAATGGTATGGTTTCAGGACTGTAGTAATTACTAATACCTGAAAGAAACAGGGACGCAATTGAAAGAATCTACAGTTCAAACAGAAAGTGAAACTAACAGTGACGTAATGATGATTTACCTTCCAAATTCATATCACAGTAAACCAAAACTGCCTTCCCTGTGCCAGATGGATCCAGCCAGTATTTGTTGCTTGCAGTGTTTTTTCCTTTGCTTGCTTTTATTTCTCGGCATGAACGTGCTGGTAACTCCGGTATCGAACCCAAGGGAGCTGACATGGGTAGTAAAGATGTTGAAAATAAAGTATATGTAAGCGCACAAGTCGAAAGCCGAGATTGAAAAACACAAGAGAATTAGAAGGAGGATCTAATTCCATTCACTCAATTCTCGCCTTTGAATGTGTTAAATTAAACGCTCTGTCAAGCTCCCTTCTCTTGGGAAGTGGGCCCCCCTCACTTTTAAACCCTTCCTTTAGAGCCACCAGCTTTTTTATCTCCTTTCCCTAAGCTTTTTGTATCATTTTAAAGAATAAATACATAAATAATTTGTTGTCACCATTTCACACATGCATCACACAAGCTGTTCTGTAAGAAGTTAACTAAAAGTTAAACTGAATAAAGGGGGTAAGTTTCTAAAGAAACTGTGGTGCTGCATCGGTGGGAGAATATAACAAGGTAATTTGGGGCTATCAACTGACTTGATAACGTCAGTTGACCACTGTTCAGAGTTTCAAAACAGATGTTTCGAGTGTTAGCCCTTCGTCAGAGGGAATGGAGGAATTGTGGGTTGTGTGTCAGTCGGCAGAACTTGGAGCTACGCTTTTGGTGGGAAACTACAAAGCAACTACAAAGAAAAGGGATAGAACTAATATCGTTCATTATTAGATTTGAGAAATGGTAGAAAAATCATACCGATGAGCGTGGGAGATCAGAAAACGTGGACTGTGAGCAAAGTCGAGCGTATGACCAAAATATTGATAATTATCATCCAACATTATTAGCTGAATAGTTACCTCTTCCGTTCAAACGGCGAATATAAAACCACGCTGGATCCGAGCGGAAATTCTCGGGTCTTGCGTCCTTTGTGCGGTTGTTTAATTCACAGATCTGTTCTTTTCTGTTGAAATTATAGCTCTGGCATATAATTTCCCTTTCACATAAGATATCACAGATATGAGGAGCTGCTGCCGTCATTCTCTTGAAAACGAAGCCTTTGAGAGTCATGCCACGAATGTTAATTTCTATCCTGCATTGATCCTTAGCGGTTACAAGGTTGGTGACCGAAACACAGGCAAGAAAATAACGAAATATTCACAGCATTTTTCCTGAAAAACGAAATTCATAGACATCAGTGAGTAAACTTTTTTTCTCAAGGCTGACTAAGAACATTGGATAATTAGAACAACAGGACCTCCAACCACCCCGCTCTTCTGTTATTCCCTTTTTTAAAGACTTATCGCAAGATAAAAACATTTAGCCTTCAAAATAAATTATTGAGAAAATGACCGGAGGAGAAAATTCTTCCATTTTACGGGTGGTTCTGGAAATGGGGTGCAGGGAAAATGAGAGCTGAAAGTAATGTAATAGGACTTGAAAGTTTTGGGAAATTATGAGCTTTTCAAGGTCTGGACAATTTTGAATGAATGAGCGGACGAGAAATTGATCGAGTAGAGATACCGCCGACAATTCATTTTTCCCGGTGCAGAGGCGGTCATTCGTCTAATTTGTTTCGGCTTCGGTGTAATATCTTCATGACTACACACTCGTACTGGATCGTACACTATAAAGGCTGAAAGTATACTTTTGAACCTAAAATATCCTAAGGAACTCAATGACTCGATCATTGCCATCAGTCTCCGTTACGATTACATGAGACTGAGTAAAATTTGTTGAACAAATTTTTCTGTTGAAATCACCTGTTTTGGCTGAGTGAAGTGAAATTGCTCCGCAGGCTAATTCTAAACTTTCTTTCTGCGGTGGATCGGTAATAGCTTATTCCTTTCATCTGCCCACTCATTCAAGTATATGAACCTATCGATTTACGTTTAATGAAAAACGGAACCAGCCTTTACATCAACTTTGAAGCCGAACTGTACCAAACAGCCAAACAGCGCGAAAATTAGGGCGCTCATTTTTTTCAAGGTCTGCCAGTCGTCATTTTATCCATCGTGTACCATCAAAGAGTCAAAAATTAAACGTGGTTCAAGGACACATTGTAGAGACAGTGACTGTTTATTCAAAGCAAACCTTCCCTCTTGGCTCAGCCCAGAAACCATGTTCCCTAAAATTTTACATATTTGAATTTTGTCATTTCAAAAAAATATTGCAAAATAAAATAAAAACCTCCTTTGAAATATGTGGTTGTCTCATGCCACTCCAGGTATGTAGATGAACTAAATAATTATTGTAATAAGTGCTAATAGGAGATGCTTATGTGAATATTTCAAGCCTTAGTTATGTAGATAAAGATAATAAAAAAGTTATATGATGATTAAGAAAACTTTTAAATAGTTCTTAGACAACAAATAATACCCCATTCACAACATTAGCCGGGTTAAATTAAAACAGAGATGGGAATAACTGAATTTTCCATAGGTTTCAAGTAATCGCTAATTTTTATTTTCATTCTGCTAAATTTGGAGTTGAAAAACATTGGTTTAAGCAGCTGCTAAGGAGAAGACAATTTTCAACCATGTTTAACAAAACAGTTTTAAAACATGTTTAAGCATTGGTGTGAATTGGGTATAGCAAAATCTTACCTCGTACTTCTGGTATTAGGGAAGCCAAAACGGTGAGAACGAAACAGTAGAATACAGACAGCATGGAATTCCAGCGAACAGCAACAGTAAGTTTTTCCTCCTTAAAGGAAACATTGGGCGAAATAAGACAGCTGCAGTTTAATTTTTGTTCAAATACATCACCTCCTTTGTCTGATTATAAGGTTCTCAGTGGTTGTCACAACTGAATTAATTTCCTTGGGAACTAGTTGGTTGGTGAAACTCGATTATACCTAATGCATGTCAATGGCCTATAATTTGAATAAAAACAGAGGAAGATGTCCTTCATGTGTTGTTTTATTCTGGTTTAATTATGTCCGTATGAGTGCGATGTATGAGGAAGCTACTCTTTACCAACTGTTTACACGCATTCCTCGTTCACCCACACTTGAGCATAAAATAAAGACAACCGTTTTACCAAAACACGTTGATGTTCCGTAATTTTGAGGTTGGCTCTGATGGAGAATTTGTTTCTTATTCTTATATTTATTTCTCATTCTTTGATTGTGAGGTTTGTGATTGTGATTGTTTATTTCTCATTCTTTGATTGTGAGGTGAAGCTACTTTTTTTCATGTAATCAAGTGTCATTCGTACATGTTCGTACACATGCATGACTTGCGCCCTCGATCCCCCTCCCCCCCCCCTTCACCAGACTGTTTACCTCAGGACCCTTTCAATTCCGTTTTATAATAATTATAAAGGATGAGTGGGGGGGGGGGGGGAGGAGGGGTGAAAGGCGATTCACAAGCTAACACTTAGTATCAACAAACCAAAGAACCTGTCAAACGAATTTAAACTCTCCGAAAAGAAATTGAATATCAATATTTTTGGATGACAAGCCCCGTCCGGGCTTTAATTCACGTCTTCTTTCAGACCTTTTCAATGCAAATGAAAAATTTCAATTGCGAAAAACTTATCACTTCCCCTCTGTTAGAAATAGTCTCGATAACAACTGACTCGTTTCGGCTGTACTCAAATTGTGCACGCGAATAAGAGGTTACGTGTCTGAATATCAAACGAATTCTTGTTATGTCAGTAGTTCGTGAAGCACCGACTTAGAGCGAAAATTATAGCTAAAAATATTGTATTTGTTTTCTGGATGAGCTGAATTAGCGCGAACATTGCTGATTAGCGGTAACGTGAGAGCGAGTGAGTTAAAGATACAAATTTTTATTTGTATCTTTGTCAGTAGTTTAACTTGAGGACCTCGGAAGGTGACGATTCCAAGCGAACATAAAGTAGGACTTTTTCTATTATCAGAAATAGATGCTTGAATCTTACAACTGATAGCTTGTAATCATAACATTGGCGTTGTTCCATTTGTTTCCCTAACTTTGTCTAAGATTGTTCATCAAATTAAATACAGTGTTAATATTCAGAAGAGTGTTGCAATTGCCCTGGCGCCGGGTTTTCTTTTGACCTCAAATCAACCAGGTGGATAACAGAAACTAAACAAAGAGACCACAGCACGGGCAAGACTTGATGGAGCATGTATGGGAAAAAAACGTTACGTTTGAAATTTGACGAACAGTTCGCTTACGAATTTATGAAAGCCTCTTAACACTGTTCCGAAAACAATTATCGAAAACTCTTCTTAACTGTATGAACAGCCAGTTTTTAATCCTGTTCTCTGTGGTAAAAACCAAACATGATTAAGCAGTGTTTAAGTTCGATAAAGTAGACACTAGTTCCCCGAGAAAGCGAAAGGGGACGCTTGCACAATATCAGTCACCAGATAAGCGTACCATACTGCTTATCATTCGAACTGAAAAATCGTGTTCGGACAGAAGTAATTTTCCTTGAAACACAGATAACATGATGATTACCAGTTTCATCAATGAATTTTAAAAATGGAGCCTAGTGGATCAAACCTTGTCCAGGCTGGTCAATGCCACTTCCGGCTCTTATTCGAGGAGTGCTGTAAACAGGAAGTTGAAAAGGGAAGGGGGGTGGGGGGGGGTAGGTAGACACTACTATATTATGCTACAAAGAAATACGGAGCCTGAAAAAGTAAGATCGACTAGGATCGACCAGTTATTTTATTTCTCACTGAATGGTCTTTTCGTCTTGCAAGTGACCTCATGCGACAGGTAGTCTTTAAAAGGATTTTTATTCTCTTTGGGCGAATTTACGACTCGATATTCAAACAGTGGTCTTAAATGAAATTCGATAAAAGGTGAAATGAAAGGGTATCTTGAGCTGTGATAAGGATGTCTTCGAAAGATGACTGAATAAGGTGAAACTGCTGGGTCAGGTCTAGATATAGTTTTCGGTGTGAAAATAGGGTTAAAATAAAGTGAAGAGGGACGAATACTACAGCAGAAAATTCTGTGGTGTGTTCCCCCCGTTTCGAGTCGAATGGAATGACAAAACAACTTCATCACTTCATCAGCTGATCATTATTTCGAAGAAAATGTGTTCAGGAAGCGCTTAATTCCCTGGGAAACTCACGCAACTCAAAATTGGCATGTTTCCAATTTAAATAATGGAAATAAGGAAACCTTAGTGATGAAACAGCAAATTATATTTAAGGACGCGTCGATCAGTAGTTTTATCAGTTTATCAGGTGAGCAGCCAAGGAGAGAACGTTTTCTTTCGAGGAACTTCCGCCTAGATCAGTAAAGGTTTTGGAGTCCGCTCTTATTCACAGCGATATCAGTAAATCGTATAGCAAGTATGGAAGGTAAGTCCTCAGTATGTTAGATTTTCAGTACGATTCATTGTTTCAGTTCTTCACTTCGCACTGAATTTTGAAGATGTGAAGATGTAAATTCTCCAATGTATTTCGCAACTGTCTTTCCTAGAAATGAAGCGATCTTGTGTTCGAAGAATTTGACATGATTCGTAAATGTTTGTGATGTATTTGAAATTGTCACCATACCGCAACTGTCTCGATTCAGTTGTTTTCGTTTTGTGCAAGCGAATTATTAGCCGTATCTAAAGGATAAGTTTTATATAGCAGCTCACAAACATTTCAGCCAATTTGACAGTGTAGTTTCGTTGTATTCCGCTAAGTTCAGTAAAGGAGACTTTAGTAATGAGCGACTAATGTCTTATGGTAAGTGTGCGTGAATTATTCAGTTAATATCTTCCGATTGCTCAATCATAAGTCCAGTCAGAAACTGCGTTGGAAACCCTAAAATAATTCGTATCGCTTTTTATAGCCGTCTTTAGGAATCTCCTGCTATACAAGGCTGTCACAGAAATAATTTGTTGTTCACTGTTTTCCATCACTTACATATCCATGCATCATACAGTTTTCGATTACCCTGCAAAGACCTTCAGTCAAGGTTTGTTTTCGTGTGCTGCGAAAAAAACATCAAAGACGAGTAAAAACGATAAGTAAAGTTGGGGGATCCACGAACTTTCCTGTAAAATACATATATATTTTTTCGTCCTTTCTCAAATTTACCTTGATGTGAAATTTACCTCAGTTGATGTGAATTTATAATTCGGGTTTATCTAACAAACATGAAGAAAATACTGACAGCCAGATATCGATTTATTGAGTTTCACTAGAATTTACTCAATCTACATTATAGACCGACAATATAGGGAAAGTGATTGCTTTATTCTGTAACTCATAGAAACAATTCTTGGGAACTTTTAGTTAATCCACCAGCAAAGGATGTTCTCAATATATTTCTAACTGTTATTAAGCAGAAACGTTCTTTCCAACTAAGGGAAAATTACAGCGCTTTACTCCACTTTAAGTGAAAGAGCACGAGGGCCTCCTGAAAGACATTCCAGATGTTAGTAGAAAAACAAAAATACAATAAGTAAATAAAGTTTTGCGTGAACTTGAATATGCCATCACCTACAATCAGTGTCACGCGCAGCAAAATTTAGAAGGTCAACGGGCAAAAAAATTGAAGAAGATGGGTCACACTGGCTGTATCATTAGTGAAAATCGATTTTGGTTTTGAGCTGATCAAGAAAAAAGGATTGACTGCATAATGAACCTTTACATTGTTAAATATGTATTCATTGAAATTAGATACACAAGAATATGAAGAGCTGACTTCACAACTGTTTCTCTACAAAATTATTACTTAGTTTCTATTACCAATATGTTATTATTTGACCAATGATCACTAACTTCCCCCCATGCCCGCTAATTAAAGTCTAAACAGTCCTAGCATTTGTATTTTTATTTTATAAGCGAAAGTAATTTGTGGCTAACATTTTCCTTACCCTGGAGATTATAAACTATTATCTTGCTTCACCCTAATATTATATGCTTTTAACGCACAATAATTTGTGTGAATAAAGACGTGGGATAACTTGTTGTTCGCTGTTTTCTATCACCTAAATATTCATGAATCATGCATCATGCAACTGAGAACATACGCGCCATGGTTAATTCTCACCCATCCCTCCCCCCTCCCTTTCTCCCCCTTCCCTCTTTCCCCCCTCCCCCCGTCTGCATATGTCTGCGGGCCTTACTCTAAGCCCTAAATCCTAAGCCCTAAACTTAAGAAAACATTACGCTCTAAGAGTGAAACTCTGTGAGTGAACCTTTAGGAGCGACCCTCGGGGAGTGAACCTCTGGGAGTGTTCGGCGCTAAAAAGCTATGTACATCATGCAGGAATTTCACTGAAATAGCTTGTCTATTAGTAATAAATGCTAGTGTTCTTTGGTATCTTATCTCCACATGTAGATGTTGAGAAGCCACTATGCTTTGAAGTGCACCGAGTGCTTGCGTTGATCTCAGACTTTTTACAATCAGATAAGCAACTTTAACCATGGCTAAAAATTTTTAATACGTCTCACCCTCTAAATCCTTGTTTAAAACGCTTGAAATAAAGACTTATTTGAGTCCTGTGAACTTAAGAGATGTATACAAAACTGTATGAACCGTAAAAAACATCTGATTAATTGCTCCGAAAAGAGCTGGAAAAAGAACAAAAACTACAGCTTTTGCTGTCAACAAATTTATAAGGTCAGTACAAATTAAAAACTCACCTATTCTAGCAAATGTTGTTTGTGAATTTTAATTCTAACCTCAAATATAAACGGCTCTTGAACCACAAGTTGTGCTGTTTGTCTTACGGTAACACGGCTTAATAATAAAATCTAAATAATGACCCAAAAAAGTCAAACTACGGAGTTGAAAAACAAACATCAATTAGCATTATCAAAACAGAATTACCACTTCACGCTAAGGAAAGTGCTTCCATGTATTTCAGTGGAGAAATGTTATGATCACTTTACCATGTCCAGCAGTATTATAACAACATTCATTTTGCTGATTTGTTCCGTTGTTGAAACTCCATTTCCCCCAGAGTACCCTCCACCTCCCCCAGGTAACTCTTTAGCTGCATGATACCCACCCCCACCTCCGAACCCACCCCAATGTACTCCCCCCTCTCCCCCGTTCAGAAATCCTTTACCTCCCTTTCCCCCTCCACCAGAACCCACTGAGTCTTCTCCATTACTGTAAAAGCCGCTACCACCACCACCACCTACAATCAAGAGATTTACAGTTGACATTAGCTACTGAAAAGATCATGACTTTTATTAATTCAGAAAAAAATCCAAATTTGAGCGACCAGTACCACCTCTTTGTTCGAAATACTGATGGATGGCAGTAGAATGCGAAAAGAAATTCAATATTTATATATAGGAAATTCTTCACCTACCAGAATGCGGTTTATCAGTTTGTCCTCCTTCTCCGTTACTTCCTCCTGACAGGAATGGCGAGTTACACCCTGCATTTCCTGTTGTGTTTATGGACGCATCACATCCTGAATGTTGTTCTGTCATTTTGGCAATTCCTCCTCCACCTCTGGCTATGATCAAAGGCTTGTTGTCTCCTCTTACTACAAATGTACCTCCTCCGCCTGAGCCAGGTTTTTTGTTAGAATTCCGTCTTTTCCCTCTTTGACCAACAAGTATACGAATGATTTCATCTTTTGTCAACATAAAGTTTCCAATCATCCGCGCCCCTCTCCCTGCATTGATGACACTGTCCTCACTGTACCCCCCTGAGGCTCCTATTGTTTCTATTCTGTATTCACCAGTGTGCGGCACAGTCCACAGTTGAATACCGCCGGACACTGTAACTTGTCCGTCATGATCCTGACCCGTGTAGTGACTGCCAACTGAGTCTGGACCCTCTGTTCCACTCTTACCAAGATTTGTAAAAACAGCTGTAAATCCTTCGTAAAACACAAGCAGTAAAAACAAAAGTTATGACACTAATAAGAAATTGTTAGTTACTTTGGGCTTTGCCAATACTGTAAAAACCCGCTTAAAAGAAAACGTGTTTTGCGGGTTTAGGCTGATTTTGTTCCTATGTATCGGGTGTTTCTACAAAACCAGCTTGAAAATGTCCTTAAGGTTACTTAAAATTGTTTCTAAAAATTAAATACCGCATAGACTACCAACAGATGAAATCAATGTGCAAGCACAACATTTTAATTAATTCATGGATGGAACTAACCTTAACTGCATTATAATCAAGGCAATAATATTATATTAGGGGAGGGGAAGCAGTTCTGGTGATAAACAACTCGAAACTCAGCAAAAATAAAGCAAATTCATAATGCACCAGCCCCCCTCCCTATTTCCAAGGTCCCGAATCCTACAATAAAACTGAGAGAGCAAAATGTCAGCATCCAGTTTCTTAACTTTCCAGTCCAATTATTAGATCCATTAAAACTGATATCTTTCCAAACCTTGGGGGTTTGAGCAATTTTCTCAAACAATTTCTTGAAAAAAGGTTTCATCATTACTTAACTCACTCCACGCTCCCCCAGTCCGTTGGGTTATTAAGATCCTTCTATCCTTTTCTGAAAGTCTATTCTGCCATTTATCGAAATTGTTCTCCTCTTCCAGCCATGTTTCCATTGGTGCACCAATTTTACCTTTCATCAACCGACCACGTCCTGCATCAATGGGCTGGATTTTGTCAGTGTGGTTTTCAGGCAGCATGTAAACTGTAGTGTTGATCTGATTTCTGTATGTTTCATAGAATTGTTGACTCTGGTGGAAGCCGACATTGACTGAAAATAGAAAATTTTTCTTCTTTGTCATTCCCAATTCCTGAAATAAGTGTGCCCTGGACCCACTGTATCTTAATTTCTTCATCCATCCAAGCATTTTGCTGGAAATACACATCAACCCTCTTGTCATACTTTTCTTTCTCCTCAGTTGCCACACGCCCTTTTCCTCCGAAGATAAGAGCTGGCTTCACATTTTGTTCCCCATCAGCCCCAATACAAAGTTGTAGAGTAGCCTGTCGTTTATCTAAACCAGAAGATGGTTGTGACACGCACACTTGCTTAGCACCCAATGTGTCGCAGGTTTTATCTTGCTCGTTTACAAATGGTGCTGGAACCTACCTGGTCGATATTGTATCTATTTTAAGATATTCATCTTCCATACTTTGGGTCAACTGTATAGGACTTGTTTTTTCTCCTTTGTGTTTTCAAGGCTTTCCTCAAATCCCTGTGTAATTTGTGGACCGTATCCCGGCTATCATTTGTCCAGACTTTTTTCTTGTTGGTCCTTCTCCTCAGTAATATGGTGTGTCTTTTCTTGAATCTCTGGAACCAGTTGCTGCTTTCTTTAAATTTTGCAGCTTCTTCTTGCGCCATAGAATGCTTCGATTTTAGATTTCATTTTTTTAACCAAAGTTTGGACACTTTGCTTCCTGCTACACTCCGTTGTTTAAACTCGGCAAGTACAAGATTGGAAGCCAGAGGATATTTATCAGTGCGTTGGGATCTGTTCCCAGCGATCCTTCTCCTTTGTCTCTTCTTCGTCATGGTCAGAGTCAAATCTGCAAGAATTTTGCTTCTGTTTTTCCCACTTAAACACCAGCGATCTCTTGACTCCTTGTTGCTTCGCAACTGTTTTGTATTTATTAGTTGACGATTTCAGTGAATCCAAAAGATATGGTGTTTTCTTTATGAAATCGACAGTGTAGGACTTTCGCTTGTTACTTCCCCTTCGATTATTGCTTCGCCTTTGAATTGGACCTTGGGCAACACCGGCCGATTCACGTGGCACATCCTCAAGCTGTTGACTCTCAGCCATTCTCTGCATGTTTGTTTCACCTGAGTGGTTGTTGATGTTTACAAAAATAGTCAATGTATCTCTAGATGCTGAGCTGATGCTGTTGGAGTTCTGTGCGGTAGAGGCGGGGTGCTTGAATTGTACGCAGCTGTCCAGATATTGTTGAACTTTGAACGATCTGTCGCAGTGTTTGCATTTAACTGTGGCGCTGCTCAGTTTAACTGTCTTTTCCAATGTCGACGTAATGACGTACAGTCTGCCATCCTTCAACTCTACCGATTTTCGTAAACAAAAATCGAATAAAGTAGGATTCATCCTCCACAATTCATCAAAATTGAGGAACACAAAAGTCAATGCAGTAATGTATCCCATAACACCCTGTGCGTCTATTGTCCTAGAGACAATAACTGTTTGGCTGTGCAGCGGTTTTCTTGAAAATGACCTAAAAGACATTTCGAGTGAGGGAAGGTAAAGTTTCAATCTTGAATATCTCTTGAGTAAAGTCAACTTTCTGCACAGATCAAACCATAAAATGGCAGATGGATGCGAATTCTATGTTCAGGCAAGCAAACGTGGGTACCATGCTTATTTTGTAGATGCAACGGTGTATATTGAGGAAGTTATGGACTGCGAGCAGGTAGACTGTTTCTTTAAACAGTCTTTCTATGATTGATTTGGAACCTGCCTTTAGTTGTCACAAAACCCTCCTTAGTCGTCGCCAAACACTGCTAAGTTGTCGTACCACTCTTCTTAGTCGTCGCCAGACTCTCATTATTTGTCAGCAAACCCTCCTTAATTGTCGCCAAACTCCGCTCAGTTGTTACCGAACCCTTCTTACCTGTCGCCAAACTCTTATTCGTCGCCAAACCCTCCTTAGTTGTCGCAATTAGTTGTCTCATTTCCTAATTATCGCCAAACCCTTCTTACCTGTCGCCAAACTCTCCTCAGTCATTGCCAAACCCCCCTTAGTTGTCGCAATCAGTTGTCACAAAACACTCCTTAGTAGTGGCAAACCACTTCTTAGATGTCACAAAACACTCTTCGTTGTTGCCAAACTCTTTTTAGTTGTCGCAAAATACATCCAAGTTGTCGCAAAACACTTCTTAGTTGTCGCGAAACACTTCTTAGTTGTCGCAAAACACTTCTTAGTTGTCACAAAACATTTCTTAGTTGTCGCATAACACTTCTTAGTTGTCGCAAAACACTTCTTAGTTGTCGCGAAACACTTCTTAGTTGTCGCGAAACATTTCTTAGTTGTCACAAAACACTTCTTAGTTGTCACAAAACACTCCTTAGTTGTCACAAAACACTTCTTAGTTGTCACAAAACACTTCTTAGTTGTCGCAAAACACTTCTTAGTAGTCACAAAACACTTCTTAGTTGTCGCAAAACACTTCTTAGTTGTCGCGAAACACTTCTTAGTTGTCGCAAAACACTTCTTAGTTGTCATAAAACATTTCTTAGTTGTCGCATAACACTTCTTAGTTGTCACAAAACATTTCTTAGTTGTCACAAAACACTTCTTAGTTGTCGCAAAACACTTCTTAGTTGTCACAAAACACTTCTTAGTTGTCGCAAAACACTTCTTAGTTGTCGCAAAACACTTCTTAGTTGTCGCGAAACACTTCTTAGTTGTCGCAAAACACTTCTTAGTTGTCGCAAAACACTTCTTAGTTGTCGCAAAACACTTCTTAGTTGTCGCAAAACATTTCTTAGTTGTTGCCAAACTCATTACACTCCCTCTTTTCCCTCCCATCCCCAACAAAATAAATGTATATCATTTCGATAAGTCATTTGACTGCTCTCTCAGTAAGCCGACAACATAAGCTATCAAGATATTCGCATGAACATCGCCTAAATTAATGGCAATGTACCTGAACACGAGCGTCCATCGCCAAGGTATCCCTCCTTACATATACAGTAATGGGAACCCACCCCGATTAATTTAGCAGAAAAATAGTCTTGCATGACATGCAGAAGAAAATTCAATTGTCTCTGAACAAATTATACAATTGCTTTATAACTAAAATATTGAAGTAAGAATCTTGATCAAAGTTTTATCAAAGTGTATTTTGGTTTAGGCGTGTCCCTATGTGTGTATTTTTGCCCTATTTGGCTTTTTTATGAAAAAATTGAATATATAAATCCGAAACTATGCAATGGTATGGTTTCAGGACTGTAGTAATTACTAATACCTTAAAGAAACAGGGACGCAATTGAAAGAATCTACAGTTCAAACAGAAAGTGAAACTAACAGTGACGTAATGATGATTTACCTTCCAAATTCATATCACAGTAAACCAAAACTGCCTTCCCTGTGCCAGATGGATCCAGCCAGTATTTGTTGCTTGCAGTGTTTTTTCCTTCGCTTGCTTTTATTTCTCGGCATGCACGTGCTGGTAACTCCGGTATCGAACCCAAGGGAGCTGACATGGGTAGTAAAGATGTTGAAAATAAAATATATGTAAGTGCACAAGTCGAAAGCCGAGATTGAAAAACACAAGAGAATTAGAAGGAGGATCTAATTCCATTCACTCAATTCTCGCCTTTGAATGTGATAAATTAAACGCTCTGTCAAGCACCCTTCTCTTGGGAAGTGGGCCCCCTTACTTTTAAACCCTTCCTTTAGAGCCACCAGCTTTTTTATCTCCTTACCCTAAGCTTTTTGTATCATTTTAAAGAATAAATACATAAATAATTTGTTGTCACCATTTCACACATGCATCACACAAGCTGTTCTGTAAGAAATTAACTAAAAGTTAAACTGAATAAAGGGGGTAAGTTTCTAAAGAAACTGTGGTGCTGCATCGGTGGGAGAGTATAACAAGGTAATTTGGTGCTATCAACTGACTTGATAACGTAAGTTGACCACTGTTCAGAGTTTCAAAACAGATGTTTCGAGCGTTAGCCCTTCGTCAGAGGGAATGGAGGAATTGTGGGTTGTGTGTCTGTCGGCAGAACTTGGAGCTACGCTTTTGGTGGGAAACTACAAAGCAACTACAAAGAAAAGGGATAGAACTAATATCGTTCATTAATAGAATTGAGAAATGGTAGAAAAATCAATACCGATGAGCGTGGGAGATCAGAAAACGTGGACTGTGAGCAAAGTCGAGCGTATGACCAAAATATTGGTAATTATCATCCAACATTATTGGCTGAATAGTTACCTCTTCCGTTCAAACGGCGAATATAAAACCACGCTGGATCCGAGCGGAAATTCTCGGGTCTTGCGTCCTTTGTGCGGTTGTTTAATTCACAGATCTGTTCTTTTCTGTTGAAATTATAGCTCTGGCAGGTGATTTCCCTTTCACATAAGATATCACAGATATGAGGAGCTGCTACTGTCATTCTCTTGAAAACAAAACCTTTGAGAGCCATGCCACGAATGTTAATTTCTATCCTGCATTGATCCTCAGCGGTTACAAGGCTGGTGACCGAAACACAGGCAAGAAAATATCGAAATATCCACAGCATTTTTCCTGAAAAACGAAATCCATAGACATCAGTGAGTAAACTTTTTTTCTCAAGGCTGACTAAGAACATTGGATAATTAGAACAACAGGACCTCCAACCACCCCGCTCTTCTGTTATTCCCTTTTTTAAAGACTTATCGCAAGATATAAACATTTAGCCTTCAAAATAAATTATTGAGAAAATGCCTGGAGGAGAAAATTCTTCCATTTTACGGGTGGTTCTGGAAATGGGGTGCAGGGAAAATGAGAGCTGAAAGTAATGTAAAAGGACTTGAAAATTTTGGGAAATTATGAGCTTTTCAAGGTCTGGACAATTTTGAATGAATGAGCGGACGAGAAATTGATCGAGTGGAGATACCGCCGACAATTCATTTTTCCCGGTGCAGAGGCGGTCATTCGTCTAATTTGTTTCGGCTTCGGTGTAATATCTTCATGACTACACACTCGTACTGGATCGTACACTATAAAGGCTGAAAGTATACTTTTGAACCTAAAATATCCTAAGGAACTCAATGACTCGATCATTGCCATCAGTCTCCGTTACGATTACATGAGACTGAGTAAAATTTGTTGAACAAATTTTTCTGTTGAAATCACCTGTTTTGGCTGAGTGAAGTGAAATTGCTCCGCAGGCTAATTCTAAACTTTCTTTCTGCGGTGGATCGGTAATAGCTTATTCCTTTCATCTGCCCACTCATTCAAGTACATGAACCCCTCGATTTATGTTTAATGAAAAACGGAACCAGCCTTTACATCAACTTTGAAGCAGAACTGTACCAAACAGCGAATCAGCGCGAAAATTAGGGCGCTCATTTTCAAGGTCTGCCAGTAGTCATTTTATCCATCGTGTACCACCAAAGGGTCAAAAATTAAACGTGGCTCATGGACATCATTGTAGAGACAGTGACTGTTTATTCAAAGTAAACCTTTCCTTTTGGCTCAGCCCAGAAACCATGTTCCCTAAAATTTTACATATTTGAATTTTGTCATTTTCAAAAAAATATTGCAAAATAAAATAAAAACCTCCTTTGATATATGTGGTTGTCTCATGCCACTCCAGGTGTGTAGATGAATGAAATAATTATTGTATTAAGTACTAATAGGAGATGCTTATGTGAATATTTTAAGGCTTAGTTATGTAGATAAAGATAATAAAAAAGTTATATGATGAAAACTTTGAAATAGTTCTTAGTCCATGAGGCACCGACTTAGAGCGAAAATTATAGCTAAAAATATTGTATTTGTTTTCTGGATGAGCTGAACTAGCGCCATCAGTGCCGATTAGCAGTAACATGGGTGCAAGTGATATAGCACTGAGCTAAGGATACAAATTTTTATTTTTTATCTTAAAATATACAAATTTTGTTTTGTTTTAATTTAAAGATTTCAATTTTAATTTTAAGATACAAATTTTAATTTGTATCTTTGACAATGTTAGTCAGTAGTTTAACTTGAGGACCTCGGAAGGTGACAATTCCAAAAGAACGGAGTAGGCGGACTTTTTTATTATCAGAAATAGATGCTTGAATCTTACCACTGATAGCTTGTAATCGTAACATTGGCGTTGTTCCATTTATTTTTCTTACTTTGTCTAAGACTGTTCACCGCTAATAGTGATTAAAATATTCCGCTAGAAGAGTACTGAAATTCACTGGCGGTTTTCTTTTGACCTAAACTCAACAAGGTGGTTGACAGAAATTAAACAAAGAGACCACAGCACGAGCAAGACTTGATGGAGCATGTATGGGAAAAAAGAAACGTAACATTTGAACTTTGACGAACAATTTGCTCACGAATTTATGAAAGCCTCTTAACACTGTTCCGAAAACAATTATCGAAAATCATTGCAAACTGTATTAGCAGCCACTTTTTAAACCTGTTCTCTGTAGTAAAAACCAAACATGATTAAACAGTGTTCAAGTTCAATAAAGTAAACACTAGATCCCCGAGAAAGCGAAAGGGGAAACGCAAATTTTATCCGCATGCACGGTATCAGTCACCAGATCAGCGTATCATACTGCCTATCATTCTAAGTGAAAAATCGTGTTCGGACAGAAGTGATTTTCGTCGAAACACAGATCATGTAATGATTGCCAGTTTCATCATTTCATTTTAAATTGGAGCCTAGAGGATCAAACCTTGTCCAGGCTGGTCAATACCACTTCCGGCTCTTATTAGAGGAGTGTTGTAAACAGGAAGTTCAGAAAGGGGGGGGGGGTTGGAGACACTAGCTCATCAGAACATTATGCTACAAAGAAATACGGAGCTCGGAAATGCAAGATCGACCACTTATTTTATCACGGACTGTTCTTTTCGTCTTTAAAGTGACCTCATGCGACCGGCAGTCTTTCAAAGAATCTATTTTCTCTTTGGGCGAATCTACGACTTGATATTGAAACACTGGTCTCAAATGAAGTTCGATAAGCGGTGAAATGAAAGCTTATCTTGAGCGGTGAGAAAGGTGTCTGCGAGAGATGACTGAATAAGGTGAAATTGCTGGGCCAAGTCTAGATATAGTTTTCGGTGTGAAATAAGGTTAGAATAAGGTGAAGAGGGACGAATACTACAGCAGAAAATTCTGTGGAGTGTTCCCCCCGTATTGAGTCTCGTGGAATGACAAAACAACTTCATAAGTTCAACAGCTGATTATTAATTCGAACAAAATGTGTTCAGGCAGCGCTTAACTTCCTGGGAAATCACGCCACTCAAAATTGGCATGCTTCCAATTTAAATAATCAGGAAAACCTTAGTGATGACACAGAAAATTATATTTAAGGACGCGTCGATCAGCAGTTTTATCAGTTCAACAGTTTTCTTTCAAGGAACTTCCGCCTAGATCAGCAAAGTTTTTGGAGTCCGCTCTTATTCACAGCGATATAAAACGTATAGCAAGTATGGAAGGTAAGCCCTCAGTATGTTAGATTTCCAGTACGATTCATTGCTTCAGTTCTTCACTTCGCATTGAATTTTAAAGATGTCAACTTCATATACATTCTCCAATGTATTTCGCAACTGTCTTTCCTAGAAATGGAACGATCTTGTGTTCAAAGAATTTGACATGATTCGTGAATGTTTGTGATGTATTTGAACACAAATTGAAAGTTATGTAACATTGGGCTAGAAAAAAAAGAAATAGATTTTAAGTGTTTTTTCTAGAGTAGAGCGTTAAATATTCTCGGCCTTGACGCATCTCAGTGTCTTAATACGAATCAGGATTATTTGATGGGAAATGTTTAGCCATGCTTAGGTAGAGACAACTAATTTTTTTTGGTACAAAAACAGGAGAACACAAGGTGACTTTAGTGGTGTACAGTGGTGTTCCTGATCCTGTTTGGTCAGTTCACTCTCGTCATGGAAAATTTAGGGAAATGAAACATCTTCTCGACGAAGCTACCGTCACCAAATCTCCCTACTATTCTTGGATACAAGGTTTTCTGGTACATGAACCAGGAGCTGAGCATGCAGAATAGATGTTAGGCAGGGAGACAACCGCCCTTCAAAAGTTTTTGCTTAGCACCATGCCGGAAGGATTGACGAATGATGACTTGAACGGCCATCGATTCAGGAGCTGTCTCTCCTAACTTGAACGTGCCTTCTTCGCACGCTTCTAGCACTGGAGACGATAAAAAAGACGTCTATGTGATGGAGCACTATGCACCTAAATATAACCCAGAAAGGTGGAACAAATACGAGCTGATCCGAACGAATAACAACTGCTACAACTACGCAAACCAAAAAATTACCAACGGCTGCAGCCAAGACCATTGAGGCTTGTGAGAGCGATGGTTTGGTAAAGGTGGATGTGCATCCTAGTGCGCCTGTGGCTGAAGCACCACCACAGCCTAACTGCCTAATCGTATTGATGGTCCAAGAAGGTAGGGAACAAACCCTGATTTGTTGAGCTCCCAAAAACATTGATATTTTGGGCAAATCACCCGATCAGTCATATTGAAACACAACAGCATGGGGATCGTATAAAGTTTGATTGACCACTTATAATCTCCCCAAAATAAACTAAGAAATTGAAATTTAATGTAGGTGGCCACCTCTGGCAAAATCAAGTCCATTTTGGCACGAGTGTTACATCAAGTGGACGCGGAAGTTTCATTACAAATTTTACATGCTTAATAAATATTAAAAAGTACAAAATCTAACATAATTCCAATTCACGAACTTGATGACCCTCAGACCTCTATTTTCCCACCGACAGGCATCCCCCCCCCGCCTGTAATTCGTAATAAGGTATTACAATCTTGATTTCATACCACACCAGATGTCCCTGGTTTGGAGCTGATGTAATTTGCCCCGCGTTGTTTTCTTTTTCGCCATCGTTTCCATATTTTTCAGGTGTAGATTATCACTGTTACCGCTTGGATCAGGGTGGATTGTGGTCCCAAAATCTTGGACAAACTGCTGTGACTAACAAGGATGGAAAGGGAAGCGAGATTACTGATCCAAGAAAAGCGGTCCCCCTGCCTTAGGGTCCACAGTACAAATTTGTCACTTTTATGAAGATCTTTACCAATATTATTGATGGTTAAATTACACCACCTTAGTCAGATTGATTTTCAACGAAACATTTGCCGCATCTAAACTTCTGCATCATAAGAGGTTATTTTCTTTCTTGCAATTCAGTTAAGTAGTGACTCATATTTTGATGAATTACTCTTAAATTTAGAAAGTTCTTTTTTCCCCCATTTTTGAAAAATCATGCGAGTATTGAATTATTTTTCATAGATTCAGGGTGTCCAAAAATATGTTTTACATGTCAATTTTTTTAAAGTTTTATTTCTTTCCCTAGAATATGTTTGCCATGCACAGCGAATGGTGACATGTCAATTTTTCTATAGTTTTATTTCTCGGGTTTTATCCATTTTCTTGCAAGTTTTAAAAACAAAAGTATCACGTTTACGTTGACTTTTCTTGATGCAGTGTAAATGGATTCATTATCATTGTGCAGACTAATGAAAGCAAGAGAAGAAGTAATGAGATAAAAGGCTCCTAGCTTCCAAGGAAAGAAAAATATTATATAATGATCTATTCAAATAAACTGTTCTTGATTGTCACAATTCTTTTTACTTCCTCTTTCTCTCAACGGTGAGAACGAAACAGTAGAATACAGACAGTATGTCCTCAGAAATAACGCCCGTTATAATTCCAACGAACAGCTATTAGTGAGTTTTTCCTCCTTGAGGGAAACATTGGGCGAAATGAGACAGCTGCAGTTTGATATTTGTTAAAATACATCGCCTCCTTTGCCTGATTATGAGGTTCTCAATGGTTTCACAACTGAATTAGTTTCCTTGGGAACCAGTTGGTTGGTGACACTCAATGTCAATGTCAATGGCCTAAAATTTGAATGAATAGAGGAAGATGTCCCTCCTGAGTATTTTTTTTTTATTGTGGCTTAATTATGTCCGTATGAGTTCAAATTATGAGGCAGTCAATAATAATCTTTACCAAATGTTTACACGCGTTTCTCGTTCGCCCACACTTGAGGGTAAAATAAATCACTCGAAGTGAAAAATCGTGCTCGGACAGAAATAATTTTTAAGATGGGGGATCCACGAACTTTACTGTCAGATACATGGACATTTTTTCGTTCTTTTACAAATTAACCTTGCTTTCAGTTGATAGGACTTTCTAATTTACGCTTAACTAACAAACATGAAGAAAATACTGACAGCCAGATATCAATTTATTGAGTTTCACTAGAGTTTACTAAATCTATACTATAGACCGACAATATAGGGAAAGTGATTGTTCTATTCTGTAACTCATAGAAACAATTCTTGGGAACTTTTAGTCAATCCATTAGCAAAGAATGTTCTTAATATATTTCTTACTGTTATTAAGTAGAATCGTTCTTTCCAACTAAGTGAAAACTACAGCGCTTTACTCCACCTTGAGTGAAAGAGCACGAGAGCCTCCTGAACTGACCTTCCAGATGTTAGCAGAAAAACAAAAATATAACAAGTAGATTAAGTTTTGCGTTAACTTGAATGTGCCATCACCTACAATCAGTGTCATGCGCAGCAAAATATCGAAGGTCAACGGGAAAAAATTAAGGAAGCAGGGTGACACTGGCTGTATCATTAGTGAAAATCAATTTTGCTTTTAAGCTGATCAAGAAAAAAAGATTGACTGCATAATGGACCTTTACATTGTTAAATCTGTATTCATTGAAATTAGATACACAACAATATGAAGAGCTGAGTTCACAACTGTTTCTCTACAAAATTATTTCTCAGTTATTATTTGACTAATCATCACTAACTTCCCCCCATGCCCGCTATTTGATGTCTAAACAGTCCTGGCATTTGTATCTTCTCTATTCTATAAGCGAAAGTAATTTGTAGCTAACATTTTCCTCACCCAGGAGATTATAAACTATTATCTTGCCTCACCTTAACATTGTATGCTTTTAACGCGTAGGAATCTGATTGAATAAAGAGGTGGGATAATTTGTTGTTCACTTTTTTCTATCACCAAAATATTCATGCATCATACAACTGAGAACGTATGCGCCATGTTTAATTCTCCCCCATTCCTCCCCCATCCCCTTCCCTCCCTCCCGGGGGAGAAAGTAAGGTCAGTAAAAATTAATAAACTCACCTATTCTAGCAAATGTTGTTTGTGAATTTTAGTTCTAACCTCAAATATAAACGGCTCTTGAACCACATGTTGTGCTGTTTGTCTTACAGTAACAGCTTAATAACAAAATCTAAATAATGACCCAAAAAAATTAAGAGTAATTGAGTTTAAAAACAAACATCAATTAGCGCTTTAAAACAGAATTACCACAACACGCTAAGGAAAGTGCTGCCATGCATTTCAATGGAGAAATGTAATGATCACTTTACCATATCCAGCAGTATTATAGCAACATTCATTTTGCTGATTTGTTCCGTTGTTGAAAGAACCTCCCCCTCCCCCACAGGAAATATCTTTATTCGCACCTCCATTTCCCCCAGAGTACCCTCCACCTCCCCCAGGTAACTCTTTAGATGCACGATAACCACCCCCACCTCCGAAACCACCCTGACTTGTTCCCCCCTCTCCCCCGGCCAGAAATCCTTTACCTCCCTTTCCCCCTCCATAAGAAATCTCTGAGTCTTCTCCATTACTGTAAAAGCCGCCGCCGCCACCGCCTACAATCAAGAAATTTAAAGTTTACATTAGCTACTGAAAAGATCATTGCTTTTAGTAATTCTGAGAAAAATACAAATTTGAGTGACCAGTATCACCTCTTTGTTCGAAATACTGATGGATGCAAAAAAAAATTCAGCAGTTATAAATAGGAAATTCTTCACCTACCAGAGTGCGGTTTATCAGTTTGTCCTCCATTTCCGTTACTTCCTCCTGACAGGAATGGCGAGTTATACCCTGTATTCCCTGTTGTGTTTATGGACGCATCACATCCTGAATGTTGTTCTGTCATTTTAGCAACTCCTCCTCCACCTCCGGCTATGATCAAAGGCTTGTTGTCTCCTCTTACAACAAATGTACCTCCTCCGCCTGAGCCAGTTTTTTTGTTATAAGACGCTTTTTCCCCTCTTTGACCAACAAGTATACGAATGATCTCATCTTTGGCCATCATAAAGTTTCCAATCATCCGCGCCCCTCTCCCTCCGTTGATGACAATGTCCTCACTGTACCCCCCTGAGGCTCCTATTGTTTCTATTCTGTATTCACCAGTGTGCGGCACAGTCCACAGTTGAATACCGCTGGACACTGTAACTTGTCCGTCATGATCCTGACCTGTGTAGTGCCTGCCAACTGAGTCCGGACCCTTTGTTCCACTCTTACCAAGATTTGTAAAAACAGCTTTAAATCCTTCGTAAAACACATACAGTAAAGAAAAAAGTTATGATACTTGCAATAACTTGTTATAATTACTTTTGGCTCTGCCAATACAGTAAAAACCCACTTAAAAGAACAGGTGTTTGGGGGTTCAGGCTAATTTTGTTCTTATATATCAATAATAACAATAATTAAATATTTACTATGTAATGATACATAAAAGGAAACGTCAGAAGTTATCCCTATCGAGGACGCTCCTTGCATAAAATATAAAATAAATAGACTACAATGTAAAATTTAAGAATAATTGAGAAATGTCTTGACCCCTGTTCCACCCTCACCAAGACTTGTAAAAACAACTGTAAATTCTTCGTAAAACACATGCAGTAAAAATAGAAGCTATGATGCTAGTAAGAAATTTTTACGATTACTTTTGGTTTTGCCAATACTGCTTTTACTCAGGGCCGCGGTTGTAAAGAACGCCGATAAACATCCATTTTTTAAAAACTATTCGGACCAAAATGTCCGAATATGCCACCAAAAGCTGGTTTCATTAGAAGATAGAAGAATTGAAGTACGGCTCAAACAGCCCCTGCGACCGCAAGAATACCAAGGTTTCCATTTTCTTCAGGTTATGTTATTGACTCAGTCACTTACGACCAACTGAAATCCAAAATGTCAGAAGTGGAAATGCACCAAACGTAAAGCACAATTTCAGGCCACGGGGCGCTTTTTAAGGTGTTGGGAGGATGAGAGAAGTGAAGAACAGTAGCGGTAATGTTGACCGAGTGAAAATTGATACAGTTTGACTATAGGCTGAAATGGAATTTGAGAAAACCTCAGCGGCATACTTACGATGAAGAATTCTTGAGAGAAGGTAGTAAAGTATGCAAGCCAGGCTTTAAGAGAATCTTGAAAGATAAAGAAGAAGCGAAAGGGCGTCCCACGAAGTATATTGCTGTCGCTAACTGAAAACCGTTGTTTTCTGTTTCAAACTTTACACGTGATAAAGAAAAAGTTGGGGTACAACCAATACAGAATAAAAGTGATGAACCAGGTTCTAAAATGAACCATGAGCAGCAACACAGTTATTCATTTAAATCGTCTTTTGTATTTTGAATAGCTTGTGCTATCCTAGATCATTCTTCTCGCAAACTTCAAAGCCAGGGCTATCTATTGTGATGTTCTGAAACTTTCAAACTATTGAGATGCTAGCGATTGTATGGTGCTTATCCCTTTCAAATAAGTCTGCCCAATCACCTTAACGAAATAAAGTTTAGGGGAGGAGCGTGCGAAACTTGTTACTTATCAATACATCATGTTTCTTTAATAAAACACATGCAAGAATTTCAGCATGCTCATTGGCTGAGAGCGCGTCAATTTATCCCAAACAGTGCAGAAAGTTAAAATCAAACTGATTGACAGGTAAGTTGCGTAAGGACAACGAAACAAAATGGCTGACAGGTACGGAGAAAGTAACAATGTTTTAATTCAGAGTTTCAGGGAGAATGCCAAAAATATAAAAATCCAACAAAGGACAAACAACTTGTCAAAAGTTTGGCTTCCAGAAACGGCTATGAAAGTTTACAGCGATCGCCCTGAATAAAATTATCAAGGAGTTAAACCAGCGCAACAGACGCAGAAGATTACGATCGTACGGGTTGGTTAATTTGGTTGGCCTTTCAAAAATATACTCGTGCTGATTTATCCCAGATTTCACTCGAAATAATGTGATTAGCTATACTAATGAAAGTAGAAGATTCCTTACCCTCATCACAATCGTGGCCTTTAAATCCAGATCCATCAACACACAAACACTGATAGTCCCTGTCTGTAAACCCAGCTTGGCATGTTGCGTTATTCTTGCAAGGATTTTTCTTACAAGCATTCTTAGGAAGGAAAGGAAAAGAGAAATTTAAAATAATGTTTTGGCAGGCTAACAAATTCTTCCCGTGTGTTTGTCGTCCGCACTTGCAATGGTGTGCGTATGTCTCATGCATGCAGTTCCATTTTTTGGGCTATGTTTTGGACGTTTCTTGATTCCACCCGTCCGCCCTCGTGGTCCTCGAGTGTACTCTTAATTTGATGTTCGCGAGTGCTTTTGTTGCGCTCTTTCCACGCAAGGTTGTTGGCGATATACGCGGATGTTCGCGTTACATTTATTCCCGTTGCGAGAGGGTTATTTAAATTAGTAGGAGAGGTGGGGATATCCCTTGATTTCGTATCAGAGCTTTCCCGGACAAAGAGTATTACTTTTCCCTCATAGAATTGATCCTCACCTCTGCTCCGCGGTAAATGTAACTTTCGTTTTTCACCAGGTCTTCATCATGTTCAATAGTCGCGTTATTCAGATCACACTCATGTTTTCCAGACAGCTGTTTTATCTCACAGAAGTTATAACTGATGCAATTAGGTTCCAGGTAGCATTGGAACATGCAGAGATCCTCGTTGACAACGTCGATAGTTCGAACCGTGTGATTCTCCAACCGGTAGCCAGGTTTAGGAAAAGTAGCAAACAATAAACTGCGGCAGTTACCTAGAAAACAATTTTGTAAAGTTGGAAAGTTGCTGTGCAGAATTGAGCACCTCTCTTAAACTCGAACTGTAAAGCACTTTTTCTTATAAATTATTGCTTTGGCTTTTGGCTTTGCAATTATTTTATTAACACCAGTTGATTGTTTATAATGTATCTTCCGACTGATCGATGCAGTTTTTATCTCCCTCTTGATGATCTCAGCTACTTTGATCGATCTATCGATGCCAAAGTCCGGTGGACTAGTATTCGAGAAATATTATTAAAGATTCATTTATGGTTTTTCTTGATTAAATGAAAATAACTCTATGTTAGCTTGGAGAGTGGTTTGTTGCTCGCACCAATCAGATCGTCGCAAGCTAAGTTAGAACTTCCTTTCTCTAAAGGCTACCTGCAATACACGAAGTCCTCGATTTAGGTTTGGGAAATTTCAATCAACCTTAGCACCACCTTTATCTGGAACCAACTTTATATAAATTAGGTAGGCTTTGAGAATGAGGCACCTTTCCACGAAAAGTTATTTTTCTCGTTGTAAAGATACAAAGGCCTGTCATTAGTCATTTCATCCGTAATGATTGCGTGGATCGAAAAGTTGTAAACGTGCATGGACAACATTGTTAAGAGAAAGACGTGATTATCGATTATAAAGTAAACTTTCGCTTCTGATTTGTTCGACATCTTGTCGCTTCGAAATAATGATCATAAGGTGCAAAATGAATTCAAACGACACGTGAACTCCTCGTAAATATGCAAGCCTTCCAAGGGAGAACTATTTGACTGAAGTAATTTATTATATCTAACAGTCGCAGGAGTAGTTTATATGAATATTTCAAGGTTTAGTTAGGTTAATATACAAGGCTACCAAAAATGAAACATAATGGTTTGGTAAACTTTCAAATAGTACTCAGACATGAACAAGAAGATAACTGTAGGAAAGTCTCACCTCGTCCTTTTGGTAGAAGGGAAGCCACAACAGCGAGAACGAAGCAGTAAGATGCAAAGAACATGTCCTCAGAAATCGCCCGTTATAATTTCAGCTAACAGCGTTTGTGAATGTTTTCAACTTAAAGGGAACATAAACCAATTTGAGACAGCTGTATTTAATATGCGTTCAAATGGGCCACCTTCTTTGTTTATTTATGAGGTTGTCAATGGTTGTCACGACTGAATACATTTCCCTAAGATGTTGCTGGTTGGCGATTATACATAATGTGTATTAATAGCCTTCAATTTTTTATTATTAGGGGAAGATGTCCTTAATGTGTTTTTCTATTCTGGCTTTATGCATGTCTGTATGAATACAATAAAATAACGCGGTTCACATATATATATATATATATATATATATACGCTCTCCTTGTCCGACGACCGTTAGCATAATGATGAAAAACCGCGATATTTTCGTAAAAATCTGTGATAATTACTGATGGTTTAAACGGAATTGACCCTAAGCATTATTATTGCATTAGAGGTAGTTTTGTAGCTATTTCGTGGGGCCAATTTTCAATGTCGTCGACTGTAATTCTTTCTTGACAGGCTTTCACTTTCCGTTTGTCGTTAAGTCTAAGAGGTGGATTGCAAGGGAGGGGGGGGATTACACACAAGTTATCATTGGGTCTACCTTGCTGGAAATTTTCACCATAACAACCGGCTCGTCAAATTAAAATGCGCTTTGATTTTCCGCTTGATCATGCACCAAAAATTTAACTTTTCTTAAGGGACCTACGAAAGGCTTTCGTACAATTTTATCATCATCATCATCATCATCATCATCATCATCACCATCATTAGCCACTTAAGATATAATACTTAAACGGGTTTAACAGTATGGTAGGGCGAGGAGACTTTCCGGAAACCACCAGACTTATAAGGAAGGCCACCTTGGTTGTCAATATCTTTGTAATTAAGTTGTGGATGTGCGGCCTGGCCAATTCGGATTCATTTCATTAAAAAAAAATCAACCATCTTTCTTTTATTGATTCTGCTATCAAAAATTTTTTTTTTGAGAAATTCTTCGGCAGGCTCAGCGGAAAGAAACACCGATGGTAGTAGCACAGTAAGAATTAGTCCTCCATTCAAAGACCAAGTGGCCGCTAATGTGGTTCGGAAGTAGTTGCGCGATCTTAGCCATAAGATTCTCCCTGCAGTGCAGCCTGTTTTTGTGAGCAAGAAATTGGGGCAAGATCTTAAACCCAAAGAAATCAAGCCGTCAATTGTGAATCGGCAATGCGTTTTTTATCGTTTCTCGTGTGATCTGTGCGTTGATGAAGGTGTCGGGTACACAAATATTCGGCAATCGGTCGACATTTCGTGGAAGCTCACGGTAGCAACCACCTCTTGAAAGAAAACCAATTTAGAGTTTTAAGAAAGTGCCAGAGAAAATATGATTGTTTAGTCTTTGAAATACTGTTCATCAAGAATCTAGAGCCTAATTTAAATATCCAGACGGACTCCATACGTGCCAACTTTTTGTGTAATTACTCTTGTTCTTTTCTTACGTTATAGGTTTTTATCACCCGTTGTTATTTTGGTATATATAGACTGCAAATTACAAATATTTTTTTGACTTGATAATGACATTTAGCCAACGTCGAAACGTCGTCGATTTTTTAGCAATCTTAAGAAGTGTCATATCGCAATTTTTTATGGTTAAACATCTTTCTTTTAAAAGTAAAAAAGCTACTTAAACCAGTAATCGATATTGGGAGAGAATTTCAAATTTGAGGACCTTGGTAAAGTATTGCAAATTGTTTAAGATTAGTACGACAATTGTGCGGTCGATAACAATTGGATATTCTTGTATCATAACTGTGTACTTGCCTATTTGCAGGGAACAAGCTGAGAAACATCGGGGGCAATAGTTGATTATGATAATAAAAGATGAATTTAGCTTTTTGCAATGCGTTGACTTAGAAAATAACTAAGATGTTTAATTTAGCAAATACGGGGGCAGTGTGTTCTCGATAGTCTGAGTTAGTAATAACTCGCACAACACGTTTTTGCAAATAAAAAATTCTATTTAAGTTGGTCATATATGTGGACGACCAGGTTGAATAACAGTAAGTGCAAACTAGTTTCAAACAAATTTTCTTTTGGATGCCTCTTCAAGTTTCCGCTCCTTAATAAATTCAACCAGCCAAAAGGGAAAAACGGTAGTGGTCAGATCGTTTAAGTAAATGTGGGGAATTTTCACTTGGGGAATCTTCATGATTGCACACTCGTGCTGGATCGTGCACTATAAAGGCTGAAAGTATATTTTTGAACCTAAAATATCCTAAGGAGCTCAATCTTTGACTCGATCATTGCCATCAGTCTTCGTTACTATCACACAAAACTGCGTAAAGTTTGTTTAGCAGATTTTTCTGTCCAAATCACCTGTTTTGGTTGGGTGAAGTGAAATTGTTTCGTAGGCTAATTTTAAACTTTCTTTCTGCGGTGGATCGATAATAACTTAATCCTTTCTTCTGCCCGCTCACTGAAGTACATGAACCCCTCGATTTGCGTTTTATGAAAAATGGAACTTTGAAGCCAAACAGCCAAACAAGTCTGTCAGTGGTCATTTTATCCATCGTGTAGGAGCAAAAAGTCCAAAATTAAACGCGGTTCGCGGACATCATTGTAGAAACAGTGACTGTTTATTCGAAGTAAACTTTCCCTTTTGGCTCAGCCCTAAAACCATGTTCCCTGAAATTTATTTTTTTCAATTTTGTCATTTTCAAAATATGGTGCAAAATAAAATGAAAACTTCCTTTAAAATATTTGGTTGTCTTATGCCACTCCGGGTATTAGATGAAAATAATAATTGTTGTTTTTAGTACTAGTCGGAGATGCTTATGTGAATATTTCAAGGCTTAGTTATGTAGATAAAGATAATAAAACGTTATATGATGATTAAGAAAACTTTGAAATAATACCCCATTCACAACATCAACCGGGTTGAATTAAAACAGAGATGTGAATAACTTAATTTTCCATAGGTTTCAAGTAATCACTAATTTTTATTTTCATTTTGTTAAATTTGAAGTTAAAAAAGATCGGTTTTAGTAGATGCTAAGAAAACAATTTATACCCATGTTTTAACCAAACAGCCTTTAAGCATTGGTGTGAATTGGGTATAGGAAAAAATTTGGTATAGGAAAATCCTACCTTGTCCTTCTGTTATTAGGGAAGCTAAAACGGTGAGAACAAAACAGTGGAATATAGACAGCATTTCCACAGGAAAAACGCCCGTTATAATTCCAGCGAACAGCTACAGTAAGTTTTTCCTTCTTAAGGGAAACACTGGGCGAAATGAGACAGCTGCAGTTTAATATTTGTTAAAATACATCACCTGTCACAATTGAATTAGTTTCCCCAGGAACTAGTTGGTTGGTGAAACTCAATGTCAATGTCAATGTCAACGTCAATGGCGTATGATTTGAATAACTAGAGAAGATGTCTTCCATGTGTTTTTTTTAATTCTAGCTTAATTATGTTCGTATGAGTGCGAATTATGAGGCTGCCAATACACTGTCTACACGCGTTCCTCGTTTGCCCACACTTAAGCACGAAATAAAGACTACCGTTTTACCAAAACACGTTGATATTCCGAAATTTTGGGGTTGGCTCTGATGGAGAATTTGTTTCTTATTCTTGTATTTATTTCTCATTCTTTGATTGTGAGGTGAAACCAGTTTTTCATGTAATCAAGTGTCATTCGTACATATTCGTACATGCATGACTTACGCTCTCCACCCCCCCCCCCCCTTCACCAGACTGTTCACCTCAGCACCCTTTTAATTTCCGTTTTTAAATTAAGAAAGAGTGAAGGGGGGGGAGGGTGAAAGGTGATTCAAAAGAAAACACTTAGTATCAACAGACTAAAGAACCTGTCAAACAAAATTAAACTCTCCGAAAATAAATTGGATATCAATTTTCTTGGATGAAAAGCCCCGTCCAGGCTTTACCTCACGTCTTTTTTCAGACTTTTCGATGCTGATGTAAATCTTGAATTACGAAACACTTATCACTTCCCTTCTGCTGGAAATTGTCTCCATAACAACTGTCTCGTTTCGGCTGTACTCAAATTGTGCACGCGAATAAAAGGTTACGTGTCTGAACATCAAACGACTTCTTGTTATGTCAGTAGTTCATGAGGCGCCGACTTAGCAAAAATGATAGCTAAAAATAATGTATTTGTTTTCTGGATGAGCTGAACTAGCGTGAGCATTGCTGATTAGCGGTAACGTGGGTGCGAGTGATATAGCACTGAGTTAAGAATATAAAATTAATTTTTATCTTAAAAGATACAAATTTTGATTTGTTTCAATTTAAAGATTTTAATTTTAATTTAAAGATACAAGTTTTAATTTGTATCTTTGAAAATGTTAGTCAGTAGTTTAACTTGAGGACTTCGGAAGGTGACAATTCCAAAAGTAAAGTAGGACTTTTTTATTATCAGGAAATGATGCTTGAATGTTACAACTGATAGCTTGTTATCATAACATTGGCGTTGTTCCATTTATTTTTCTGACTTTGTCTAAGACTGTTCACCCTAATGGTGATTAAAATATTCAGAAGAGTACTGCAATTCCCTGGCGGTTTTTCTTTTGACCTCAACTCAACAAGGTGGATGACAGAAATTAAACAAAGAGACCACAGCATGAGCAAGACTTGATGGAGCATGTATGGGAAAAAAACGTAACATTTGAACTTTGAGGAACAATTCGCTCACGAATTATTTATGAAAGCCTCTTAAAACTGCTCCGAAAATATTTATCGTAAATCATTCCAAACTGTATTAACAGCCAGTTTTTAATCCTGTTCTCTGTAGTAAAAACCAAACATGATTAAGCAGTGCTTAAGTTCGATAAAGTAGACACTTGTTCCCCGAGAAAGCGAAAGGGGAAACGTAAATAGTTTCCGCTTGCACAGTATCAGTCACCAGATCAGCGTATCATACTGCTTATCATTCGAAGAGAAAAATCGTGTCCGAACAGAAGTAATTTTCGTCGAAACACGGATCATATACTGGTTGCCAGTTTTATCATTTCATTTTGAAGTGGAGCCTAGTGGATCAAACCTTGTCCAGGCTGGTCAATACAACTTCCGGCTCTTATTCGAGGAGTGTTGTAAACAGGAAGTTGAGAAGGAAACGGGGGGGGGGGGGGGGGGGTGAGGGGGGAAGGTGTGGAGACACTAGCTCATCAGAACATTATGCTACAAAGAAATACGGAGCCCGAAAATGCAAGATCGACTAGTTATTTTATCACTGACTGATCTTTTCGTCTTTCAAGTGACCTCATGCGACCGGCAGTCTTTCAAAGGATTTATATTCTCTTTGGGCGAATGTACGACTTGATATTGAAACACTGGTCTCAAATGAAGGTCGATAGACGGTGAATTGATAGAGCATCTTGAGCGGTGAGAAAGGTGTCTTCGAGAGATGACTAAATAAGGTGAAATTGCTGGGTCAAGTCTAGATATAGTTTCCGGTGTGAAATAGAGTCAGAATGGTGAAGAGGGACGCATACTTCAGCGAAAAATTTTGTGGAGTGTTCCCCCCGTATTGAGTCTAATGAAATGACAATACAACTTCATCAGTTCATCGACTGATTATTATTTTGAACAGAATGTGTTCAGGCAGCGCTTAACTTCCTGAGAAACTCACGCCACTCAAAAGGGGCACGCTTCCAATTTACATAATCAGTGATGACACAGCAAATGATATTTAAAGACGCGTCGATCAGTAGTTTTATCAGTTCATCAGGTGAGCAGCGAAGGAGAGAACGTTTTCTTTCGAGGAACTTCCGCCTAGATCAGTAAAGGTTTTGGAATCCGCTCTTATTCACAGCGATAGAAATCGTATAGCAAGTATGGAAGGTAAGTCCTCAGGATGTTAGATCTTCAGTGAGATTCATTGTTTCAGTTCATCACTTCGCATTGAATTTTAAAGATGTCAACTTGATGTACATTCTCCAATGTATTTCGCAACTTTATTTCCTGGAAATGGAGCGATCTTGTGTTCTAAGAATTTGACATGATTTCGGGAATGTTTGTGATGTATCACAAATCTAAAGTTATGTAACATTGGGCCGGAAAAAAAATTAAACAGATTTTAAGTGTTTTTTCTAGAGTAGAGCAATAAATTTTCTTGGCCTTGACGCATCCCAGTGTCTTGATAAGAATCTGGGATTATCCGAGCGTATTCGCAAATGTTTAGCCATGCTTAGGTGGAGGCAAATAATTTTTTTTTGTATAAAAACAGGAGAATACAAGGTGACTTTAGTGGTGTACAGTGGTGTTCCTGATCCTGTTTGGTCGGTTCACCCTCGTCATGGAAAATTTAAGGAAATGAAACATCTTCTCGACGACGCAAGGACCAAAGGTGTCGCCTACCGTCACCAGAATCTCCCTGCTATTCTTGGATACAAAGGTTTTCTGGTATATGAACCAGGAGCTGAGCATGCAGAATTGATGTTAGGCAGGGAGACAACCGCCCTTCAAAAGCTTCTGCTTAGCACCATGCCAGAAGGGTTGATAAATAATGACTTGCACCACAGGATTCAGCAGGCCATCGATTCAGGAGCTGTCTCTCCTAACTTGAACGTGCCTTCTTCGCACGCTCCCAGCATTGGAGACGTTAAAAAAGACGTCGATGTGATAGAGCATTATGCACCTAAATATAACCCAGAAAGGTGGAACAAATACGATGTAATCCGTACGTATAACAACTGCTACAACTACGCAAACCAAAAAATCACTAACAGCTTTGCCCAGCCTGGTTATGCAAGCGGCCATGGTATTACACAGCCTATTACTGCAGCCAAGACCATTGAGGCCTGTGAAAGCGATGGTTTGGTGAAGATGGATGTGGATCCTAGTGCGCCTGTGCCTGAAGCACCAGCACAGCCCAACTGCCTAATTGCATTGATGGTCCAAGAAGGTGGGGAACAAACCCTAATTTGTTGAGCTCCCCAAAACATTGATATTTTGCGCAAATTGCCCGATCGGTCATACTAAAACACAACAGCATGGGGGTCGTATAACGTTTGATTGACCACTTATAACCTTCCCAAGATAAACTAAGAAACGGACATTTAATACAGGTAACCACCTCTAGCAAAATCAAGCCCATTTTGGCACGAGTGCTACATCAAGTGGAGGCGGAAGTTTCATTGCAAATTTTACATGCTTCATAAACATTAAAAAGTAAAAAATCTAACACAATTCCAGTTCACGAACTTGATGACGCTCAGACCTCTATCTTCTTTTCGCCATTTTTTCTATATTTTTCAGGCGTAGATTTTCACTGTTACCGCTTGGATCAGGGTGGATTATGGTCCCAGAAGCCTGGACAAACTGCTGTGACTAACAAGGATGGAAAGGGAAACACGATCACTGATCCAAGGAAAGCGGTCCCCCTGCCTTACGGTCCAAAATACAAATTTGTCACTTTTATGAAGATCTTTACCAACATTATTGATGGTCCAATTACACCACCTTAGTCAGATTAATTTTCAACTACACATTTGCCGCACCTAAACTTCTGCATTACAAGAAGTTATTTTCTTTCTTGCTATTTAGTCAATTAGTGAATCATATTTTGGTGAATTATTCTCAAATTTAGCAAGTTTTTTTTAACTTTACGTGATTTGAGAGACAAAAATAGTGTGTGTGTTGAATTATTTTTCATAGATTGGGCTGCCCTAGCATATGTTTGCCATGCACAGCGAATGGTGACGTCAATTTTTTTATAGTTTTATTTCTCGGGTTTTATCCATTTTCTTGCAAGTTTTAAAAAGAGAAGTAACACGTTAATGTTGACTTTTCTTGATTCATTTCAGATGAACTTAACAATCATTTTCGATTCTAGTATAAGTTAAGTTGATTCCAGTCCATGGGTTCATTATCATTGTGGGACTGATGAACTCAAGAGGAGAAGGATCGAGATAAAAGGTTCTTAGATAAAGGCTCTTAGCTTCCAAGGAAAGAGAGATATTGTGTAATGATTTAGTCAAATAAACTGTTCCTGACTGTCACAATTTTTTTACTTCTTCTTTGTTTGTCCTAAAAGATAATAGACATCGTCACTCGAGGGCACAAAGGGGGGGGGGGGTTGGTTGCGCTTTAAAATATTCTTTCGTTATGAGTCGTTATGAGGAATTCATTTCTATTTGCCTTCTTAGATTAGATATTTATAATTCGATTTATATTGTTTGAAAATTAAGCTTTGCGAACCTATAATCATAAAACGAAGGCGAGAAACGAGAGTAAATTTCATACATCAATAGAGAGGAGTTTGACCTCTCAAGAAAATTTAATGACCAGGCTTAGTTTTGTAATTAGTTGAATCAACAGATTATAAACTTGCTAGTTTATAATCCTTTGCTTCTGTACGTGTCAGGACTTTCATTAATGTTCATATGTAACAAGTTGAATCTTGAAAGTTCTCAAGTTTGTCGATTGAAGAACCAACAAAGTGACAGTCAGCTTTATTGTCACGTTCTTTATAACATCTAAATATCGCTCTTTGCGTGATCACAAGGTTCATGCTCTTTTGATACTCAGGTAGTCTACTCGTTATTACCAATCTTACCGTTTTTTGTTCGGATTCATTCATTGTTTATTTTTCGCTAAACAACTTGATTCACAAAGCTAATGAGCTACTTGTAGATCTTTAGAGTAACGCAACAAAGAGTCATGAGGAATATGAAGTGCACACTTCAAGTGATTTGTGCAAGCTTGTCGAGCACTTGTTTTTAATCATCTTCAGGTCGGGGCTAGCCAGCGAATCACTGGAACTCAATGTCAGCAGAAACTCAACTGATGTGGCCTGATGAAGAAAATATTTTTAATCCTGATCATTTATTGCTGATTTTATCATTTTACCAAAAAGGGGAATATCATACGCTCGGCCTTATCCTGATCTTGCAATGTTACGCAATCGATTATAATAGCGCATTTTGTCTTAACATTGCTCAAAACATTTCAAGAAATATATCTTAGATGGGTTAGATCAACTCACCGATAAAAGCAAGATAATTTGTAGGTCTTCTCTTTATACTCATATACCTATTTGGTGTTTTCTTTGACTTGATTTACGGTACCAAAGCCTTACGGGGGTCGTTATTCCCTCTACTAATATAAACGTGTAATTTTGTCACAGGGATGTCGCGCGAGAAATTAATTCGAGTATTAGGCACGCTACGGATTGCCAAATCTAATTTGGCAAGAGGAGATTGTAGATGTGGTGCTCTATTAGGAGTGATATCTCTAATAGAAAATCAGACTGCATTGGAAATGTTTATCCCATGAAAGACCGGTTTTGCCAATCTTACGACAAAAAAAACAATGCTGTATTGACGCATTTGTAATCGAGTGTTTTCTGTCGCCTCTGAGATAAAACCAACATTGATTAGTGCTAAATTCGGAAGTACTCACCACAGATAAATAATCAAATTTTGCCTTTGGAATTTTTCTTTGAGATAAAACGAAAACAAAGAATATTACGTATTTCGCAGAATGACGAAAATATTCAGCTTGCCATGAATTTTATGAGATAAATGTGAAGGGTAAGTTTAATTATGCATGTTCCGTTTCATTTGTTCGTTGCCGAACTTACGCACATTGAGTTTCAAAAATATAGTTCCACCAGCCCATATTAATCGGATTTAAAATATTGAGTATTCTTTTTCTGTAGGAAATAAATTCATACGAAAGAATGTACAATGTAAACTTCTGCGATTTTATTTGATAGAACATCATGGCTAATTTTAGCAGGTTTTGTTATGTACAGTATGTACACTTTTTTCGCCACAAGGAAATATTTTCCCCTCTTCAAGGGTACAAAACATTAGCAAAAAAGATGGTAAGTCAAAATTATATACATAGAAAGTCACACTGTATTTGGATTAACATTGTTATGAAGCTAATTAGTCCAGCATCGTCTCTATCATAATAATTTACGTCTCTGAAATAAATAAATTATTTAGCATGATTGGTTCCTCTAGATTTTCTTTATCTTGTCAACACCTTGTAAATCAGTCTCTTTCTCAGCAGCAAACTTTTTCCTCAACTTGTTCGAAAAATCAGTTCACTGCATTTTAATTAAGTCGTTCAAAGGTCTTTCTCGCAAGATGTCTTGAAACGGTTCTTCTCGATTTCCGCGGCTCACTTCATCCCACAAAACATAAATTTTCTCATACAATGAATGTAGGAGAAGGTAAAATGATAAAAAACCGGCGTTATTCACCTCAGTGCTCCTGGGCTGTTGTGTTTTCTCTTCAACGGAACGGTATCTCTGCGAATATTTTACACCAGTACGAGTAACGTGTGTACGCGTTGACTTCTTGTCAATTCTTATTTCAATTGACAAAACCATTTTTGACGAGAAGAATGAAAATCATTTCTATTTGTCAAAGTGTTCGACAAAAACTAGAAACTCATTTAATAATTTTTCAAGCGTTAGTAACTGAGTTTTATATTATCATTGAAACTCTGTTGTCACGTTTCTTTCTAAGAATCTCGTACCCGGAAGAACCTCCTACTGGTGTAGAAACTAATTATAAACACAAGCAGTGAAACATCTGTCTCGTATTGAAATGAATCGTGTATTGGTATGAGAAAGGACATGTTGACACCTCCTAAATTTGCCAGCTGAAAAACGTGAATAACTGTCTCCGTTTCCTCACTCCTTCGAGCTCGTACTTCTTGATTCAAATTGTCTCCAATGTTAGCAAGCAATCTTCCTACTTCTCTCGTTGGTGTTTGTTCAACTTGAATATCACTTCCAGAGGGTTCGTCCCCAGAGTTGTCTTTGTGTCCTTCTGTGAGCATTTTAGATGTGTTGTAGAATCTGCTTATACCAAGCACTTTTCTGTCGCTTCAGTCCTTTGATAAAAGAAGTGATGAAAAAAGTTATAGTGGTTCGTCTTTGAGCAAGTTAGTTATGAAGTCGTGTCCGAAAGTGAAGCGCAGATGTAATGAAAGGCTTAACAAATTGCGTAGTAAGTTGTGCGTCAATGATAAAATTCATGAAATTTTCATTACAACAGGAAGTTCACGGATTAAAATTCTCTAAGTGACCATGACACAGGGTTTCGTCATTTTCAAGATAATATTGCTTTACTTACTTACAACTACTACGCGCTTATTTCAGTCTTCGGAAAAAATCAACCTGTTTGTGTATTCTGTTATTTTTTTATGTTATGTTGTAGGGGTGCTCCTGTTGATGGAAAAATATGTCGTGAACTCTGCCTGTGTGTACGTGAAATAACTTCATTAAAGTTTACTTCGTCGCAGAAACAGGTTGTAATACAATGATCATAAAATAAAACACGTAGGGAGAGAACACGCCCTTTTGGGCCAAGGTCGTACACGTTCTCTCTTTTAACTTCGCAGTCACGAAGTTTTGTCGCGCAACTTTAATATTTCAAAACAAAGATATTTTGTTTTAGATGTTATCTACGTTTTTGGAATAGAAATTCGATTTTCAAAAGCAAGAGAAAACAGTAAAGTTAGTTTGGAAAACTGAAACCATGGAGATTCTAATCTTCCAGGAAAGTAAAACTTCGTAATTGTAAAGCTCTTCATCCAATTTGCGAGTTTTTACATAGGAAACAAATTGAAGAAGCTAACAATCAAATTTTGGGCTGTCATGTCTAAATTTTTTACTGTCTTAGTGTAGTTACTGTACATAGGTAAAAAACAGTATTTTTAAAAAGATTGGATATAAATATTTTCTTCGACACACCTGTTGAAATTCTCTGCGTGTTACTGCTACCTGCCTCCAGGCTAGTTTGAAGCAATTTGTTTTCTGAGCAAGCTAGTAGTGACACTTGTTACAATATCAGTGACCTTCACGTGAGAGTCAAGCTTTTCAGCTTTTTGTATTGTAAACCAATGTTACCGGACTATTGTTTCTCGGCGAAAGCTTGGCGCCAAAACCGCTGGGAGAAAACCGAAGCAGTCAACTTTGCATACAATTCTATTGTGACAAAATAAATGCTGAGCGCCACAAAGTCGCAAACATTTGGTAAACACTCCATGTCACCCTCTTCAGGAATAAAAACACTCACGTAAATTCGTAATCCCTCTAGATTTGTCATGGCTTGTCTTATTAATTTACATGTTATTTAACATTTTCGCGGGTAAATAAATAGTTTCTTAACCTCAGTTCCACACTTTTCCAAAAACACCTCGCTTTAAAAAAATTGCTTGCATTTGATTACGAAAATTGTTTTGATTCGTAACTGACCTTAATTAGTATGCTTTCAGTTTCGGGTGTAAAACTATCGTAGTCCTGTGGCTACATTCCTCCGGCGACATGATTTCATTTTGTCCCGTGCAATGTAGTTTATCCATACAACAGCTTTACAAATTGTTGAGTCACATCACGTGCCAACTCGTGCTTCTCACTACTGATGTGAAATGTTTTTCGAGACGATCAATCAGCTGTGTATATCAACATAGAAAGCTTTGGTGTTGTTTCTTTTTTCCGGTTCTACCTGGCACAATCACAATTTTACGGGCTTTACCGCTGATGAGGCATCTGCTTTCTGTCTGCTATTGTTTCGAAAATATGATGACCAAGCACACTTTAACCATAATTAAAGTTCAAGATTTCTTTTTGTTTTATTTTAAATCTATTTCCTCCTCTCTGTTCAAAATTCAAATAACTAAACAACTCACAAGATTAGCTTTATTTATTGACAATTAAATTAATTTCCTGGAGCTTTTCAGTTTGGACACGAAATTGATTCATTTATTATCAAGGACGAACTTCCAATTGATTAGAGTTTTAGCAGTAAGTTTAGTAAAGTAGACAGTCCTGATAGAGAATTCCTTTTCCAATTTTTTTTTATAGAGGATAATTTTTAGCGACATTTTAATCGCAAGTTAAATCATGGCTCGCCTAAAATACATGTTTCCACTAATCTGCCAGTTGTTAAATTATTTATGCAAAAAAAAAATCGTGACTCATCATTAGTAGGTTTACCTCTAGTTTCGACTGGAACGCCGGAAAGGGTACGTCATGTGTATTTATATCGATGGCGACAAAATGTCGTGTTATTTCGAATAGGAAATGTGCCGATCGTCGAGAAAATACTTCACAATAAGAAAAATGATTAAAATACACCGAGTTCGAATGTAAATAAACCCTAACTGAATAATGTGACTCCTTACTAGTCATTTTTGCAGTTGGATCTCCAGTACGTGCCTTTCAGGAATGAGATCATCTCTTTTGCCTCAGGAAATAAGTAACATGCACCTTGAATACAAAATAAATCACTGTTTGAGAGCCAAAAATTTTCGTCAGTTGGCTTACATTTAATAATCGACACAGTACAGCTCGCCAATTGAGCGAAATCGTGAATAAGGATATTTGACTGCAAGCCTTGTTGTGATGAAGCTGCGTTTCCATCTTGACTAAACGAGTTACCTTCTCTCAAATATTTAAAGAAAGCTAGGCGATTGTTTGCCTGTATCTTCGTAAAATTCATATAATGAAGTTCAAATACATGTTAAGCTCTCGGAGAGAATTTTCCGCAATGAAGCTATATAGAGTTGCCAACCTCGAAATAATCATTACATCGGAAGTAATTGCGTGAAAGTGATCATCAAAATTTAATTAAAGTGGGACCGAGTTATACTTTGTATCAGCGAAAAAAAAATCACATCGAAGGTGGTTTCCTTCCGGCTATTTTTCTTTGTCGTTCGGCAGTTGGATCCAGTACACAGCCCCTGTAAACATCTGACTGCATGTTTTAATACAGTTCTGCTTTTGTAGGGAATCAGATCACTCTTAAATGGACCTTACCACAGTTGAATGCGAAACCTTCATTTTCAGCTACGCAATGTCGAAAAATATATTCCCTCCAAATAAATGAATTGTAAAACGAATGATGGTAAATTATAAAAACCAAAAACATACAAGGAAGTCACTCGCGGGTCTTTCTTGTTGGGGTCCAGTGTTCTTCCTTTGAGTGCGAGTTGTCACATGAGTCATCACGTGATGTAGCGTCTTGCATAAATTTGTCATCTTTTCCTATCTCACGCACGAGGCAGCACTTTGGCGATTGTTCAGTCTTTTCTCTCAAAATGACTCGTGTTTTCATCGGGAGATTGGCAATGAATGCCCGAGAAAGCGATGTGGAAAAATTTCTTCGAGGATACGGTAAATTAAAAGACATAAGCTTGAAAAGAGGATACGGATTTGTGGTAAGAGAGGGCGAATTTGTTTATTCTTGTAGGAGAAAGCTAAGTACGAGCATGTGAATACTCTGCACTTCTAGACGTTATGATTTTTCAATGTAGGAGTTTGATGATCATCGAGATGCTGATGATGCGATTGCAGATTTGAATGGCAAGGAACTGCTGGGAGAATAGTGAGTGAAGTAACGAAAGTTTTTTAGCTAAATATAAATTCAGAAATTAGGCTAAATAATTCATAAGCAACGAAATCAACCTTGTCAGATATTACATAGTACCTCGTAGATGTAACGACTTTATTACTGCAGTATTTTTTGTTTTACGGTAGAGAACATATAATCCTGTCTAATTTAAAGATGGGTTACAGTCTTAAAGTACACCACGAAAGTCATTTTCTTTGATTTGGCTTTTATCCAGCCACCTGCAAATAGGCATATATCACGTAGCTGAATTTTCGCCAAAATACGTAGGGTCCCATGGCCTATTCTTGAAAGAAACCGATCAATAATGAAACGAAACACAACGATACCGATGAACTCTTTGTGTTGCTTCAAGACTTATGTGTTATTAGGTATCACTTTGCCCACACACCACTTTCACTTCGGCAGGGGCCATATTTCTGCTTCTTGTGATCCAATTAAGATTGCCTCTAAGGATCTAAAGCTGAAGTAACTTTTATGTGTTTTTATTTTTTTTCAGTGTTGCATTAGAGTTGGCCAGAGGAAAGAGGAGTGGTGGCGGTGGTGGGCGTGGTGGAGGAAGAGGTGGAGGGGGCTATGGTGGTCGCAGACCTGTTTGGCTGGACAAGTATTACGAATATTTTTAAGACATTTTTATCCCAAATATAATTACTGTATTTATTTTCTTAGTTTTGTTTAAAACTGGTGAAAAACTTTAAATTTATACAAATTTCTTTCATTTTGTCCCTACTGGGGGTCAAGGTATGGGCCTCCAGTAAGAACACAGTACCGTGTTATCGTGGAAAACATGTCAAGTCGCACAAGTTGGCAGGTACTTGTTATTACCTAGGTGCATTGTATGTTTTATGAGTATAGAGTTGGATTGAAATCAAATCTGAGTAAATGGGAAATTGGAATTAACATCTGGAGATTCTTGTCGCAATGTTGGGAAAGGATCCTCTCCAATTATTCCTCCATGGTGAAAATTTTGCTTTCCCTTTTCAATCACTATAATATATTTTACTTGACTTTAATTGTTTATGTAATTGTGTAATTTGCTATGCTATTGTTGTATTTTCACTGTATAATAATATACCTTATGAATTTTAAGAATGAACAAATGAAGGGTTTGATATAAAATGCCAGGTATTTGTTTAAAGGACCTGTTGATTTGATATAGATGGTTTGTTTTTCCTACAAAAGTTTTGTCAGGGATTGACAGCAGGCAATTAGTTTATGGAGAAGAGATTCCCAATTTAGTATTTTTTCGTTTGTTTGTTGACAGGGCGTTAAGGATTAAGCGCTTGATATTCACTAAGCAAAGGTTACAAATGATGTTGGATCTTTTCCTAAACTGAGGGAGGTTCCCTTTGCGTGTCACTGCCTTGCGATGGTTGTGAAAGCTTGCAAATTAACGATGTGAAGTGACTTAATGTGATATGGGTACAGTGATTGATGAGAAGTCTGCTTGTCATCTCTGAAGATACTAAACTAAATCTGTGATATGTGAGAATTTGAAGAGAGATGTATTGTATTGTACACTCAGGTAAGATGGAGGGAAGGCCACTGTCTTCCCTTTCTGGGTTTCAATCCAAAAGAGTTAGCCAATCATTCTCGGCTGTTTAAGAGTGAAAGGTGATTGGTAACTTTGATCGACAGCTTTTGTTATTAAATTATGACAAATTAATATTTGTTTCTGATTTCTTGAGAACATCATCAGAATTCTTGCAAACAATTAAACAGTGTGTTCACCAGTATAAGGAAATTATTGGTTACCCTTTGAGCAGAGTCTTCCTTCACCTCCTCCAAAGAAATAGAAGGTTCTTTTTGGAGGAGGTAGAAGATGACTCTGCTAGCAAGATGGTTATATGTGTAACCTTATTTAATTGTTCAAGGAAAAGAGTAGTTTAACACAATACTTTTATTTGTTAGTCATGGTTGCCACAAATCATAAAATGGCTGGTGAGAAATTCTTCATTGAGGAACAATCTTGAATATTACATGTTAGATCTTTGGAAACTTTTCTCATTTGGGAGATCGCAAAGTCTTTGAATATTAGAGAAAATGATTTGTGTGGCAAACATGTTTGACCTTGTATTTGTTTCTTTCGAGCTAGACTGTCATTGAATCACTAACATTCTCATCTGATTATCTGTTAGGATCTGAAAGACCACCTTCGCCAGGTCAGCAATGCAAGACTAACTTATGCTGATGCACATAAAAAGAGAGTTGGAGAAGGGTGAGGATTTTTAAAATAAAATTTACAGTATTTTTTTGGTTATAGGGTGTAGCACTTTTTCAAAGAAATTTTGCCTGATCACCCTTGAACTGTCTCAGATTTGGGTGCATCTTATAGCTAAGTATTTTCATGCAATGAAATTTGAGAATGTCCTATTTTCTAATTTAAAAAACAAAAGATAAATAAATAAGTAAAAGGCTAGGAATATTGGTTATTAACTTTACTTGACTTGGTGGTTCTGAAAAGAATCATTTATTCATACTTAAAGAAACAAATTCAAAAAATCAAGGTGTGTCTTATAACTGTGAGTGTATAACCAGAAAAAAAAAACGGTATTCAACAAAATATTTGAGGATTAATAGCAATGTAGCAAAGTTTGCATAAAATTTACCAAAGTTGTATATTCATTAAAACATTAGTGAACGTGCGTACTGAAGTCAAACTTTTGAATGTTTTCATAGATGTGTAGAATTTGAGAGTCGTGAGGACATGCTGGATTGCCTCAGGAAAGCTGATGATACAGAACTTGGAGGCAAAAGGATTCGCCTTGTTGAAGTGAGTGTGCGAGTCTTTTCAAGAGGATGTTCATTATATTCCTTCATCATTTTTGATTAGAATTCATTGGCATTAAATACACAAGGTGAACACTTTATACATGCATTGTATGAGTATGTCACCTGGCCAGCATCCCTTGTGGTCTGGACCAACAATTTCTTTTAATCTTGAGAAATTTTTGCTCACAATAAAAATTCTTATTATATTTGGTCTACAGTGTTAATAACATGTATAATTCTTACTTGATCAATTTCAGTGCATGCTCTTTTCAAATTAGCTGATGAACTACTTCTAGATTTGTGCAACCATTATATGTTTGAAATGAAAATAGAAGGTAAAACATTGTTTCTCTTTCACAGGACAAGGGCCATCATAGCTCTCCTCCGAGACGCAGTAGTTATAGAAAGAGTTCTCACTCAAGGTCCCGCTCAAGGTCCCGTTCACGATCTCGATCTCGTTCTCGCTCTCGATCACCGAAGAAGCGTTCAAGGTAACTTATGTTGTATTGTCTAACACAAGTTGAATGTACATGTAGGAAGAGTGGGTCAAGAAAAGGGGTGACTTGTGCTCATTACAATCTTTGTGTTTTATGTAGCTGAACAATTGTAGTTAGTATTATATGAAAAATAATGTTATCAGAAATGCAGTTTTTTTTATTGTTCATTTAACTGTTTGATCCATAGGTCTTACTCTCGCTCCAGAAGTCGCTCTGCATCAAGGTCCCCAGCCCGTGCAACAAAGCGTTCACGAACACCTTCAAGGTCTCCTGAGCCAGCAAGGGCTGCATCACCTGACGAAAGACGTGATGAAAGACGTGAAGAAAGTGACGATTGATTGTCATCACTGGTTTAAGTTTACATAGGCTACTTTTGAACCAGTGTTCGTTCAAAATACATCTCATAGAAAACTGTCCATTGAACAATTTTTTGAAGTTTTTAGTGATTGCAAATGTAGCACATTTGTTAGAGATTTTTTTCCTGTGTGTGGGCTTGAATGTCTGAACCAAACACAGAATAGAAGTTCATAGTGGAAGAGTTTATGTAAAGTTCTCACTACTCTAATCAATGTCAGTATCTAATAGAGATTTTCAGTCGAATACAGTTTTGATGATCAAAATTGTGTTATATTTAGAAATTTTGTACTGTTTGCATTTGATTTAATTGTGTTGTTGAGTATATTAAAGTAAACACTCTTCATGTAAAATGAGTTGTTAGAGGTCATTTGAGTGACCACTCTGATCTAATGGAAAGCTGTAATACTGTTGTTTTAAAATAAAATCTTAACCAGATTTGATCCCATCTTGAAAGATTATGGCTTAATGTCATACATGTACCTTGCATGTCAGTTTGTCCCAGTTTTACTCGGCATCACTTATCAGAATCCCACCTCCTATGTACATCTACATGAATATGACAAGTGCACAGCGATATCATTCCACAATTGGTATCCTGCTAAGTCTACAAGCTATCATCCTCTTCACCATTCCCAGGGAGGTAGAAATCTTGTAAAAAAAATATATTTTCTACACAACATTCCTCTGCTTTAAAACCCAAAGCATTGGCAGGCACTTTTTAATAAAGTACTCGAGTATTCATTTGCAAACAACACTGCAGGCCTAGTTTAATAAATCATGGACTTTCAAATTTACTATTTGGGTAAATAGTTGCTGAATATAACAGAGAAGAACAAAACACTTAATACTGTCAAAGAGTTTTATTCAAAATCTGCATTCTCTGGCTTGATGCTTAACTTAGATTTACTCTCAGTAAGAGCAGCAAAAACTACATGTAATGATCTAGAGAATCTCATTTAAAGTGGTATTAAATACTAACAGTAACTCATCACCTGATAAGCACACTTCTCTATAAAGTATTTAGGAAAAAGTTGTTGATGTTTCCAACATCATCAAAGTCCCATCATTAACTTATATCTTAGATGTTTTGACAACTCAACTCTACATTTTCATGTTTTGTGTTTTATTAACCTCAGATTTCAAACTTAATTTATTTAAAATAGTAGAATATCAATGCATCTGGTTGTGCCTTCACAAATTCTAATTATCGGCCTCAGTTGTGAATTCCAACATCAAACTCCCTCTCTAACCACTCAAAATCCAATTTTAAATTCTCCTTTTCGATTGCTATACATTCCTTAGTTTCAGTTGCCAGAATTGGGTTTACATCAATTAAGACCTTGTGCTTGTTCACTGAAAATGTCTTTCAAGGGTCCATCAAACATTTTAGCTCACAGTAAGTACAATTGGCTAAAGTGTGCCAGGTGACTAAACATGCCCCTGCTAAAACTGGGAAATGTCTATTAATATTTGTCAAAAAAAAAAAAAAAATTCAACAATTAATAAGGCAAAAAAAGTCCTCTGCAAATAGTTGACTGAGCACATTTCATTTAAGGTGGTTTGAAAAGTATTTGACGGATAATAAACACAATGGCTTTCTCTAGGCTTGACATATTGCATGTATATTTGCCCTTGGACATTTGCCCCTTGAAGCTCACAGTTTTCTCAAGCTCTGCTTTCAGAAAATTGTTCACTTCTTGGAACAGACAATGTCCATGACCAAATATCACAAAAAATTTTCACACCATATGGAGGTTAATATTTAGATATTTTAAAGAGATGATAGATTGCTTATTGACCACATCTGAAACTCAACCTTTCAACTTAAAAAGAGGATTGACACAAATCTAGATATTGGGAGTACAAGGTAAAGTGAGAGAAAATGATTCCTGGCAAATCACTTCAGTTATGTTAATTGGTTTTGTTACTGAGGGCTGTGTATGGGTAAATTGATTAATTAATCATCTTGTCATGATGTGGCAACTTGTTTCAGTGGTTGCTCGAGGTATTCAGCTAATGCTTCTGCCTGTTCAAACATAAAATAAACTTTACTGTAAAAAAATTAAGTTAAATTTAAACCTGTACTAACTGGTCCATTTCTTGTGTTCACAATTAAATGTAGTGGGCATTTAACAGAAGGAATATTGACAATACCTTTGCTTTGAGCATTCCTAGTCCTACAGATTGTTGTGCATAAAGACAAAGGATTAGATTAGCCACCCTTGTGATGACAACTTTTCCCTCCTTAACAAAAAAGGAAATATCAATTATTACAAACTCAAGTAATGAGCATAACCATTCAATTCTAGCCTTGAAGTAAGACATTCAGTTTTAAAGGAATCTCCTAAACCTGTCATAGTTCTACCATAGAACTACTGAATCAACAGATGCACAACATTTATCTTAACATGATGGCACGTATACAGAAAAACAGGAGTTGATGTGTGAAGTTCTTTGGTAGAATTGCCTTATTTTATTAAATCATGGACTTGCAAATTTATTATTTGGTAGATAGTGCCTGGAGAAAATAACAGAAAAGAACAAAACTCTCAATACTATCTAAGAGTTTTATTCAAAGTCTGCAGACTCTGGCTTGACACTTACTTTGCATTGCTTTCAGTAAGAACAGCAAAAATTACACTTGCAATGATCTGGAGATTCTCACTTTGAGTACTGATGTGACTCACATCACCTGAGAGGCACATCTCTCTGTAAAGTATTGATTCTCTAAGAAAAAGTTGTTGATGTTTCCCTTAGATTTGGTGTAGTTAACATAAGGTGCAATCAGGAAAATGCAAAGTATTCTTTCAAATCCAGTGGCCCATATCACTAGAAAAGTGTTCTCTTGAAACTTTTTAGTAGCCAGGCATAAAAAAACAACACCAGATAAAATGCATTTCAGATCAAAACAGGTAATTTATTGTTATGTAAACTAGCAGGTGCCTCAGAAACCAAAGGCTGGTGCATCTCCCATGAGCTAAATGTTAGCTGATAAAAAAAAATTTGTGAATGTCTATATTGACATGTGTATACTTGCAACCACTACTAAGCACTTTTTAACATATTTGCACCTGACTCTAAGTAAGAGGCCAAACAGCCAAAAGTTAGAAAGTATACATGAACAGACTAGTTGGTATAAGATAAAGTGAACAGATACAAACCTCACAATCCATGAAGATCATTTTAAGCTCATCACTATGGAAGGCCATTTTTCCATTTTTTTCATATGCTGCCCATATACTAGATGCAATGGCTGCTGTCACTTTAGCATCCTTATCACCTGATCCAGCATATGATAACAGTGAGCCCTCTTGGTTGATAAGTCTAAGGGGAATATTTTTACAATAAAGTAAGCAACATACACAATTGTCTACTTGTGAATAGTTAGGTAAATAAATAAACAAACAAATAAATTGGATAAATCGTATTTGGTAAAATTTTCCATTTCAAAATTTGATGTAAACCAGTAGGGTGTAGTATGGTTTATACATTTTCATTTGACTTGTTTAAGTAATTTAGTTAAAAGATACATCCAGGCACTGACACCAGAGTATAGATAAGCACAAGTAACAGTCATCTCATGTTGCCAAGTATTATTGGGATGTACACTGTTTTGACCCAAAAGATTTGCCCATCACATGAATAATTAATTAGAAAATGAAATCAGTCCTGATGTTCAATGAGACTGATTTAGAGTAAAACTAACAGTGCCATATACATTGTAGCAACTATCTCTGACAGTTTTTCGTATCATTGTAAACTAAACTGAAAAAAAAGGATAATGGTGCTGCCAAATTTTTATTTTGGTTCAGTTTTAATTACTAATGTAACATTTGGTCCTTTGGAAATTCTGTTGAAGGTTGTCTGTGGAAGAACTAGCAAAGATTAATTAATAGAAACTGATTATTTAGGTAACTGCTAAGTTCGAAGCAAACTCGCTTTATTTTACTTTCATACCTCGTGTGATTATCAAATCGTTACCTTCCATGACACGTGATTTCTGAACCATTCTCTGAGTTTAATGGTCATGAATAGGTCGCTCTTTCATTACACTGATGTGCATGCAAGCCTTCACATGTGATTTATAACATGTAACGTTTAACGATGAGTAAGTGTTATAGCAATCGAGTTTAATAACCAGCAGTATATTCGTCCATCATCCTTAGAGTGTTCTTTACCCTTCATGAAGAATCTTCATTACCTTTAGCGGTTGAACTCAGTGTTTAAGGGTCAATCTTTAGGTGTAGAAAAGCTTTATCTGGAAGACTTACAGTGAGCTGATGACTCCTCCACTGATTGCCTGGCCCAAGATTTCAGTGAGAACTTTCGGCTTTAGCATCCTTACGGTTTGAGATTACGGTAACTCTACTCCACGTTTATCACTGAGCACATAAACATGTGACATTTACCGGCTCAAACAGTCATTTAACTATCTGTAACCCACTGATCTGCGAAGGAAATCTCTACACATCACGTGCCTTTCCGACTTTTCCGAGCATTACGTCACGTATCCGTCAGTTAGTGTGGCATTCAATTAGAACCAGCGTCCAGGCCTTCACTGATATCCACACGAAGTACAACAACTGGGACTGCTGAAAACTGATTTGGAAATATGAGAAAAGTTTGATTTACCAACAGTTAACATTCACTCGCAAAGCTTTCTAAACGATTTAATACTAAAGTGACTTAAAGAAGAATCGACCTAATGGAGAAGAAAGCCCACGCAAAACAATAAAATGCTCGCAACAGCATTAAAATGACTCAATTGAGGAAGACCTTAGCATGCTGTACAATTTAGTATCGAGAAAAACTAACCATCGATGACATCCTATTTTTAACAGTACATATGTATTTTCAAACTCTGAATAGAGAAGATTCATTACACTAAACTTAATGGAAATCTGCATTCATTTCAGAGACAGGGTACACAAGTCAAGTCATTTTGAGTCAGCTAAAATTTCAAGCAGGATTTTGTAAGTGTCCAGAAGAGAATCGATTGCATAATGAAAGTTATCGTTGCCGTGATGGTTTCTCGGGAACTGATCTGTTGTGGCAGAGGCATTTTCTCTACCAATGATTCAGTAAATAGTTTAAAGCCGGAAATGTTTTTCGGGCGGAGTTCGCGGTCTTCGCGTTCAAATAGCCCTGAGGGACAGTTCTCTTAATTACCCTTAGCTGAGGCTCCATATCCGCCTTTATCTCGTATCTTGTTCTCGAAACTTCCTTCGGCCATGGAGTGCAGACTTATTTCCGGCACAGCGGCTGCCTACCTTTTGAACAGACCGATAATACCTCTTTCATGTTGGAGGGTAGCCTGCGCTGCTGACGGTCTGCGATTTTGGGGGCGGAGAGAACAAAAAATTCATTTTTCCCTCCGCCTCCCAAATCGCAGACCGCCAGCAACGCAGGCTAGGTGGAGGGCATTAATGTTATTCTTTTCATGTGCACGTAAATCACTCTCTTGGCTTCGCTTTCGAGTAGAATTGCAATATTTATTACACATGCATGTCGTCGAGGTCAGGAAGGCTAATTTGCATGAATTTGAAAGGATAACAATTTAGCCTTCCATTTATGAAAGAGGTTCATCTATCCCAAGATTTAGCTTTTCTTATACATTTCATTCAATTGGTATTACTTTTCTTTAAGAAAAGTTAGTCTCTCCAGCCCGAGAGATCGGGTATCAACTCCCACTGTATTTAATGGTAAATAAATGGAGATAAATAAAGTTAGAATTGTAACTAATGCTACGCTAAGAGAAAATAATGACACAGGAAATCAAAGGTACCATAAGATATTTTAAGTTTATTTAAAAATGCAATATCTTAATATATCACTTTTGGGAGAATTACATGTCACCAATAAAAATTTCTTCTGGTTCAAACGTAACAAAGTAGTTCTTGGTTAAAACATAGGATGAGTAGCGAGCCTATTCCAAATATACAAACGTTACTTCCTTGATTTATAAAATTTGACTTGTATTAATATTTATCTTATCACAAACTAGCTGTACTCTATTATTTAACCAAGATGATTTGTTGATTGATTTAATAAAAATCCTCACCAAATCACTATACTCAAAAGTATAGAGCATATATCTCTCATTGAACATGAAACAGTCACCCCTGCTCGAAACAATCTCGAGAAAAGCATATGTGTAAAGATGAGCGTTTTTTTTCAACGTTACAAAAATTTCAAATTCAGAAAATTGAATCGGAAGTGAGGACTGCTAACAGTGTCAGTTTGTTAGGGTACGCTAACACAACAGTTGTCACATCTGACCAATCACAATTATGGCAACCCGCTTACCAGTTGGCCATTTCAACTTCACGCGAGGCCCACTGTGCCTAAGCGGAAGAAAACAAGATCATTCCGAGCAAAAGGCAATCTTGATTTTTATTCTCCTGGGAACAGCGACCTTGTCTTCCTTAGTCGCGAGAGGATGCATGACGTTTCATTTTTAAAATATGTTTAAAAGTTCAATAAACACGATTTCATAGCTCAAAAAGCGAACTAAATCAGCGATAATAACCTCTAATTTGGCACTTCATTTGATTAACCCTCGTCTTGTAAATTATATCAATTCATTAAAAACTTCTTAAACTATATAACATGGCATCGTCTAGAAAGTTGCACCAACCTAGAGCCTTGAAATACAAATAAAAATATCAACTTCCTGAAAGAAATGCCAATGTAAATAAAACCAACTCAACGGACGAATAATCTGCCTGTATCTTGCGTTATGAACAACCGAGCCTAACTCGGATGGAAATTCTTGAAACTTGACTCACCCTGCTCATGTTGTCCACTTGCGAGAGCCTCCCCCCTCCCCCACACACAGACTGCCCTCTCGTCTTCGCAGGATGGAGGCGGACGGCTATCTCTATGTCTTTATGAATCATTTTCGAAACGACCACTAATCCTAATAATGGTAATAATCAAATAATAGCCAATTTAACTGTACAAAAGCCTACTATTAGCTTTTTCAGTCATTGGCATTATTGCTTAAATGTTATTTCCTTAGATGGCCACGTTTACTTGCTTTCTCTCTTAAGTGGTTTGGACGGAGGTGGTGGAGGGGCGTTCGTTGGTCTTGGTGGTCCAACTGAAGTTGCGATGGGCTTGGGACCGGCTAGAGGAGGAGCAGAAGTGCTAGGGCCTGGACTCGAAGAGCCCATGAATTTGACCAAGGCTGGAGGGGTGCCTTTTTTCTTAGGTGGAGGGGTGTTAGTTTGTTCCACATCAATAACCGCTGGCTTGGCTGTTTCTGATTCTTGGGAACTGAAATAAGTATCACACAAGGGAAAGACCACACTAAGTTGTCACTGAAATCAGGTAATGAATTAAAAAAAAACCATTTATGATACAGATGGAAACGTTATGCCTGCCAGCTGTAAGAGTTAACCAGGCTCAGCCAGCGATAAGTCGGGCAGTATTCTGACAAAAGAACTAGAGAAAGCCAGATCAGAAAAAAAAGCAGTTAAATGCCTCCACCTGTATTTCAACCAGTTAATCGTGAGGATAAAGTTGCAATCTTGCACCCACCCAGCTGTTTCGCTGCCAGCTTGGACGCCCGCCACTGAATCAGATGGTGCCTCAGATAGTCCGTTCATTTACACGAAATACTTTCCTAGTTTTAATCTTGTCATACTCTCTTTATGCAATGATAAAAAACAACAAAACCAAAAGGAACTTACTTTTGGGCGTGAGTGCCAGAGTCATCGACGCATTTCATATTCACAAGACTCACCACCTCTTCTAAGAAGTCGCCTGTAACACTCTTATAATCTCCTGGGCCTTTCTTGCACTTCTCAGGAAAACCCTGGTTCACGCCATTTGTCGCTGAGGCGGTTTTACGAGAGAAGTCGATTTCTGCAGGGAAAGAACCATTCAACCTTCCTTTGAATAAGAACCATTCAACCTTCCTTTGAATAAGAACCATTCAACCTTCCTTTCAATAAGAACCATTCAACCTTCCTTTCAATAAGAACCATTCAACCATCCGTGAATAAGTGAGAAGTACAAGGTAATTAAGCCGTAACTATGTACTGTGCTAAAGTCATTGCTTCAATGGTAACAGGGACCGCGCAGCAAGTTTTCGAGTGGGGGGGCTAAAGAAGAATGCGTGAAGGAAAATTTTTTTTTTAAATTATTTTTTTGTTTAATTTATTTTTATTCTTGCAAAAAAGTGGGGGGGGGGGGGCTAAAGCCCCCGGCCCCTCCCTCTGCGCGGTCCCTGGGTAAGTAATCTCTTCGCCGACATGAAAACTCCCTGACTTGACCAAAGATGTCGGCGAGTTGGTTGATGGCGAGTTAACCTACCGGCGACGTGACCGGGTACCGCTTTCCGTTTCAGTTCTGAACAATCGATACAAAACTCAACAAAATCAGTTTGGAATTTCGTGGCTTGAATGAAACATAGCATGTCGACTGATGAGGGAAAATTAACTAGACACCGACAAATATGCAGAAACAGGTTTATCTTAACGTAAGATAAACTTTACTTACCCCCCGGAAAGAACCAGCTGTAATGTTGAATTAACGCCTCTACAATGGATGACTGGACACCAGTGTGTTGGACGTTTACACCACTAAAATTAAACGGAACAAACTTAATTTTAAACAGTCATGGACACTGCACGAAAAAGTTGTGTTTTCCACGAGTATCTAGTTTAACTGTTACAGTAAATGTTCTTCGTATGGGTGTTGCTGAGTAGCTGACAGGACATCAACAGGGGACAAAGAATCTGGACTAACAGATCAAGCGAAAGTACTTTGAGGCATGCGCGTATTGAAAAGTAAGGCACTATTTCCTCACTATTGCAAAGATAAGGAGATCAAATACATAAAAATAACATTTTAAACAGACAACTTTACTTTGGAAACAGTTCTTGGGTACTCTCACCCTTCACAAGATGCTAAGAACAGAACGATGGCGTACATTTACAAAATTCGAATTAAATGATAATTAAACAATCAGTTGCCGGTAAGTTTCTTGAATTAGCTCGGTTGACTCGTTAATTCTTACCCATCGTCCTCTGGAGACCAGATGAGGTTGGGGGCTATGACAATAGCAATATTACTTGCACTCATTTTATTTACATCACTGTTTTCGGACAGCTTCCCAAGGAAAGTTATCAGGTACCTGTGAACACATCAAACACAAACCTCTCAGTTATTAAAGAACACTGACAGACAAAGTTTACACTAATTGATTTACTGCTTTATAAATAATTAATAAAAGAGTATTCCTCACAAGTGAACTGAATATTTATGAAGTTTACATTTTGCTGGAGACATCCTGGTCCACCATTTAAGCAGAAATTTAACACATGTACCCATACATTCGTTTCTTCCATGGTGAAACGTGCATCTCCCGAATCATACAGAGGCACGACCATAATGTATCACTGTAAGTCAAATTAAATTAGCTGCCTCCACAGTGAGGTTTCACCTGTCAATTTTCCAAAAAAACAGGTATACATCACTGTTTAGCACTCGCAAATATTCTCACCTTAAGTTGGCTTTATACAGAGATGGCATTTTTTCTACAATAGTCCAATATGCTTGTAATCTTGTACCATTATCTTGAATCCTGTAATAAAAAAAAAGTATACAGTCACCTCATAGGAGGTAAATCACTACCAAGCAAAGTACTGAGGAACTGTCTAAAAATGTGTCCACCTTACTTAAAAAAAATGGCTGAAGAAGCTGAACAACAGGTTCTAGCCCCAACTGCCTGTTTAAAAGTTATTGGTTGGAAAGAATTGAGTTTTTGTACAACACAAAGTGTTATTCTGAAAAGGTGTGTTCAGAGAAAGAGATCTAAACGAGGCAAGACTTTGTCCACCTGTCACGCCCTTTAGTGTACCCAAATGTGGGTCACACTTGTGCTATCTCAAAGGCTTAGCAAGTCACAACAACCATAACCTTGCACAACATGCATTTTCAATAGTTTACATTAAGGAACCATGGTCTTTCCTTACGTTGAAGCCTGTATCCATTCACTGTATAGCTTAGAAGTCATTAAGGGCTCAGGAAGCTCTCTAAGATACTGCTTAAGCGCTCCTGTAAAGAAAGAAGTAGATTAGTGTTAAAAACTAAAAGGACATTATTCTTTTTCACTAGGACAAAAGATGTATGTGGTGTAGTTTGATTGCAATTGTTCATTTCAGTTTTGGTGCTGTTTAGCAAGTATCACTGATGTTACAGTGATTATAATTGATGATATGATACCTGTGACAACATGAACATCGCCTTCAAACTCTGATAAGTCTACCAAGCCAGCATCAAATTCAGCCTGAAATTTTGTAACAAACACAATGATGCACAAGGTAATATTTAAATTGATGCCACATTTATTTATTACTGATAAAATAAAAGTAAAAACAATCAAGGAATAAATGAATGAACAAGTAAACCAATGAGTGAACAGGTAAACTGGAATCATGTTACAAATCATAAAATCTATTTCAAACACTAGCTCTTTCGCTTTTCTCAAATAACTGAGAGCCATGAAAAAAACTTACTGTAAGTTTTCTGATTTTGGCAGTACTACCTGCAAGTCTGAATAGTCCCTGAAAAGAAGAAAAGAAAATCAATAAAAACAATTATTAATTACTCCCTACAACAATATTAGCCACCAAGTCAACATGGGTGAAAATCAGATTTAAAGCTGTGTTTATACCAGTGACATAGTAGGATAAATTGCAGGAAGGGCACAGCCTTACTTGTTCATCAAGGGCTTCTCTGTACAGGAATGTGGCACATTCTTCAATCACAAAGGCTATTTCTCTTTCCTGTATTCTAAGATGGTCCTCCAGTGGACAGCCATACACTGGTTGAAGTTCTGATTCATCTAAATGCATCAGAAAATGATGTAAAAAATACAGTTAGGAACATATGCCCAATCCCCCTAACTCACCTATTTATTTTACTTCTCTGAGGTCAAATCAGAGAAATATGTATCAATATGTCATACCTTGTTGCAAAAACCAATATTAGAAAGAGCCAAGTTTACCTAGGAGAGACTTGAGACCAGGCAAGACTTTATCAAGTACTGACGTGGCTCTTTGATGATAATCCAGCTGGGCTTCAATGTACTGAAACATGAAAGAAGCATGTAAAATAGTTCACCTTGAAATAAGTGTCTGGCTCTACAATTAAATTAACTTTATTACAAAGAAACTAGCATTTAGCTCTTAGATAGTTATAAACAACACCTTTATTATCCAGTTGGCATATTCTCCTTCCCTTGAAACAAATTTTAAAAGTTCTGTGGTGAGAGTGTCCTGGAAAAAGATAATTCAAGGTACTTGTTATATGAACAAAAACTATAACCACATATTAAATTTCATAATTTTAACTACCCTGTAATTATTTCACTAAGCTATTGTGGGTTTAAAAGAAGCCCAATTCAGAACAAACTAAGTAATACTATTTAGTTAGGATGCAAAAGTTTGGCTGACATCCTGCCAACAATCTGCTGACAGTTGGTTGGGGGAGCTCTCCTTCAAAATCATAAAGTCTGATAAAAAAAAGAAAGTCGTACAGAAGATCAGGACTGTTCTTGGTTCTTGTTGTTCTGACATGTCAATTCAAGTGAATGCAAGAAACAACCAATGCACAGATTTCTTTTAAGTTATGTAACTATCAAACAAGGTCACATGTTTATTAATAGTTTCATCTGTAACATAGAACTAATTCAAAGCAGGAACACTCACTTGACAGGCTTCAAATTTGGCAGTTTCTTCCTCATACTCATCCTTCAGTGTCTCTGCCTTTGTTGCGGCAGCTACCATGTCCTTACTTGCTCCATGGGAGACTTTGACAGCAGCTGTCCATCTTAAAGTGTAACATTCCAAATTTCAGGAAATAAAAGGAAGGTTATAATACCAAGATCAAATGGCACTGAATATAGGCCTACAGCTACTATGGGAGTTATCAAATTTAGTCCAGACCTGATCTGGTGGATTCCCACACAAGGGATAGTCACTGCATGGTTTCAGAATTAAACCTTGACACTCATTAACAGTAGTTTCCCAAACAGCTCTAGGGACCTCATTCAACTGTGCATTTAGCTTGATCTCACATGAAGTACAAGTGTTCATACTATAGATCAATATCTTGATTATTGCATCACAGAATCTTACAAAGGTGAGAAATACTTTTGTTTGCTTTAATCATTTTTATGAAAATAAGATGTCTTACCTTGATTTAACAGTATCCATATCCAGCCTGGTCTTTGTCAATTTCTTCTTTATTTGTGTGATATTTGGGATATCATTCTGTTAAAATTAAAAATATATACAGTTTTACAAAAGAGGATTATGTGCATGTTATGTACAATGTAGATCTCCAAAGGGTTAGAGTGCATGCAGAGGAAAGGATAAAAACAATAACACCACAATAATAAATTTCTTTTTTTCCTAAGAATTTTTCAGAGATTTTGTTCCTTCACTTCACTTGGGCACATAGTATATTTACTATAGATGACCATACAATGTGTGCACGTATAACACCACATATGATTCAGAAGTTATATATTGTTGAAACACTTGTTCACCTCAAGAAGTGATGTCATGGGTGCTAACACATCCCGCTCTACTTGCATTTCATACTCTGCAAGTTCTCTTGCCAGTGAAGTCTGTACATCCCCTGATTTCTGCATCACTTTACTGAAAGAAACAGTTTATGCTGTTATCTGTTGGTACATAACCAGTTACACCTTTCACTTCCTTAAATAATCAAATAGGAGTTTATTGAAATGATCACTAGATTTTTGAGCAAAAGGTGATAAGAAGAATGGTAACAAAACAGGAGGGTAATGTTGGATCTAACACCAAATTCTCTGCAGAAAGAAGAAGGGAGAATACCTGGCATGACCAGGTGCAAATTGTTTACCCTGTCCTGATAACATTTAGTATTCATGAAAAAATATTAATTGTAATTTATTCAAACTTGGTAATTGCAAATCAACAAGAGAACACTCAAGTGCAAAGATGATGAATAAGAACCATTCACATAACAAGGAATAAGAGATCTAGCTCTTACCCTAAAAGAGAATCTTCACCTAACTGCTGTCCTGATTCTAACATGGTTTGTGCCAAAGCTGTTTGGTGAAGTTTTCTCTGAAAAAAAGAGAAGAGAGACAAAAATTAATAAAAGAAAACAAATCCCTACCAGGAGAAGGCAAAACACAAGGCAGCTGCTTACAAATACTTTAGACAACATACACCAGCATAGAGCTAAAAGAGTAAATAAAAAAGACAAAAGAAATCAGTTTTTCAACTGTTGCTTTGGATTGGTTGATGGCTTCAGTTGATGGCTGCATTATCATCATGCATTAGGCTAGGTGTTATTTTTATGATAAAATAAAAAAAATTTGACCTCATTGCTATGCTGTGAGCAACAGATGGATGATGACAAATACTTGTAAGAAATTAACGTGTTAGAGCTATTTTGCATTTTCCTATGGTTGGACTGTGAATTCATGCAAGATTAATCCTTAGAAAAATACTGATTATTTTTTCCTGTCAAATTGTTACCTGAAATGAAAGAAATGTAATTCAAGATTTACAGTTGTAAACCATGACTTTGATGACCATGTAGTTAAACTTGAATTCAAAGACATGAAGCACGGCATAAAAGTTAGTTAGTAAGTCCTTTTCATGCATCTTTGCACGTAAGGCCTCTGCCAGAGAATGCCTTTGATTTCTGTTGGTTTTACTGAGGGTCAAATTACATGAAACAATTATGTAAGGGGGTAATGTATGCATTTAATGCGATGGATATGGTAGATGATTACCATAAGTTCAGATCTCATTTGAGGCCACAGCATAGCAAGATCATCCGAACCACGTAATGACTTGAGGAATAGTACTGCCTACAACAGATAGTAATACCCTCTGAGTGATAGCTTCTAGTGACATTGAAGTCCTTAAAAGATGTCTTTTTCTGCTTTAAGGCAAGCACAAGAGGCAAATCACTCCAGGGAAGGTCTTTCTTTTAAGCTCCTCCCCTCGCATGTGACTGGCCATTAGCAGTTTACTTGTGCTTGCCTCTTCAGCTACCTGTAGGCTTGGTGTCCAATTCTTTGGTTCATGATACATCACATATTTATAAACCTATTTATAAGAAAATGTATTAACTTGATGACTGAATTAATCTGGGGATTTTCTGTTCTTACCAATCTTTTCTCTAAATCCATTCCAGTGCCTTGCATTGAGGCAGCTAGCCTCTTATTTGTTGTTTGACATGCATGTTTGATTTTGTCAACAGTCTTCTCAACCTTTTAAAAAAATTCATAGTAAATCAAATTAACAAAGTGATTTCAAGAGTTCTTCTTGCAGTTACTGAATAATGTACATTAAACACAACCAAATACTTTTAGGAATAATGAAGTATTTATCTCGACTGTGGTGCAAAGAAGATGTCAGAGTTCCACATGAGGATTGTAACCTCAGACCTATATCAATTTAACCTTATGATACTTAATCAAGTGTACTTCAGGAAACTCAGTGACAACATGGGTTATGTATTAGGATTAAATTTGACAGAGATTCAATGTATTGTTTACAGTCTGTGCTCCATTTTTTAGTCAAACAGCTCTAATATGGCTCCTTATGATTGACTGATCAGTGAAAATCAGGTGCAGTTTAATAGAAATGCTTTTGAAGAATGTCTACATAAGGAGGCCTAAGGCTGTAAATGTTATGACATGCTTAGATTGTTGATACTGTATGTATCCCTAGCGTGAAATTTCTGAATACAATTTAGAATGAGGAAATTTCATTCCATGCACTGCAATTAACTGTATCATCTTCCTTCGCTCAATTATGGACACAATAATTTGCAAATAATTTGGTATTGTATAATAAGTAATTGATACTAAAGAGCCAGTAGTAGAAAACTTATTATTTTTTTTTGTAAATAAGTATGTTGGATAAGGAAGCTACGTTGATTTTGCTTCAAGCTTACTATATCTAAAACCTCTGAGTTGCTACTTTCATATAAAATGCATCAAAGATGTTGGAAACCAAAAGATTTGGAATTATTCTATTTCGATTTGTCTGCATATTTGTTAGATAATATAAAATCATGCAATCAGTGTTTACTCACATGCTGTAGATCCTCTGTTAAAATTTCAGTCTTCTCCGCTCTAAAAATGTATTTATATACACATGAAAAATAAAGAACCAATCAAATCATGCTTTACGTGTCATATCAATGAGTGCTAAGTAAGAAGATGTCAAAGAAACGAGTTCTGAAGGAGTCAACTGAGGTTGACTTCCGTCCACTATGTTAACTAATTCATAAAGAGCAGCCATTACCTTCCGACCCTTTGGTCAGCCAGTTGTTTCACACGATAAAACTGTTTCTTCATCATTAAATAATCATCTGTACTCCGCTTTTAACGAAAAAGAGAGAGGAAAACAGAGTATCGGCCAACATTTAAACGTATCACAGAATTTCCGCCATGTTGGTATTTGCCAAAGTGGGTGTGCGCTAGCTTGGGTCAGCGGAAAACCAGTGTAGAAAAATAAAAGAAACGCACGATACTCAAGTCTTGAAAGGATTGCCTTAATAAAGTTCACATCACAAATGCAGATGAAGGAAAAGTAATGTCATAAATTCTCAAGTGTTGTTTTCAAATTTCAATCTCGTCCCTAGATTTCTTATTAAGGAAATTAGGAGGGATGTTAGGTGAAAAACAACCCCGGAAATACGTCACATTTTTTACATGCGAGTCTCCCAAGGCCCAAGCTGAGAAAGTTTTCCCTGTTTCCGGTATAAGGATGTAGCTGTGTATTGTTAAGTTATTATCTTGTATGTGCTTTACGACTTATCCCGCGCGAGTGCTTTTAAATGATGGCAATTGTTTTTAGCACAAAGCTGTGGAAAGGATAGAAAACGGGAAGAAACGCGAGGCTCATTTCTGGTAATTATTTACTTGGAGGGCGCTGAAATTTAACCCATACCTCCCCGAAGGGTAACATTTTCATCCTATCTGATCGTCATGAACTCTACAATTTGTTCTTTCTGTTACAGATTTCCCCGATTTCTTCGCTGTCCATCAGTATGGGAAAATAATTTCTGAAGTGATTTTTTTTTATTTTAAAAGGCTTACGGTGAATGGAAAAGGGAAGTTCTATTTGAGAGCAATTGTATCTTCTCTAGCTCAAGGAAGCTGTGGTTTCTCAAGACTTCGAAAATATTATCGCAGTAAATTATCATGGCGACTCTGTTTCTTCTTGTGGCTATATTTCAGCTGTTAATTCTACGGAAGGCTTTAATTGTCGAAGGTAAGTACTTGGGTACGTGCATTTAGAGCGAAAAAAGATCGCAAAGCTTATCAGGTGTTTGCGAGAAAAACAACTTGATTGTAGTCAGAGGGGCCGGTAAAGATTCGGTGGTTGTTTGATATTATTTGGTGACACACTCAACACATTTAGATAGCGTTGGGAAATTTATAGAGTAGAGCTTCTTGTATCATCTGTAACTAGAAAATGACTTCGCTCTCGCAACACTACAAATCTCATTCAGGTACTGTGCCCAATAGAAAGCCTGCCAAACTCGATCTAAAAGCTCGCATTCATTTGTGAACTCAGTCCATTTTTCCCGGTTTGATTGGGTCTTGAGGATTTCCTTTCTCCTGAGGATTGAAAGACACTATTATATATTAGCCCTCAACTAGGAAAATGGAAAGATTTCCGCTATATGAGAAGATTCGTACTTCGAGATAGAAATTACACATTCATTTGAAAAGAACGTTTGTTTACATGAGTTACTGATGTCGTTCAGGACATACGTGTTGCCATTGACGATCTGTTTTTCATCTTGATTTGATATGTATTTGTATGGCAGTTATCGACGCAATTATAGATCAAAACTTCTTCAGATAAAAGGGCGGGCTAAGGTTTGACTATTCAAGAAATGAAATGAAAAACATTGAGGGTCCCTGGAGTAAATTACTGATTGGCAACATTCCTCTTTGAGCATTGTCTTATCGAAATATTTTTTTTTTCAGTCTCCGGGAACCCAAGAAACGAAGAAATCGAATTTTTTATATTGATTTTTAATTTAATGATGCGCGTAATTCTTTCAAATTTTTCTCAGCCGTTCTTATTTTTTTAATGATTCGCTTAGCCAAGCAAAACACTCGTTATATTTAGATATATTGAATGAGTTGTCCACGACTTAACGAATACATAATATGAGAACCGAAAAGTTGGGAATGTAATTTCTTGATTTAGAGTATGTGTATAAGGTTGAACGTAAAAACATTATTACTATTGTGTGCACATGGGTTTGTTGAAGTTTTGTGAAAATGTAGAACAGAGTGATCTGAGGTTCGATCCTACTTTTGCAAATAATTACATAGTAATGATTAGATTAACAGTTACCCGTTTGTCTGTTTATCCCTTAGTTTATTGGAAGTATTAACTATGTTATTTAGACCACTTGAGCTGTGTGCAGACTGTACTTTACAGTCAGCACTTTGTATTGAAATGAAGGAAATGTTTGTCAGTCTGATTGTCATGACATCTCATTATGGTTCCACTTCAGTGTTAAAATGATACTAACTCATAGCTAAACAATGTTATTATCATTTTGAAACAATCTTGTTGCAGGCAACAATTCATCAGTGTGGTTTAGCAATGCAACAAGTCCTACTTCAAGTAATGGAATAGATAATAAGCCAATGTCACCAAATACAACCAGCAACTCCACCAGTACAGTTGTGTCAAAATCTACCTCAAAACCGACTACTCATACCTCAATGACCTTAACATCAGGGCCTGGAGTTATTAAAGGAAGTATGAAGTCTGGATTGAGTTCTGCATCATCCACAGAGAATAATGCTGTTCAGATGCCAGGGAAAACTATAAGTACTAAACCAGTTGTTAGTGACCCATCAGCCACCAAAGAAAGTGATGATGAAGGTGATAAATATAGAAATAGAAAATAAAAGATGTATAAATGGCATTTAGAAAAAGGTTAAGTCTATAGTGACAACTTTAAAAGCCTATTCAAGTGAAGTGAGATGCTGATGTGCATTGTCTTAACTTGTCTGTTGTGGCTTCCATTTCAGTAAAGCCCAAATTAAAAGTTACACATCTGGTTAACAGTTATTATACTTATAACAAAGGTTATCTGTCTGTTGTGGGTACAAACAAAATTATCTCATTACATGTAAATTAGTCTTTCAATCATCGTCTTCAATATGCATCAATTCTGAATTTGGACCTCTAATGACTAAGTAAACCTGATGTTGGTGGTCAAGTTACTACATCAAAACATATTTTAAATTGGTTAATTGTTTAGTTGGTATTTTATAATTTTAATGGGACTCCATGATTTTGTAACAAAATATTGGTATGTTCTATGTGCTCCACCCAGTAATTACATCCTTATACCACCCATGCAATCCTGTTATCTACTTCCTCCATTATCTTTGTTTTTCCTCTTTGGCTGGTCATGTTAGGGTATTGTTACAGCAAATGACTGTGATACTTTTTAAAAGTTCTTAATGTGTTATTCAATTAAATCCTATTCAATTTAAATATCTTGTTACAGGTGGAGTTCCATATTGGGTCTACATTCTCATAGCTTTTGGAGTGATCTTTGTCATCACTATTGTAGTGTGTGTCATTTATGCACGGCTGGAAAGGTGGTGAGTGTGGTTGTTACATCTGTATGGCTTTTTATTAAAATTAATGATAGTAAGTTGCCTGACTCTGTGTCTATTTTGCAGCATTAGGTTAGCTCCTCTTAATGCTTGTTCTATTTTTGTAGGAAAACCCAGGGTTCATACATGGTTTGGGATGACAATGAGCTAGAGTTGAGCCCTGCTTTCACAAGGTAAATATAAACAGTTAGAACAGGAAGTGAGAAAGATGATTCCATTCAAGTAATATTATCTTTAGGACACTCGACTTTGGTGAGTGATTGATCAAAAGGAGGGTTTTGTATAGGAAAAGAGCTCAGTTTGATAATGAAAATTGACCATGAGAGGGACAGTTGTGAAAAGTTTGAGCCAATCCTGTCATGCATGAGAATGCCAAGTTGTTCTCATAAGTTAGTTTGAAAAAAGGAATATTTATAAACAGGAAGGTCCTTTTTAGTGCTAAGTCCTCAAGTTAGTTAGTAGTTGATATCTTGTCAGTATGTGTAAGTTAGATGATATTTTGGTCCAATCAGTGTGTTTTTCAGGAAGGTGAGAATGTATATGTCATATGTTGTTTGAAGGGCCATATAGACTCCGAATATTTTTTGTTACCTGTTGGATATAGCTGTCAATAAGGATGCATTTCATTATTGTTTGTTGTTCAAATATTGTTTTTATTCATTATGGGTCTAAACTAGTAAATCAACAGTTAACAGGAAAATGCAATTTTGACAATAAAAATATAATACCATGGTATCACTATAACTGATGTGATCATTTGTTACCTCTTTTTATCACAGAGAGTCAGAATTCCTCCTTGATAGTTTGGCAAGTAAGTTTGACAAATTTGTAAAAATTGTACAAAGTTCTCAAGCTGTAAATTTTTTTCTAAGTGCAACCTGTCACTGATAGTATAATGTGTCATTTCTTGTAAGGTCAGCTTGTATAATCTGTCTCATTGAATATGCTTGGCAGTGTATACCAATCCTGATCACTTCAGTGATTTTCAATGATGAAGTTAAATAAGTTTGAATTAGTTTCATTCATTATCTTCTTACTTTTCAACTCTTTTTTTTTTAATCTTTTGCAGCTAATCAAGAACCAGGGACTCCTGAACTTCAGATATATGAGATTCCTTTGGACTCACTTGGCCACCAACGAGTATACATAGGAACAAAACGAATTGTGCCCAAAAGTGAAGAACACAGGGAAGCTGTGAAGTTTACTAAAAACAAGAAGTCAAGAAAGAAGGATGCACAGTTTCAAGAAAACACTCTGCCAAGGGCAGGGAAAAGGGATCATATTTACAGCTCAGTGAATGATGAAGTCAGCAGCGCCCTAAGTGATGGTAAAAGAGAATACTTTGCAAGTTATTGAGTTGTAAAATTTGATAGAAACATCATAAAAATGCATCTAAAATATTGACATGTGTTGTGATAGCTTTGTACTTGGTTTCAAAGGAATCCTTAATTGACTTAATGATACTGTTTCCATTAATCTGTGTATTGTAATGGCATCTCAAACAATTAGACAAAAATGAGGCTCTGTATTATGCCTTGACCATTTAGACACCTAAAAGGTTGTGTGATTTATCCTCGTTTATTTGCTGAATATGTTAAAACTCCTAAAACTAAGTTATCCATTGATTCAGACATCAAACATTAATATAGAATAATATCCCAAAATTCATATTTACATAAGAAGGCATTCTCTCGTTGAATTTTTTAAATATAGTTCAGTGTAGCTGACGTTACTGTTTTCACAATTTTTGTTTATTCTTTCAATGAAATTAGGCCTTCAAAAAGCTCGGCAATTTTGAGGGAAATTTTTTAATCATTGTTCTTTTATTTTTATTCAAATGGTGAACATTTCAATATTTCAATAATTTCATTGCAGGAGACCTTTTCGAGGGCAGGAATGTTAATGGGTGCACCACGCCTCCTGTTATATTATCCTGCCAAACCTTGGGTAAAAGCAGCTCACTGAAACCCATGTTCAATGGCCGATCACCCTCTCCAGAGGAGTTAGATCTGAAGATAAGATCGTTCACACTTGGTTCACGAACAAAGAGTGTATCAAACATATTTCAGAATAGGCCATTACCACCTGCTCCTAGTAAACGTTTTTCAAAGAGCCTTGATCGATTGCGGTTTTTTGAAATCTCGCAAAACAGGGGAAAAAGTGGAACGTACCCATCTCATCAGAAGTCACCGCCCATGCGGGCCCATCCAATGTTGGTGAAATCGTCCAGTTTTGGAGGCACATACAACAAAATAATCTGTGGATCACCGTCATTGCCACCTGTGCCACCACCACCAAGAAAGGGCTCGATGGGTTGCATCGACAAATTGGCAGCATATGATATTAGTGATGCCAGGAAAACTAACCTATGCCGCAGGCACTCCAAGTCTTTAGACACTCTTCTACTGTTGAGAGAAATCAACTGGACCGCCTTTGACGTGGACATTTACCACCCTTATGAAAGTGTACCGGGTAACCAGGTGGGTGAGAACAACAATATTGTGGAACCTTCCTATGCAAGTGTTAGCAGTGATGAGAAATCGTCCCGCAGTGAAAGCAGTGGAAGAGCAAGTTCTCAAAGCAAGGCGAGCACTCGGTCTGCAAGTCCGATAGAGAGTGACACGCCAGAAGATGATGCTGAAGAAGATCACCCATACGCAAGTGTCACCGAGGATAACGAAAGGCCAAAGACGGGAAGCCTAAATGGGTGGGACCAGCGGTATTCAAATCGTGATAGTGATGGAAGAGATAGTGGAGTCTCTTCCGCCATGCTTGAGCCTGACAGTGATCCTGCTTCCCCATATGCTTCGGTGAGAATTAGCCAGATTCCAGGATTGGTCGCGTCACAGTGTCGCTCCTCAACGGGTGAAGAAAGCAACTATGGGGAGGTCTTTGAAAAGGAGGATTCTGGGTCGAGTATAGGTACTTGCAAGGATCTTAAAGAATGTGTTGACTCTAAGCGATCTAGCACTCATACTTACTTGGAGCTCATTCCGGACAGCTGCAGAAACAGTGTGGTATCGGAAACTAGCTCAGGCTATGCACGACCAATAGATGTTATTTCAAGTACACCAGACGCGTCCGATAGTACGGGATTAGATAACAAGAATCGTCAGAGTTTAACTGATCTTCAGATCCCCAATGAGAGATCTGGCACACTGGAAAGTACTTGCAGTGGCCGTGATACTCTTCCCTGTGCTTTCAACAACAAGGGGATTACATTGATAGTGGAGGATAATTTGCAGAATCATGAACGCCGGGACCAAACGGATGAATCGCGTGTTGGTCCACGTGAGAAAGATTCGACAGTGTCAGAATTGTCGTCCCAGGAACCTCAGGCAAGTGACGTGGTTGAAAATGTCGATGGTACTAAAGGAGACCCTGAACAACAGGGTGCATCCTTAAGTCCAAGTGAACACGTTTATGAGGAAGCAGACTACGTTCAAAGTCTAAGGAATCTAGAGAGATGCAAGCGGTCAGACTCAACGAGCAGCGACACTATTGTGAACATTCAAGGAGTTAACTTACGAGGAACTTGTCATACTGATGAGTTTGTGGTGTAAGATCCATTCTGTCCATGACAGTTTCAAGCATTTAACGTTTCATGATGTACGTTGTTGAAGTCAATAGCTCAAAAAGTCGGTGTACAATAGAAATTAATAACAGTTTTTAGACTGTAACACGCAGAAACTCAAAGGCTACAGTTTTTAGGTACTTGTTGAGACGTGGAAACAGTTGGTATCACAAACGCGAATCATTCTCGCAATGTGTAGGCTGAGTATCTGTACAGTAAGTGCAAGGAAAAGGCAAGGAGGTGCTCCACTAAATTAACCTGGGTGAAAAAAGTTTAAACTTGTTTTTTGTATAGAAAGTAATATGCGGCTGGTTCGTATATAGGTAGGCTATACATCATTGAGCTGGCCTCATTGCTGAATGTGTATGATGTGGAGTGTTTCCTGGCCTGTATTTGTAATAGCGATTGGGATTGAAGAGGGACTTTTTTTATGCGTAAGTAACGGGTGAGGGAGGAGGGGGCAGGCCCTCTCCTCCAGTCTTCACTCTAAATAGCAAGCGTGTTAGGTTTTGAGTACGCATCAGATAGTCGGAGAATATAACTTAGTTGGAATTACTTTAACTCGATATGCAGACACGTACAGATGTCAGTCTTGATATTATCACTTGTTCTGAGTCTTTTGCATACATTCCGTATCATATAACCAGAATCGATGGTAAGTCTGTTTTGGCTTTACGGGATATGAATTACATTTGTTACACAAAATTGATATCAGAGTGCAAATATTATGTGTTATTTAGTTAGCCTCCAAGAGGTGATAGAGTCAGTGGACGTTAGTAGCTTTATCAAAAACGCACTCAGATGGTAAAAACTGGTCTTAGCCCTTGAAATGGAGAGACCTTGAGTTTCAAGGTTAGGTAAGGGGAACACATCAAACTAAAAATAATGAATAAAGCTACTTCAGTATGAAGAGAGAACATCGAATTGCTTCGTTGCTTTTCCATCAACCATGTAGTAAAGGCCTGAAGTAAATTGGTTGACGACTAATTTATTCTTGTTTTTTCGTCGCCATATTCCCACCAATCGCGTAACTCCATTTAAACCCACACACACAACCCGCAATTCCTCCAATCGCCCTGACGAAGGGCTAACGCTCGAAACATCAGCCTTTAAACTCTTTACGGTGGCCAATTTACTTTTTCCACTCAGTTGATAACACTAAATTACCCTGTTATACTCTCCCACCGACGCAGCACCACAGTTTATCAGAATCTTACCTCCTTTGGTAAAACTACAGATGTCTTTCGTTCAAACTGTGGGGAAGTAGACTCGTATTGGAAAGTTAAGGTTTTTCTCCGTCGGTTTATATTTCTGAAAATTTGTCGTTTGGAAAAAGCAAAGATCTTTTGGTAGAGCGAAATTGTAATCAGCTGCACCTTTGTATACTGCAAGGTTATACCGGCAAAGCCAATTGTCGACAGGTTTCAGGTGATTTTCTTGCCTTCGTCCTCTGGAAAACCGAAGCGGAGTTTGAGTTGTAACGAAGCGCGCCACTCTGAACCAATGAAATTCGAGTATTTTGGTGCGCGTTTCAATTGCGACGCGGATGGCAATCCTCCTTAAGCAAAAACAGAATTAATTGAATGAGGCAATTGTATTGTAAGTCAGGTTACTTTTCTAACAGCTAGTTTCGTTTCGTGACCAGTTTACAGTATTGTTGGTAGTGAAATTTATATATTTTCAAGCTCAAAGAAAGCAGTCGACAACTGGGGGTTATTGGATACAGAAGGAGTTGAAAACTTGCGTTAATTTCAGGTAAGGTTGCACGAAACAAAATTCATTTGCTTTTGTAGTTTTGAAAACTGAACTGTCTTTTCACCCCGAGCAGATATGAGAACCTTTCACCTTCCTCGAAAACCAAAAATAACTAAAACCAACATGTTCACTATCCAAGTTTACCGTGCAGCGAGTGGTCTAAAAGGCTTCGTGAGTTAAGAGTAGCACGAGAAAGATTATTAACTCGGTTCGCAGCGCGCTTTCAACTGTTTGAACATTTGGCCCTGTTTAGGTAAGGACGCTTTTCTCCACAGTTTTATTTTCTTGTTCGTAGAATTAACCCAAAAATGCACGTAAGAGATTTCACTGAAAAACCATTTATAGGGTGAAAATTTCCATCCCCGGACAACTTGAAAGGGAAAGAAACTGAAATAAGATTAATGGAAATAAAAAATTAAGAAAAGTAAAATACATTCGCATTTAACATTTATTCTCCAATGTTATGGTTACATCTCCTTTTGATCCATAATTAAAGTACTACACTTCCATAAGTTACACTGAACTTGTATGAAATAATTTAATTGAATACCTATTTGGTTACCTCGATATGAAAATAAAAATCAACATCAATGCTTTTTTTACTTCTCCCTCATAGTTTCTTGGGTTACTTGATCATCTTTTCATATTTTTTTTGTTACTCCTACATATTCGATTTTTCATATTATTTTGTTAAACATTCCTGAACTGAGCACTTCATCCTCTAACATGTCCTAACAACATTAAGCGCTACCTACACCTTTTTATCTCTTTTATTCTTAACACCTTACTTACTTTAAAAAAAGCTGGAGTCATGAACCATTCAAAGAAAATTAATTTGCCACATGAACTGAAGTGTACTTCAGATTCATAATGTTATGGCGATAAGATGCAGAAAACATTAGAAAAAAGAAAAATTGCAAGATTTTTTAAATGTGCTGGAGGAAAAAAACCCAACTTTAAGTAGTCAATTTTTTTTTGGTGGTCATAATTAACATAGTAAAGTTAAATAATAAATCCATTTCTTCACGTTATCAATGGCTACTTATACATGACACCATACCCCATCTTGCAACTAGTTTTTATGGAAAAGTAACCTCCGAACGGTTATTTAATAAACATTTTTTATGATTGTATCTTTTAATCCAATTTTAATCAATACATGTATATGGCTTTTGGCAAGTCTCAAAACAGTTAAAATAATAGGTAAGAATCTATAATACAACCTAACTAATTTTTCCATAAAAGCCAAATAACCCTCACTGAATGTGTGTATTTAAATTGAAGTAAGAATAATATCACATGAATATATTAATTAATATGTTCTGAAGTCAGTTACATCACTGTCTGTTTCACAGGAAAGAGCAATCTTAGTTGCTCTAGGAAGATCCAAGTAATAATTGTGTGAGGTGCCAAACGTACCCAAGCTGGGATAAAACCCTACAAATGGAGGGAAAAAAAAGCATTAAGGGGTACTAAAACAGAGCACTTTCAACTGGTGAATGATATATCAAAATTTATCATGCAACATTTACGCCATTTTACCATATTAAAAGACTAGAATGAGCAAAATATACCACAGGATTTCACTGTAGACAGGGTAAATATACTGGCAGAAAGCAGCAAATTAGCCACACTGAACAATCCAACCTTGAATGATCCAACCTTTGCCTGTAATTTTCTTGCTCAGAAAAATACTACTCACCTCACAAAAATATCCACTTGTATTATATTAATCAAATCATCAAATAGGGTGTATGTATGGTACTGAGAAGTAGCTCAGAAGCCACATCAGAATTTTTCATGGCATTATTACAAGAGCTTCTTCTCTCCTAACAATAGTTACCTTATAAAATCCCATAGGTCCAAGTTTTGCCGTAAAAAGTATACAGTGGGCCACACTCTGTAAGAAAAGGGGAAAATTATACACCATCTATACCAAAGCATCTTTAGAAATGTAAATTAAAGTAACTGAGAGGTTTACTTGTAATAAGAATATTTCTTCTTACATAGAATTTACCTTGTACTGCCCAGGTTTTGCTTCCATAAGTCTTGTCTTCATAACATCAACAGGTTGTGTAATGCTTGTAGCAATTGTACCCTACACAGACATTTCAAAAGTTCATAATTCAAAGAGAATTGAAATGGTATCACAGGATTTAGACTACAACAACTAATCTCCCAACAATTAAGTACCTTGACTGTAAATAAATTATAAGTTTCAAATTGACACAGCAAGGGATCAACATTGTCATGCAATGACATATATTGCACACTGTCTCCAAACATATACTATTAAATCAATGGATTGTGATAAATGTAAGTCTCTTTGTGGAAAAATGTTTATTGTTTTTAAATGGAAATGTCTATGGCTTCCTAAAAAAGGTTAATACATCTGTACCTTATGGTCTAAAAAAGTTCTTTGTTTAAATGAGTTATTCTTTTCCTATCTAGTTTCTCTTACCGCTATAAAACTTGCAGTGAAATGTGCAACAATGTTGTCTTTAAAATATCTACAAAAGAAGCAATATATGATCTTTGTTGTACCAGAATTGGTTTGCACACATGTATTAGCAAGGTAAAAACTCCAATATAACTTTGTCACAGATTCTAAAAATGCTGAGAGTAACTCTTAGTATTTCATAAACATTAATCATTTTGTAACACTTACCCTGATGCAAGTAACAGCTGTTTTGCTTGATCATAACATGCAACCTACAGAAGACATGGCAATGGAGAGCAGGTGATAAAGAATATCACTTTGTGCTTCTATATTAATTTGGTCTACAAGGCTGGTACTTACTTTTTAGTAACTACATGCAGCTGTAATTTTAACATCATTTAACCTAAATAAATGTACAATTGATTTGCAATTGATCAAATAATGACCATTCTCCAATAATAAAAGTCGTTAGCTGAAGTCTTGTGTTTATTTGGTCCAAAGAAAATTGTATGACATGTTTGAATATGTACCTGAGCCACAGTCATCAGGAGAGCTCTAGATGAGGTCATTGTAACACCTTTCATCCAAGTTGACACACCCTCTACCAATAATCAATTCAGACACAAAAGTATTACTAAAAAAATTAAACATGTTCAGACAATTTTTTTCAAAGGAAAGGGTTACGAACTTTAACCTTTAACCCCCTAGGAGTGACTAGCATCTAACTTCTCCTTACAACATCCCCCCTGAATCATACACTAAGGTCACAAGAATAATGAAAATGATCACCAACTAAAGAGACTCTTGATTGTTACACAAATTCTCCTTGTTAGCACCTCTGGAGTTACATAGATAACAGTATGGAGAATATGCATACTGATGCTAGGGTGTGAAGGGTTAAGAGAGATCAAGACCAGCACAGCTCACTGGACTTAAGTGAATTCTTAAAAGAACACAAATAGTTTCATTTATTTCAGCTAGATTACATACCTTCAGTTGCTGTTCTATAGAGGCCATCAAACACATGCTTATAACTACAAAAAAAAAAGAGTAACACCAACTTTTTACTGGCTGAATTAAATATGTAAAACTATTGAACATGTATGTGTACTGAATGGGGAAACTTAAATCTCAAAAAATCAAGTATTATCACATAAATCCACTCAGAAACCTTACTTTCTTCGAAGAGCTTTATCAAGTGTTTTGACATCATTTTGCATTCTGTAAAATGAAAGAAACAAGAAATAATGCATACAGTTGGACAACACAACAGTAATTATCATAGGACAACTAGGAATCACAGATGCATCCTTCCTGTGTAGTCAAAAATAATGTGTCATAAACTTACATTCACTAGGGAAAAAAAGAGAGGCTTATGAACCAGAAAATCCATACTGCCAGAGCTTATCTGAGTTTTATTAGCATGAAGGGAATTCCTACCTCTCCCACTTTGCCCAGATCCCAGTCCATCAAGGGCTTAGCCTACAGTATTTTGTAAGACTTCCCTGAAAGTTTACCAGTATCTATTTACAAATACTCCTCTCCTGAGAGGGAGGGGATGTAAGAGTCTCATGCCCAAAAACACAACACAGTGACAAGGTCAGAACTCTACCTCTCATTTTATGCAGAGTCCAGTGTACTAACCACTAGGATACCATTAACTGATTGAATAACACTCAAAATTGAGTTAAATGGCAGATGTTACCCTTATCTGACTTCGGTACATACCTAACATTGACCATATCTGCAGGGTTGCCAACAATTCCGCCCAAGAAACCTAACAGAGATATTTCATATAATTTCAGTTCCAAAGCTCTTTTTTGCTTTCACACTAACAACACAAAAAAATTGTAACAGCTGATCAGCAATAAAACTATCCACTTTAATTTATAACTACACAACTTACCAGATACTGATCCTATTACAACTTTCTGGTAAAAAGGTAGTGGCTCTAGAAAGAAAAGAAATAGAACCTCTAGTATTTTAAATTTGTTTGGCCATAAAGGCTAGTAAAAAGGTAATAATAAAAACATGCCAGGGTTTTCCACAAGTTATAAACAACAACTAACAGAAAGTGGACTCTGACAATACTTTGTCTCCCCCCTTTGCCAACTCTATTCATTTTTTAAGGTAATCATTATAATAAGCATTCATCCAAGTACCTCACTACCGGGAAAAACCTTGTAATACCTGACAATATTACAAGTCTCCAAACTCTTCCAACAAACCCTAGGTGGTGTGCTACACTACATGTAAAGTCATTGATGTAGTTTCAGCTTATACAGCTAATAACAAACTTTGGCAAAATATTTAGACTTATTTAATCAAACACTGTTTATTTCACAATTATTTCTCAATGAGACACACATAACCTGTTTTGTTTCTTCACTGAAAGTTAAAGATTTTTTCCCAATACCTTTTACCTAAACTAGAAAAAAAATTATTACCATTTCCTTTTCTTAACTCTGCAGAGACCACTTCATACAATCCATAACGTGTTGTGGAATAAGTAAGCTACCAAAAACAAACATAATTATGAGTGTATTCATTAAGTGGCTTATTTAGAACTAACCAATTCAGAATGATTATCATGAAATTACTCCAAATGTATTAAATATTTTCCTGAAAGTGAACTGACCATGAGTTAACTGCTAATTACTAATAACAAGCTCATTCCATTTGTTCCTTTGCAGTGTCTAAGAATTAAGCATTGTGGAGATCAATTAGTTGAGACATTTAAAACTAAGCTTCCATCATACCTCAGTCTAGACAAATTTATTACTTCTTGATGATACCCTTAAGTTCTCTCAGACTTCTGAAGAAACACATTCAAAAACACCCCATTCTTACATGATGAGCTATGCTGTAAGAAATACTGTAATTCTATGTTGAAATATTTTTTGCATCTTTCTGGTGCCGTAACACACATCTTATGCAACTATGTTTTAAGCATAGGTAATAACATAATTTTAAGTGCAATTTGGTGTTAATAAGCACAAGTAAATTTTTCAAAGACAACTAAATTGCAAGAGCCTGTAGAGCCAGTGCAATTTGTAATAAATTTGTAGTTTATTTGTGTTACAACTTTGCACTTATGTTACATGAGAATGTGCTCATTTTCAGCTAATCAGAAGTGTGTACTTTTTTCCCATACATTATTTCATGAAATAATTTCAATAGTGATGTCAACAGTGAAGCTTTCTCCAAAATCATATTTAAATAGCCATTTTCATGACCACATCTCGCTTCCATACCTGTCTCATGACAGAGGCTGACAGTCCATTGTAAAGTGCAAATACACCCTGTGTTCGAACAACATGAACTGCCATGGACAAAAGTCTTTGTTTAACCTGTTGCTGTGTCTGTAAATGAACCTGACAGACAAGTGAGGAGGCATAAATAAATTTGTTTTAAGAAATAGAATTAAAAATAATATAATCATAATAAGTTGGAGAACAGTAGGATGGCTGCAGAGGAAAGAGCTGAAAAAAAATAGGATTTCTCGTTCTTTCATTTCATTAGGCTGTAAAAAAAAACATTTAAATATGATTTATTTTAACAAAATAAAGATTGAATAAAAAATTTGACCTTATTGAACGAATAAAAAAATGAACTCCTGTAAAAAGCGAAATTTTATTTCATAATCATTACAAGGATTGCTGTAAAACTTGGTCTGTATTTACTTCATTTGAGATGTCAGCACTGAACCAAGTTGAAAGAAAACAACTTTATTTTAAATTAATGCAAGCAGTTCGCGCATGAAATCTTCGCCATTTTTCTCCGGATAAAATAAAGCCAGTATTCTCCATCCACTTTGAGACAGAGAAGGGAATACTTTTAACGATTTTTTAAGGACATCGAAGTGTCACGCCAATTTCACTATTAAAGGACAAATCTCCATTTGGAACAAAAGATAGTTCGTATCAAACATAAATAAGAAAATGCACAACACAAAACGTTTCAATTTATAAAAATACTTGGGCCTTTCGTCAGCAAGAACTGAGGCAGAATAAAGAATACACCACAGTACTACCCAAAAATAATCCTTAAAATAACCGTCGACGCCTTAAGATTGATCACTGTTTTGATGGTGTAAATTACCTTGAGCAAATCCAACGGATGTGTGACACAGGCTGCCATGGCAGAAGCGATTCCTCCAAGATACCATTTGTGTTTTTTAGCCGTTACTTTTACAGCCCCGGATGGCTTGACACCATCTTTCACTTGAGCTGACATTCTTTCGTCGAAGAACCGAGTGAACTACAAAATTAACCGCGTCACTTCGCCTTCGATCACATATCATGTTTTCGCAACGCTGTCTCGTGGTCAAACCCCCCATGCGTGTCCATTCGAAACGACAAAGCCTGGTTACCAATCACTGGGAAAACTCTTGACGTCATATTTTCCGTTCTGCGTTCACGAAGACTCTGTTTCGAAGTGTATTGTGTCGTTTTTCGTCAATTTTGATCTCCTATTTTTTAAAAAGCGGGTCACATGCATTGATTTTGTATATTTCAAAAAGGTCACCGTCAAATAGATGTGAAGCAGAGAACTAACAAGTTGTCCGAACATGTTTACAGTTTCTGTATGGCTGCCAACAGTGACTATAAGTTATGAAAGTGATATTGTTGTTTGTTAATTTTTTTCTACCATCAAATGATCCGCAGTAACGAGACAAATTTGCCGAATGTGTCTCGTGTGTTGTACCTAGGATATATTTGTGTTTTCGGGGAGTGAAGAAGGTGTTTCCAGTGAGATTGAAGTTCAAAGCACAAGTTATCGTGATACGGCACGTTCAGCAGGGCATGACGAGATAACCTTCAACGACACGTTAACGACACAAATTAATTCGTCTCCTCGGTTATGTTTTTTTAGGGGGAAGGAAGGGGGGGAGGGGGGTGAAGAATGTGTTTCCAGCAAGATTGAAGTTTAAGACAAGTCATCGTGATACTGCACGTTCAGCAGAGCATGACGTGATAACCTAAGCGCGTGGTTAGAACGTGGGGGATGCTTTTTTAATACACGTGTCGTTGCGCACGTGTTAAACTCGGAAATTCCATGAAAAACTGCGAGTTCTTCAACAGGGATCGATTAAAAAGCGCCTTTTTCTCGTTTTTACCGTCTTTATAAGCTAGAAATCACATCATGATTCGCCTTATACTGTCAGAAATAATCGATAATTTCTGCAATGGTTAATCCAGACCGACTATGTTTTCAGGCCATAACCACAGCAAAAATGCTGGATCTGAGTGTCAACGATTGGGAGAGAACGATAGATCGTTTATAAATTAAGCCAAGAAAACTCTTGTATCTACCACAGCTGGCAGGTTTATGTCTTACACAATTGCCCATTGTTCTTGCTGTGAAAGCGAGACAAACAGATCTATTCATAGAAGAAGAATAGATAATGCAGTTCTCAGAAGTTCTAGGTCGAACTCATGCAGGTGACCATGCCACTAAACTTTAAGATTCCGATTGGTAGAAGGCATCGGAATCTTGATACCAAAAGTCAGATACTAAGCAATTCTTGCCTAGTCGCTAGTCCAACTTACGGTCTCCTTTAAATAGCCGTTCAGCTTGACATATTCTATTCTTTCGTAATGTTTCACGCTTATGGCTAAAATGTTATCATCTCTTTTCATTCCAATTTATCTGTCATGGGTTGTAAATCAAACACTCGAAAACTTATATTTATTTTTAACCCTAATAGCTAAACGGGCGGTTTTTGAAGTTTTTTTTACTAATCTATGGCTGAAAGTTTCTTCTGCGGTAGACTCCATCCATCCATAGGAATGCTCGATGACTACTACTTATGTTCATTATCGTGTAATACTCTGCCAAAAAAAAAAAAAAAAAAAAAAAAAAAAAAGCAGAAGGAGATTAGTCAGAGAGACACCCTAAATTGTACCCAACTGATTGAAAAAAAAACTATATGCAATTGAATACAAACAGTATTCATTTTTTCGTGGCTCAAACTGAAATTGAAAACCCAGCACTATTTTACTGAGTTGGTTGCCTTTTGCAAGATGTCTGATGCATCTGGTTTGAACATGACGCTTCATCAATTCAGGTTAGTGTAACGAATTTTACCCCAAAACTGGTTTAAAAATTGCTTAGTTTTACACTGGGATGGACGGGATAGTTAATCTTAAGCCTCAGTACACACTAGTGCATTCATCTTTCAAAATTCATCTTTCGAAAACCATGGTTCTGCTCAAGCCTGCTATCCTACTGATCAATAGCAGATGTTGACGATGCCTTTTTATGTTCATATCATACTGTCAGCAATAGAATGCCTCTGAAGGTTTTTTTCAAAGTTACACTGCTCTTTCATGAGATGATATGGCTTTTTTTTTTCTCTGAGTGCACTAATAACTACACGTAAGATGTGCAAAGGTGTGTAAGCCTATTTTATAAATGCTGGGAAGGCTGGCCTGATCATGTGTCTTAAATGATAACCAGATCAATGCGGGGGATATATTAAACTGTCAAGATCTTGCCTCTACAGGTGTCAAACACTTTCCACCCCTGGCTTATGCTATCTCATAGGACTTACGTAGTATATTTTGTCTTAGTCATCAGTTGTAATACTAGTGGAACATATAAAAGAATTTTATATACAACAAGATATAGTTTAGGGTTTTTCATGGGTGTGATCTATTGATAGTTGAGTTACTCTAGCTGACTCTTTTCATACAATTAGCTACACCTTCTCCGAAAAAACAAGATGTTATCTAGTTTAAAATTTAACGGATGAAGAAAACAAAGAGTAGCTCATTTTCCCCAGATTGAGTCAGGTAAACTGACGAGATTAATTACTCAACAAGTTGAAATATCTCTTCTTATGTCCTTGCTCGTGTCTGCGAGTGAAAGGAAGCATCACCGTCGATCTCTTCACAGCCCTACCGCCGTAGTATAAGTACGATCACGCCCCTAGACGACCCTTCCTCAGTTAAAAAGTAAAGAACAAGTCTCGTGAATATTAAATCGATATTCGCAGCAATGAACATAACTAAATTCAGGCCTGTGCGGTATTTGAATCTATGACCTCTGCGATACCGGTGCAATTCTCTACCAACTGAGCTAACAAGCCAGCTGGGAGCTGGTCATTATGTTGGTTCATAATAAGCTCAGTTCACATATATGACTTCCATATAATCACAGTCATTGATTCATCACTTCACGGGTTTATTAAGAACCGGTTAATTTAATTCATTTTTCTTTTTTACTGAGGTATGATGAGTAAAAAATTAAAAAACCCCAAGCTTTCAAGAGATCAAGCTAAGGTGAGATGATCAGTGCGTTTTTTGTTCATGCTTGCAATTGGGTGGGATGAATTAAGGACTGTTTTAATTCCACAGACGTTGACAGTTTGTCCTTTGCTAAAAGCGCCATGCATCAACCTCTCTGGTTTTACTTTGAATTCATATTTCGAGCCTGTTCAATTTCCCATGTTATTTGACTCGGAAAAGAAATCTGGTATAAATGCGATTCTAGTTGGATCATGTTTTTGGGAATTTTGCCATCAAATGAAACGTAAGTTACAAGATCAGAGTAGATAATATTAAACAAACTGTTTGTTGAATTTTTTATTTAAAATCCGGATTTAGACCAGCTTAAAGGAACTTTTTATGAAGTTCTATTAATAAATAGATTTGAGTCAGATTTTGTTTGCCTCATGTGAAGTTTAACGACTAGATTAAACATGGGCAATTGACTGTTTTTCAAAGACGATCTAATCTCTACATTTGTGTTTCAAGTACGTGTCAGAAAACCTTGTTAACTGTTTAGGGCCTTGAAATTTTTTAGACACTTAAAATTGAAATAGAACTAGCTAATTAGCACCTCTTTTATGTTCATACTCCAACATCGACAAGCTTTTTTGACTTCATTCCTCCTGCTTTTAAATTCAAATCTTTTCATCATACTTCGTCGGTTCTCTGGTTATATCTGACACTACTCAAAACTATTAGTTTCAACAGATGTACAGATAACCTGGAAACAATCTGAAACGAGTTGAGGAGTTCTCTTGTTGTTGTCCGGGAGAAAGTGAGGAGATTAAGGACAGAACCACCTTCTGTCACCATTTCAGTTTCAAACTGGGCACAGCAGAATGTTTATGAACCGGACTTTCCGCCAAGTGAGACTGCTTTTATTTCGTAGGTTATGCTTACAAAAATCGATCTGATACATGAACATAAAATCGCACATTATGTTAGTTTTTGTCTGGAAAAAAAAAAAAAAAAAAGAAAGAAAAAGAAATGAATGATTTTTTTTCTGTTCCATCCAGGGAGGCGTCTTGATAAATAAGTGGTGAAACCGGTGTTTTTGATTTTACCACCAGAGCGAAAAAAACAACTGCCGATGGACAAACCCAAATTTTTCTAAGAGAAAAAAATCCCCCTATCTTTGCTGGCACGTTATCTTGATCGGTCGGAACATTTAAGTCTACAAGGCGATAAGCACTGAGATAGAAATAGCGATAGTCGTATTTAATATATCTTCAGCAGAGAAGAATAATCAACTTAATGAACTAACCTGTAGAAAACCATTGGATTTTTGGCATTTTTACAGAGATAATGCCCCCTAGCCATTCTTCATTTCTAATGAGAATCGGAGGATTATCTCCCTACAGTAAGGTAAGAACTGCTGTCACGCACCGAAGGAGACAAACTCCATCACAGCGCTTGTTTAGATTGGATTAACAACCTTACAGACAACCTTTAGAGCTGCCCTTATCAGATGGAGATTTAAACACCTTGTTGAAGTAGTCTTAGTTCGCACGAAGGATTCGCAACACCATTTTCGAGAGAGTTCAACAAGCTGGTTCAAACAGCCACAAGAGCGATGAACGTCCTTTGAGAAATGAAAATACCCTCCGGTTTAAACAAAAGCAACCGGATCAATTACCAAGATTCCGATAACTTCCACATGGAGGAATGTCTAATACGTATTAAAAATAATCCATCCTCTAGAGGCGAGCTGGGGCGTCTGTGGCATACCATTTTCTCAAATTGTGTCAAAGAAGATCAGTCAGCTCTAGGAAGTGCCTCGTGGGTACATGACCTTCTGAGAAGCCGTAGATTACCCAACACTTCAATCTCGTTCTCAGTGCAGTGCTTCAGGCTTTGTTTAGAAGAAGACGAGACGGAAAAACCACACAGGTAAGCCATAAAACACGTATGTGCACATTAATATCAGTTAATATTTGTGATCTTTTCTACAACAAATGACAGCGTCAGTCCAATTGTGGTAGATTAGGTAAATTGCATTTAATAGAACAAAATGAAAGAAAGGCACTTAAGATGGTAACTATGTTTCAAAACACTTAAAGAAAGTTGTTTGTATCGGAAGACTTTGCTTCTGCGACCAAATTCCTCGAGCTTTGTTCTCTGTATTCGATTTCATCAGGATCATACATGAACTGGTTGTCCCATTTGATATAGGGTGATTTAAAACAATGACTTATCACGAAATGCAGCGGTAGGAGATTTTAGCAAATGTTGAGCTCTTGACTCTTCTGTAAATAGTAAGGTTAAAGTCGCTGATAACGCGTAATGAAAATTTCTTAATTTATTTAACAAAGAGTTATCGGTTCTGACTGAGTTCTCCAACGTTCTTTACGAACAGCGAATTCATGAAATAGATTTTGTGTTATATTGCTGCTTAAAGAAAACTATATTTTTACCCGTGACACGGGTACATGAGTTTCTAGTATTCTATATACATGTAGAAATGTGAATATATATTTTTTCACAAATCTTGATAGTGGAATGAGCATATCAACGTATTAGCAATTGAACAAAATATTCCAAATCCACCTGACGGGTTTGCATCGCTCTCCATCCATCGGCCTGAGAGTTATCTTCATCTTGGAGTGTTGTTTTATTTCGCGCCAATCACGAAATAATTGAAACCCATACAAATTACTTAGTTATAAGTTGCTTAAAGGGAGTTAGCCTACCTAGCCATATCGGTTTTATTTGATACTCTCTTTTTGCACAATAAATATTCATAGCGAACTTTTCATGATTGCTTACCTCAAAGTAAAAGAAAACATGTGCTGTGCCTAGAGCGTTGTTGCGATAGCCTCTCGCATTGCCGGAATCGTGCTAACTTCGAATTCATATGACACAGAGAAGCTTGTTTTCCCCTACCATGATTCGAAAAAAAGTCACGGTCCGTCTTCGTGCCAAACCACGCAATAAGTCCCGTCGTGTATGAACGTCATGTATTTGTCACTGTCTGAGACCTTGCCCACCAGAGAAAATTGTGAGAACTTCACCTCTCCAAATTTCTCATTTTACCCCCAAAATAACCCCAATAGGATAAAAAATGGCGGATGATTAAATATCTTATAGAACCATTATGATGAATGAATATGGTACTAATGATAGTAAAACCAATAATAAAAAGAATAATGATAACAACAGCGACAACAACAACAACAACAATAATAATAATAATAATAATAATGATGATAATAACATTAATAATAGTAGCCATGATGATCAAATATTTACGCTGCAAAACCCAAACTGATTTGCCAGCTGTTCAGCTGTAGTGGGGTCTCATAGTAAGAGAAATGCTATCATTTTACCTTACCGTTCAACAGATGCAAGCGACCTCTCTTGACAGATGTCGGTACAATTACTTATTCTAAAAGTGCAGTGACGCCTTTGTAGATCATGTAGAACCTGAACCTGCTTCAAAACAGTCTGAATTATCACTCCAATTTTTAATAAGGGCAGCTCAAAGCGGTTTTAAAAGTCAAATTCGAAGAAAGGTCGATTTGTTCACCGCGAAAACATTTTTCCTTTTGATTCAGGGGCAAATGAACTCAGCAAAGAAAGAACGTTTTGACCTTAACATCACGGGTTTGGTTCAATTTTCTATACAGTTCTGAAAAGCGTTTCTTTGTGATTTTCCTTCATTTATTACAGTTACACAAATTGGTCAGTTAAATGTACAATAGCCAGCCGTTTCTGTTAACTTCTACACACTCACGGGAACTCTTGTGAGATCAAGGGCAACACTGTAGTTAAAAATAGCTTATCAGGTCTTAATTTTGTCGTTTGTAATCCGCTCAGTCGTTTCTTGACTTACGTTCGTGTTTCGTGTTTCGCGACCTCTTTCACTGTCGGTCCACTGACCATATTATCGATAAGATGTGTTAGCGATTTATCTTAGGTCATACACTACATGTCTCAATATCATAGTAATCGCCATCAAAGAGTTAACCTGCAAAATTAACTAATAATAATTAATAAGACAAAGCCTGGATCGGGGTTAGGAAAATGAAAAACATTATCAAATGAAAACAAATTAACAACCAGACTTGTTAGACAACGAACCACGAAGAGAATTGTTGAAGAATTCAAGAACAAAATCCATTTTGAATGTGGTAGATATACCTATCGTTCGTTTAGCGAGACCTTCATGATTTATTTAATGATGTTGAAAAAAATCACTCATCATTTATGCCGCTTTCTGTTGAATCAGGCGTTTCTAAAAGATTTGCAACGCGTACATGTTACACGGATTGCCGTAAACCCTCCTGATTTCTTGAAGTTTACAGTAAGTCTGAGATTTTCGTCGGTGGCGCATAAGTAGGGAACGAATTCAAATTTCATGGACAATTTCATTTGAATTCTATTAGAGATGGCGGCTATCCTTTATTAACAGTGGCTAACGACAAGGCCCTAGTGCATTAAGTTTGTTATTCCCAGTCCCTTTCTAGTCTCCTTAGAGAAGTGTCTTCGGTTTAAAGAATGCTTTGCAAGCATTTAGAGGTCAGTTGTTTCCATCCGTTCTCCATCAGATTTTAATATGTAACAACTCGGGATTTTGTTGTATGTGTTGTAACATTGAAAATGATATCGGTGAAACTTTAAACGCCCTTGGGTGCAACCTTCTGCGCTTAACTCCAGGATTTTTTTGATCCGTTATTTAAGAATAAAAGAGGATTACAACTCGATATCTGTTGGGAGCATCAGGTTCCCTCAAGTAAACGAGTTTTTCATCTTTTTTAAATTAGAGGGGATTTATCATCGGTATTAATTATGTGGTGGCATCGCAATTATTTTTCTTTTGCTGGAAAGTAAATTAAGGCTAATTAAAAGCAATCGACTGCATGCGTCGATCTTATACCAGTTGACAAAGCCACCTTTATTTTTCGCTCGTAAACAGTAATTAAAACTTGGTGCCATTCATTCAAACATGCTTGGTTTAATTGTGATAACAGAGCCAACCTTAACGACAGCGAGAGAGCGAAGTCTCTTCGGAATGTCAACCGTTTTCCGGAATCAGAGGTGAAATGTTTAGGAGGCTAACATCACTGTTGCTACACTGCTAATGTAAGTGACTTGAGCTTAAACGTCATCCCACGTCAACGCAAAGCTTTAAAAACGCCTCCTGCTGTTAAATCCCCATGAACCAGTAAAAAATCGAGTTGAAATTTGTAAAATCTTTCTCTCTTTGACAAAGATAACTGAACCAATCGCCGAGTAAAAACCTATTGACAACTTGGGAAAACTCTAAAATACAACGTGAGCAACTACGATTGAAGGTGAGTTTAATCCGTTGGATTTCACGCGTAGTAGCCAGCTGTTCCAATTTAGCCAGACACTTTTCTCGAACGTTTGTCAAGCTTTTCCTACCGCGGAAAGTCAGCGAATCCAAATTATACGTGCTGCTGCTTAAAATCAGTAAAAGCTGTTACCACATGTGTCTATCTCAAACCCTGAGCTTTCCTGGAATCCTCTCCTAAAGGTTTATAGTATTAAAATAAGCTTTAAGAGTTTGCCCTTTTCGAGGATGATACTTTGAGTCAGCTTTTGAACGCTATATAAGCAGTGGCTAAAACGATTTAAAAATCTAATGATGACAGAGACTTTTATGGAGTCGTCAGTGACCACTGATAGCAAACTCAGTATAATTTATTGAAATCTGAATGAATTCGATGAGAACGTAAGATAAAATGGGTGCGGAAAGGAAATACTGTAAAAATAATCAAGTTCGTTGTAGAGATTTTTAACCGACGTCTTGTGAGAAGGAGGTCAAAAACAGAATTTGTCATCTGCGACCAATTAGCCAAAACTTTTAAATCAAATACTTCCTACTAAGAGCTGCTTACGAAAGTGTCGTGCGCTCAATCTACACCAAAGCTCCGCAGAGAAGGCAAAGCAAACACGCTTTAGTAAAAGACACGCAGAGATTTAGTAAGGTAAGCTGTTTTGAGCTTCTCTCTTCGAACTTTTCACAAAAATCTTTAAAGAATTTCGTTCAGAGCTTCTGATAAATTAATTGCGTAAAGAAATCTTGGACTCTACAATACAACATTAAGAATGGAGGTTATCATACCAAAGGTCGTATATTCACAGACGATTTTAAAAAGAGGCGACTTGGGCTTTACTAAACTTATTTGATGAAGTCTATTACTAAACACAACACTATACATTTTCTGCCTTTAGAAAGTTAGAAGGTCTGGCAAGGAAACTAGTTTTTTTATTTACTATTTCACGCCCTTTTCCCTTTGGAGCGTACAGCCAGAAGCTATACCTGTATTTCCCTTAATTGATTAGTGCCAGCTGAGTTTCTCTTCAAGTGACCCTTTGGCTCGATAAAGTTTGGTCAGTTTAGGTTGAGAAGTTTATCCTAGGACTTAAGTGTTACGCTCATATACTGCACCCTTTTGCGTTGCCTTTCAACAATATTTTGAAAAAACTCTCCAATAGCACTAGTCGGCTGACTAATCCATCTTTGCGCCCGTTAAAGATCTTTCACAGGTATGATATTTTTCCTCTTCGGTTGACTTCTTCATTCTGTCATAATACAAATTAATGGTGTCCTTACTGCAATCTTAGAAGCCGAACAGTTTCTTTTGTAGCAAATGAATGAGGTGGACATAGAGTTATCAAGGCTGTATTTTGTCTCCGATCATAAGCTCTTAAGATCCGGAAGAATTAGACATCAGCAAGTCAACTAAGCCATTTATCACTGTGGCAAGCCGCTGTCTTTTTATTTGGATCATGTCACGGAACAGGGCTTGGTCCTAAGCGGGCTCAGGCTTCTTATCGGGGTAAATTAATTCCTGTACCATGCATTTATTCTCATCGGATTTACATTTGGTTTCCTCTGAAAGAAATTCTAGCAAAATTGGACATAGATATTTGTTCTTCATCGGTGTTAGGGGAGTCTCAGCCCAGGACTGTAACTGAACAATTAATCCAATTTACTCACTTAGACGAAGTGAAGATGGATAAATAATTCCTTCAAATTTTCTATTACGCGTGCTTCAAAGTTTCGTGACGATTTTTTAATCAACGTCCTACGCTAAAGCTGTCATGATGGTGTAGCTACCTAAAGATTTTTCACATCATACAGATAGAAGAGCTGAAAATTAGCCCACAAATTCGCGGATCAGCACTGCTTTTAACAATAATTCAACATGATCATCCTGTCTAGCGAACATATGGTGTCCATTCAAATCGAAAACGAAAGTTCAATTTCTTGAGGGCTGACACAACTTTTGCACATCTGTCTATTTGAAATTATTTTACTGTGTCAACAACGCGTGAAGTGTTTTCGTGACACAACTGTTTAAGCCATGAAAAAAAAATGCCTTGCGGTTTGTATGAAGAAGACAGATTCTGGCAGAATTCCACGCATAGACAGATTAAAATCATCACACAAAAGTGAACCATTGCTGTTAATTGGCGGTTGGGGGCGTGCTCTTTAAGCAGTTTGATTTTCGTCAAGACAGCTTACAGCTGAAAAGGTCAGAGAATAGAAAAGTCATCCGTCTTGAAAGAGTAAATCTAGATAGCACATGCACTAAATGAGAGAGTTAAAATTTTCTGAATTTGTTAATTTGAGGAATAACTGTCTTTCTTACTCCATTCCATCATTTCCATTGTTGCCACGAGGCGACTTATTCTGTTGGTATTGGGTTCTGTACAAATAGGATTGAATTTCTGCCGTGACACTTGGGCCCAACTTTGCCGACTTTTCCACTGCCCTATGAAAAATAATTTCGGCACGTTTAACAATCAGGGTTGAAAGAGGGAAATAAAAATATGTATATAATTCTAAGCGCTACATAAAATTTTATGATCAAAGTAAGTTACTACCGACAGATGACGAAAGTTCAAAATGGCTCATTAAATAAGTTTTACTCAGTTTTAAGTAACATTTGCAACGGCCTGAACTTGACAGGACCAAGTGAGCGCGAGATTTTTTCTTCTGGCCTTATTAAGGAAATATACAGTCCAGAAATACCAAGATACAAAATATGTCAGTGCCTTTAGTGATACTCTACAGAACAATAACATGTCTACAAAGTAAAGACGAATCAGAATATTTCAGGACAGGTAAATTTGCCAAACTGAAATAGTAGTAAATTGCGATCCTGTCGTTGGAAGAATTTTGGCGTCAGACAATTAGTAAGAAAAATAGGAACCCTACAGGAGGAATGGGAGGAGGTCTGGCCCTACGGACCTTCCTCCGACTCTTTGAAAGAGAACGGCATACTTTCAGACCTCACTTGACACCCAGGTCTCCGAGTTGGGAAAGAAGGTTTCACCAAGAAAGTTCGGATGACGCACGGTAGGTTTTCTGCAACATTTTGTCGTTAGCGAACCTTTATATTACAAGCAAATGGTACAGAATTGAAAGTTCATGACTCCTCTAAATTGCATGATAGTATCAGAGCCGGACTTTCGTGTCCACGAGAATGGTCACACTGCGATTGGAAAGAGGCCAGTATCAGACCTAAAAATGACAATGACTGATTTATACCAAGTTGCAGCTAATAATAGCTACTCGTACACGAGCTGCGTCTTTTCAAGATGAACCATCCATAGGTATAACAAATACTATTCGACCGTTTTATTTTGATTCAATTTGTAACGTTTAGTTGCTATCTTGTCTCCACTCATCGACAAACATTTATCCAAGAGGTTGTTTTCTTTTTTAAATATTTAACATTGTTACCTTGTGCAATATTAAGATAAACGGATTGTGTGGTATTACTTATGAAGGTAGTTGGCTAAATATTTTGTTCCTACTGTTCCGTATTAGGCCTCAATCGTACATCTTCACAGACGCAAAAGGAACACATGCTTCCTTAAGCAAAGAGAGCCGAAAGCTATTTTAAGGTTATGAAAGAGGCCTACAGATCGATTAAGTTTTTATTCTTCTCCCCATTAATAATACGAAAATTAACATCTTAAAAATTCTGCTATATATGAGAGGAATTTCGACTTTCGTGCAAGCGTATATAATCTTGGCAAACGAAATTTGAGACTGCCACGGTGGGTTCACCAAAAGGGTAAGGTTAGGAAAAGACAATTCTACTTAAGGGAAACGAAAGGATGATCAAAAAGCTATGCCTTTCTTCTCGCTTTCCCTGAGAAAAGAAAAAACGTGGAGGCTGAGCAAACAATCGCTCACTTCAAGCAACATTCTTTGCGCTTTGCATTAGGACTGTTTGCTTTGAACAGTTAAAAAAGTAGCCGGGAAATGAACGTATAGCCTTTTTCTGGCGGGGAGGGGATTAAGGGAACAGGGCAAGGAAGGAGGTTGTAATAAGGTTAAGAGAAATGCAAAAGGGTGAAGAGGACTTGTATGCTAATTGGATCGGAGGCCCTCTGTGAACATACGTCTATGAAATGTCATTATTGGTTTAGAGTTGAAACGGCGCAGCGTAATTAAAGGAACAATCAAATCTTGAATGTTATCCTCGGAACGCATCGACGATGGACAAATATTTTCAGAAAGTCACCATGCACATCTCGCTACTTAACTCTAATTCTAAGGTGATGTGTCCCAGCTTAAAAATAGCAAGGGTGACACCAATCTAAGATGTGGCAGACTTTCACGATGATCGCCAAACGTAAGTTCAGAATCATAGATCAAAATGTTGATGTGGGTACGAAATAATTATGTTTTTTTAACTTAAACCGAGCACTTGTGCACCGACCTGATTACTTCGGAAAACATTAATTTGTGTCATTCCATTGCAAAATTATAAATCATTATAAATCAATGCATCATTCACTCTTTTTATAACCGATTACTTAAGATGATGGCTATTCGTCTGTTAGCCATATGTTCAGAACAGTTCATTTCCCTCTAAGAGGTTGTTTATATTAATCAAGTTGGGTATATTATTGAAAAACCTTGAAGCTAAGTGAGGTACTAATGATTATCTAGAATCATAGCCAAACGTTAAGGCCCCTTAACAGTTTGAGCCAATGTGACCATTTAAATTGTTCTTTCGATAAAGAAGTTTTTTCAGACGGTCTGCTATCAGAAATATTATATAAAATCACCCAGACACGGTGTAAGATTTGTAATACAGTACCAAGTAAACAGTATTTTCTTTGACATGGATAGTCAAGTAAATAAATCGCATTTAACTAGCGTGTCGTTTTCCTAAACGCTTGCTATATAAGCGCGAGCAGCTTGTCTGTGGTTTGACTCAAAGCCTTCTCTAAAACGGACCTTTTCCCGTGGAACATAAAATATCCTTGGTCACTAAGAGACATCAGGTAAAGGAAATAGCGTTTGTATTCTACCTTGTTAGCCACGAGCAATAAGTTACTTTCGGCCAACAATATATCAAGGACCCTCACGGGTGTTCACTTGACGTCGAAAAGCCCTTTGCTGCATGTTCCATATGTTCACATTCATTGCTAAAATTGTTATTCTATTGTTTGGAAGATTATTGGTTGTGGAGAACCAGACAGTGAGTAGATTTTGCAGACAAGAATTTTAAGTCAATAACAAACTTTGTAAAATTTTCCACTTTACTGGGTTGACACAAGTCAATGATATTTTCTAGATCTACGGAAGCATCGGAAATAAGTATTTCAATTGTATCTCTTCAAGCTTTGTTGTTAGCAACGATCCAAGTAGAGGAAGTATGCAACAGATCAGTCAAATGAAAAAGAAATATATACTTGCTTTCGTGATTTGTGGATCATTCAAAATATTTCTTATCGTTACAAGAACGGGGGATTTTCAAAATTGTTTCCACAGTAATTTGATTATTTTCCTTTCTTTCTTTCCATTTAAAAATTTGGTTTTAAAGTTTAGTAATTGTAGCTCATGAGCGTGACTATATTCATGAATCCAAGAGGTAAACAACATTTTCTTTTCAAGTCCATGTCTTAATTAAGGCGATTTATTTTTAATCTTTTTCATAGACATGTTGTGACCAATACTCCGCGTATGATAGCATAAATGTAACTTTCTGCAGTTAGTTAGTTTCTTTCTGGTTTACGGGTTAGTTTTTTCGCCTTTCAACATTAATCGTGCCACTGAGGCATGTATATTTATCATCGTGAGATAAAATCAGAAGGTTAAAAATAATAAGAAAATGCTGTTTTGTCAGCGAAATAGCCATTGTACACTCGCACTTGATCACACAAGTAAATTAGCCAATCAAAATTTTGCATTGTTCACAGTTAGCAGATTCATTTTTATGAAATCAGTACCATGAGAATGACAAGACTACGAAGTTGGGCTTCGGCTGGCTTTTGAAATTGTACAATACATTTTTACATATTGTAATTCTAATGATCAGTATTTTGGTCAGTACTCTCGCTCAATGATCCATTCTTAAAAGCAATAGACAATTTCCATATTGCATGCTCTCTTCTTCTACTATGAATATTGTATCAGGGAAAGAAATTGCTTTAAACAAAGAGAAAAATCTAGACATGATTGATGAGGATACTCTCACTCCCTTCGCTGGACCAGCCACCCAGCTTAACATTGACCTCCAGATGAATGTCTCCAACTTATTGGAAAAATGTAACGGGCTTCGAGCTTTTTTAAGTCTGATCCCGTAAGTAACTGCATGTATTTACATATCGTCTTAATTGCTGTAGTGGAAGACTTATTTAAGGTCATTACGTCCTCACCTACTCTAGGTTATCACAAATCAAAACGACCGCGTAGGCAAGCAAAACTTTCAGGTTGAAAAATTTCCTGATGTCTGCTAACCATCTGCTAGAAATTCCGCCAATCGATTGAACTTTTAACTGACAAACCGACACCTGTACAAACTGAAGACCTTCATCACGACCTCGCTCAGATTCCAACACAAACACGAATAAGCTTAGATTTCCGTTCAGTAGTAGCGTTTACATCAATATTTTTATGTACTTTGTAGTAAAAGAAATACACCTCAATGGGAAACGAGAAAGGCACTTGAAACGCGGTATGATACAAAAACAAGTTGCCAGCATATCATGCGTAACCTTTGTAATAAAGAACCAAATAAACATTGCCTTGATAAGGATGACCAGATCAATAAATCACATTTAGCACGTCCGGAGCGGGCCGAAAGAGAATTTATGGTATACAAACGTTTGACCCTATGCTATCGCTGAACTTAAATCTATACTTGATAACTCCAACTGTTCATCACGAAACCTACCGTTGTACTTCCATCAAACCGCAAGTAAATAACCAAGTACAAGATTTGTACTGCAGATTAATTTGAAAAAGTTTCAAGAATGTGGACTTAAGTGTGATGAGCGCGTCCATTTGCCCATCACAAAACCGGAAATTCTTCAGTTTTTTTAAAACAAAGTTTTGGGTGATCATTAAGCGAGGAAAAGTCGATATTCATTTAATGTTTAGTCAAAAAACAGCATTTAGCTTTCAACTCACTGATAGTGAACAGTTTAAAAGCACATTTTACTATGGTATTGGTAACGCTAATGGGGCGTGAAGATGAATACTATGTGTCGATGAGTCGGCGAAATTACCCAAAGATTAAATTCTCAGTATTTAGAGACACTTTCCCTATTTTAATACTTAAGTGCCTCATATCGTCTTACGAGAGACCATATGGTCCTCATCTGTCGGGTTATGCAACATGGTCCCGAGTTTGCAAGTTCATACCTCTAGTGTTCTTCGCGAAAGTCCTCATTCAAGTTTAAGATAAGACAGAAAACGCTTTCAAAATGCGCAACTACAGCTACATGTTTTTACCAAAGAGGATTAGTGCTCTCCGCGTCTTAACTTTATCCCTGTGGGGTAAAGAATCACATTTCTACTAAATCTTTTTAACGTTTAGGTGTTTTTTATTGTAGTAATTATATTACGAAAACATTTAATTCTATTTAAAATGGCTACTCTATCTCTGATTAAACTGAATTTTTGCGGCGGAAGAAGAGGTCTGATTCCGTAGCTCTCAAAGCTCATCTTCATTTGTTATTTTTCGCAGTTAGAGGATAGGTCGGAACTTAGATCTCTCTTTATATTATATTTCATAATTGATTAAACAATATTTTTAAATTAACTCCCCCACTTTTTGGAGTAATTGTCGGCGGACTGCGTTGAACCGGAAAATCCTAATAAGATGTAAATCATGTGATAATTTATTTTAAATCGGCTTGAACGAAGAGCAATGATTAGTGCGGATGTGACAAAGCTGAACTGTCAATGTCTCAATTCTCGCAGTGTTGCCTCTGTTACACAACTTTTCACGGAAGAACACAGGTTTGTAGTCAGTTTCTACCTAAGTGTTTTAAACTTCTGCTGAAGTGGTTTACAGCTGGCGCTCCGCCATGCACTGAGTTCCATCCCCACTTTGTTTACTCCCTTGTGATGATGAAACGCTATTTTGTAGAGTCTGTAAACTAGAATAAGAAATTTATGAAAAACAACCAACAAATTACGCCTTGGGAAGCACAATGATTTACACTTAAAATGACATACAAACTGGGTATGGCACTTCACTTTTATTTTTGAGAAAAGCTCATTTGATGTAGTTCCTTGCCGGCGAGTTAACCCCAAGATCTAAAAACTCACAATAAATGAACAAATATTTCTGTTGACTGGACCCGAGATTTTGGTGTTATATCCAGATAGCAACCCCTCGTTGATGCTTTTTGTTGTATTTCATCATCTCTTTAATTGACAGCGAAAAAGCTATTAGGAAGAAGTTAGGTATACTGATCACGTCGAGACGCCAACCTCGTTAACCTCGTTTGAAAAAATAATTGTAGTCATTACTAGTAATGTACATGGCTGCTTCCTCGAATAATTCCAGCGCTTTGGTCGGTGATCTGGTGAGCAGCTTTAAACCTATTTACTCAAAATGGATGTCGGTATTAGATCTTTGAAATATTCTATCTTGATCCTTGACCAGGGGAGCATATTTCATAGACTTTAAGCACCTCGACGCTATCCCAGAAAGAGCTGGGAATGCTATTTACAAAAGATAAGTCTTTTACTCTTCAGCAACTAAAATGAAATTGAAATTTTTGTTGGATTTGACCTTGAGACAAAGTGATTTTGTCTATAAAGCTAGAAAACTTACATAGGTGTGGTTGATTCCACGCATGTTTTACGATAAGTAATACTCCTTTAAAGCTGAGTCGTAAGTCGGTTTTTACTAATCTTTCCTTTGAATGGATCTCTATGTGGCCCGATCATGGCACGTTTAATGTAAAAATATCACTAGTTTCTTGGGCGCTAGTTATTGATTGACAACCTACCAAATGCCTTATATTAACCTCTGGTTGATCTTCGGTTAGAGGAAGGTGATGGTGATTGGGGTTCAGAAGAAGTCAGATTTTCTGTAAATGTACGATGAAAATATGTAATTCAGTTTTAGCAACAACTCGCGGTCTTTGATTAACCACGCCTATTGACCTGGTTAAACTACATTGCGTTGCGTATTTTTGGAAAGATAATTGTGTCATCCTTACTTAGAATAAACTTGGAAGCATGTCATGACAAGAATTTCGTAATCTTCAGTAAGTTGAATTCATTGATGACTAGTCCTTTCCGTCCATATGTTGTCGAGCAAAAGATACCGAAATCTTGTCCGTCGGTTGGCACGTAAGCTTGTTAGCTTTGCCGGTCTCAACGGATTAGACGGTGACATATCTCTCGCCCAAAGTTCTTAATTAATGTTCATGGAAGAAAAGGTCCCTGAATCACGTCTTTCGATGTTATCTTTTTGTGACAAGTATCTCAGCATCTTAGCAAGGAGAGAACAAATGAAATGCATGAAGAGGCTGGTAGATTATACGAGTCCCAGGAGTTTAGATCAGCTTTCAGCTGAAATGGTTCTGACTTAAGGCAGCCAATGAAAACGAACCGATCTCACTTAATAGCAACATTGCCTGTTCAGTGCTTATGGAGGAAATTGCATAAACCGAAGGAAAATTTGAACATTTCTTAAATTCGTTGATTCTATTTTCTATTGATTCATAGTAAGTAATGCAATTGCTTCGTGTAGGAGCTCAAAAAAGTTGTCACAAGTCATTGAGAAAACTGAATACACGGATAACAGTACGACTTTTCTTCGTTCGCGGTGAAATTTAATGAATCAGAAGTGATGTGGTTTCACCCTTCTAAACGATTACCACAATAAGCCCTAGGAACTACAGGCAGCTTAATATCTGAAGGAAAGGTACTTTTTCGTTCGGTAAGTCATACTGACACTCCTAGGCGTGATTTCCTCGCTGAAGTACCCATCGAAGCTAACTACTCCCGTTAGCGGAGCGAGGAGATTTCTTATTTTGGACTTAACCCTTGCCATTCTATTACTCTATTACCATCGCTTTCTAGTATGGAGGATGGACCTTCGATGGACTAAAAAAGGATGAAGTTTGTAAGACTTTATATTTCCTCACACTTCTCAAACATCCAACACAAACCACGTTTTCAACATCCCTTCGGCGGGAAGCTTTCAAAAGCCAACGAAAATTTTCAGTAGCTTAGAATGAAAATAAACACATCTTAATTGGAGTTAAGCGATGCCTGAAGAGCGGTTTAACGTCATAATTGATTTGGGGTGTGTCCACAGAGTGCCACCCACAACGAGGTTAATATGCACACTTTGATTACAACTACAAAGTTCAATAATTGAAACGGAAGGAAAGAACATGGCAGGCGATTTTACTCACGGCATAGAAAGGAGATAATTAAACTGTGACGCACGTAACTGATGGCCTACCGGTGGGGCAGCGAATATTCTCGCGTCACACGCACCGGACACGAAACATAGCTCGGTCCATTTGTATCTCCGTGTTACAACGCTTTACAAGTGGTAATAAGAGGGATTAACTTGATAAGGTCTGTTTTTATTTATCGCAAAAGAAATCCCAAACTGTATCTAGAGAAGAACATATTTGGAACATGCTAATTCATTACAAACTAAAACCTGATCTCTGCTTTGAGCGAGAAATACAATACGTTGATCGCACAACTGCTTCAGAATTTGGGCTGGTTTTTTCTGAACTTCGTGCCATGAAGATTTAGTGTGTTCTCCAATTTCACACGAAATGTCCTTGAAATCTAAATCCTCACCTTGCAAATAGCGCTAATAATGTATAAAATTCATCCAAGGCTTTATGAAAATCAGTCTGTTTGTGTAAAATTAGCATTTTATCGACGAGGCGGATCGCAGTAAAAGGACGTTGACAGCTTATGTCGCTCACTGATGGATAACAGAACGACCTTTAACGATCATGATTTGCTCGGAAAACAGTCAGCCCATCAAATCATTGATATCAGTGGTTGCAAGTTTACCATTAAGCTGTAGGAGGCGCTTCAAACTCATTATCCTCAAGATTAATGGTATAAATTTCATCAAACAATCAGGAATGCAACAACATTTATTCGAGAAGAAAATCACTGCCACTTACAATTTACATCCTGTCCCTGATCGCGGAAGCACACTGAGAACATCTTCTTTAATAAATGTCACAAGTAGCGATAAAAAAGGATTAGAGGTATTAGCGCTTAAATGGATTTTCGAGGAACAATGATCAAGAATATGTGAACGATAAGAGTAGCCATGCATATAAAACAGTTCGTTCGACTGATATGGACCTGTTGGAAGCTGTTTTTCAGATCTCCGCCCACTGTTGTGATCTGATAAACGAAGACCTTGTGTCTTACTGAGCTTGAATATGTTGCAAAACTCGAAAAAGCCAAATGCAGCCAGGCCAGAGAGAAATGTTGGTTTGAGCATGTAGCCGGTGCCCCGCAAACACACAGAACAGTGCCGGCCTCGCCAATCATGTTCAGTTGATTATCGAAACATCATTGAATGACTAAACTCAAATTAAACCTCGCCGACATCGGGGCGCTCGCTATTCTAGGTGAACTAAGCCTACTTTAAACAGTGACAAGTATGTTGATCGTATGTATATGCTACAAAACATAATAAAGCGTGGATAATTTTTATTATTTCAAAAACCACGCAATCCGTGGGAAATTTCCGATAGTAGCGCGATTTTTCCTCGAATGGTTGATTGAACTGACGGTGCATTGAAAAAGGTAACGTAAAGAGGAAAGCAGCTGAGTTCAATGCTATCATACTTGTCTAGACATCTCGACTCCTTAAGATAAATAATTGCTTGATAGTAGTCGGATGTGATTTTTAAATGTAGCACTGTGATACTATTTATTTATTTTTTGCCCCTCGATTGTCTTAATCGTAGAGATAACTGGCTTGACATGAATCAACGGAGCATTTGAGGTTGAACCACGTAAGAGTCTAGATCACGATAAGGCAACCCTAAGCAAACGAAGAAACGACTTGGACGACTTCTACTCTTTGCAGCACCCTTAAGCTGTTTACTGAGATGCATCAATCCAAATTCAAGAGTATATTCGCACTTTTCGTGGTTTGCTGTCTCAGCACTGTTTGGCAGACTTCATCAGAGGCGCTGCCTCCCTGGAAGCATCTCAAAGGTGGTGTGGATCAGCGACCCACAAGAGACAAGCTGAAACTAAAATTTCCACTTGAACCAACCCGGTATCCTAGCGATCCGATAGAAAGCGACTTTGACATCGAGTCGCTGAAAAGATTACTTGGCGAGGACTACGTTCCTGAATATATTGCACTAACCAGAGAAGAGGTTTTAGAAAAGAAGGCCAATGACACACTTTCACACGAGGAGGATTTCATGCGTAAAATGTTGGTCAAAAGTATGCCAGAGGAAATTAAAAATCTTGACTTTAAAATGCCAGGTATGAAAAGATATCTTGGACCTAAGGCAAGTAAAAAACTACAGCTTTGGCTATGGCAAGTGTCGCACTGCTCAGTTTCACAGAAGTGGAAAAATTTGGGAGTGCGTTATTGGCCTCATTTCATTAACGTCGGGAGGTGCTCCAAGAAGGCAACGTGCTCCTTCCCTTCAGGAATGAAATGCCGGGTCTCAAGTACAAGGAAAGTCGGAGTTCTTCGCTGGCATTGCTTGGAAAGATTCGCCCAACGAAACGAGACTAACTGCACGTGGTTGAAGTTTGAATACCCTGTGATCACCGAATGCAAATGCGCCTGTCTCTAATGAGACCGATGGGAGTCAGGAGTAGTCCATTTAGGGTTTCACTACCTGACGTAAAGGGTCACACATGCGATCCTAAAATTAGAGATTCGAAGTCTTTTAACTTTTATGGAAGGAAATTAGTCATAAGAAGGCAGAACTAGAACTTGTGCATTTTGGAAAAAAGTGTTGTCCAAGCTTTTGTTTGACAGGTAAGTTCTATTATGCGCGGCCTTTTCTTGGATGAACAAAAAGCTTGTCTCGTGCGGGCTTGTTGAATTAGCTGAATACCAAGGTCAGAATAAACAAATTCGCACCTCATTTATAGGCTTAGAATTACAGCATGTCAAGGAACTAATTATATAATCTGGAAAATCATCCTAGATGTAATAAGAACTTTTTAAGAGGTATTACACCCACATTTAGGAACAGCACAGTAGTGCTCTAATACAGATACCTATGATGTTACAATCGTCAGTTTTCTGTTATCCATTAGAGAACACCTGAGTTTACTTTACGCTCTATACCATCAACGCCTTAGAAAACACTTCCTAATGTCTCCGACACGCGTAGATCGGTAGCAAGATAGAGAAAGCCGTTTCCGGCCAATTTTAAGCCACTAAATCTAAAATCAACAATTTAAAAAACCACTATTGTTCTGAACCTGGTTCAGATGCATTGACGACGGTAAAAAATTTTTGGGCGATTGGTCACGAATCAGTAAGAAAGCTGATCTTTCTAAGAGACTGAAATGCCCCAAAGAGATCAATGTACTCATTATGTTGGAAGTACGACGCAAACTGTTGAATCCATTTTTGAAAGCTCATATCGTTACGTTATAGTTTAAAGTATACCTATCGCACTATCGGCATCAGCTGAAATGTTAAAAACCATTATATTGGTAAAGTTCATTAGCACGGTTCTAGAGTGCCCTTGGTCCCGTTTTGTTTACCTCAAAGTTATAAATATAAGTGAATCAATCCAGCTAAACTCGTTTTAAGTATCAGAGATTGCACCGATTTTTCTCTTCTTGCAATCCTCTAAGTTAGCCCAATGCTTTCCCCGCGCCGTTTTTCTCTTTATAGATAGAAGATGTGTTTTCCTGAAGCGCTTCTAAAAATAATCCAAAGAAATCTTAATGAAGACGAAAACGGAAAACGATTATAAAAGACTTAATAAGGTTTTGCTAAAAACTGATCTTACGGTTTACCTCCCTTTGTTCCAGAATTTTCAGTTGACCGAGTTTTAATTTGAACACTAATAACAACTAGCGGAATAGAACTCATACTCGCCATTGTTCTTTTGTTGGCCATTGTCAACCGTCGGAAGAACTGAGCCAAAAATAAATGACCTGTATACATGCAGCACAACTTCAAAACACACAATCACAGATGCTTCTGTTATGACGCGTTTCTGTCCAATATTCTGATTGTGGGGGTGGAAGATAAATATTTCTGTTTCAGGCCAAGGTTTCATTAACGGAAATCGATGAAATTTGTTCTGTTCTTATACGCAAAGAAGCATTTTATGGCCGAGTGGTAACAACTTACACGACCTTAGTCAACTTCCTGCGGTCTATCAATAACACACTGTACAAATACCATCGCTTAGTATGGTAAGCAAGACAAAAGGCGCAAACACAACATGTAGTTCACTGCATTGAAGAAACAGTTGATAAAGGTTGCTATGCCTTTTGTGCTGCCACTCTGAGAACGGAAACTGAGGGCGGCTCTCGTTTCCGTTTTTCACAGAGTACTGTACTTTTAAGCGCCGCTAGCAAGCCGCCTGTTTTTCCGATCAAACAAGGGTCGTGCGCCGACAATCAATCACTATTCATTGAGCACCGACATTTATGCTTTTTAAAAGGGCTGCAATCCGTCAAATTTATGAAAACAAAGGTTCCTCGATGACCGTGTTAGCATTTTGTAGGTCAAGATCACGGGCGCACAAGCGCTGAGTTCCTCTTTAGGAGGAAACTGGGAAGGAGTTGAGGAAAGTGTAGTGCTTAGAATGCTTAGAATGAATAAAATGCTTAGAATCTACTGATGCAATGACTTCACTCTTCCAAAACTCTCTTGATCCCTGTAATCGCACAAAATAGAACGACATTTACAGTATTTTAAGTTTGGTGATGTTTTAAATCGCAAATCGTGGCGTCGGTAAGAGAGTACAGTCCAAGGGTTGTGATCGATGACAAGCTGCTGTTGGGGAAGTGAAATCCTCCTCCTTTCTCGGAGGTAACATTGCTGACTTTCTCAGATTACCTCTGTCACTTGAAAGGTTTCTACCCATCCTTAAGACAATCCCAAGCCGAAACTTTTATACTCCCAAATTTAGCACCCTCGTCATAATAAGAACTGATCACGTAATGGTTTCGATTAAAAACCAGTGTCCATTGCTTTGAATTATGAAACAGAGTTGAGTCTGTCACAACTCGCGCTGCACCGTAATCACGCAGTTACAATATTTGTCAGAGAACATGAAAGAACAACTGACCTCTATCTCTTTGATCTGTTTTATATTGATTTTTTGTAATGTCATAATTAACAATATGATATATGTTTTACATCATGTTACTTAAGTAACATCCCTTGCAAAGTTAAGGAGTTCTTTTGAATGATTCCTTCACTTCTTATTTGTTGTACTTATTACATTACGTCAATATACATTATTCAGCTTATGCATAATGCCTGTTTTGACTATCTCTCATTTAATTTGTATTCTTTTATTTAACTGTATTTTTAAAAATTGCCCAGGAGAAATTTGATTATACAATCTCACAATGGTTCAAACTGACATAAGCGTAAAAGTTATTTTAGAAGTCCACCACAAACCAGATATGATTTCAAGAGAGTACTAATACAAAAGACCTCTAGCCTTTCATCATAATTTTTTTTTCTTGCACCAGCAAATTAAATAAGCTAAAGGAAAAGTGATTGACTCCTTTCCTTCACTGTTAGGAAAATGCTTACCTATAATATAATCAAACCAAGTCTTAAACTGACATTTGACTTCATCTGTACCTCTCTGCATGATTCCTTTTGATACAAAGTACTTGTAACAGCCATCATAACTAAGATGCCAAGAAGTCTTTTTACCTGACTCCTTCTCGATCGTGAAGAGCTTCCCAACTTCTTCAAAGACTTTGTCCATGGTTTCTTTTGAAATAGTATACTTGAAGTCTTCTTCCAATGGATGAAAAAATGTCATCATCTCTTTTAGCCAAGGTACTGATTCATCTGGTAATGCCCAGATCATTCCCAAAGTTCCCTGTGGAGTTAACACACGGTATATCTCTTTCACAGCTTCTTCATTTGCAAACCAGTGGAAACAATGGGCTGCCAGGACCACATCTACACTTGAGTCTGGAAAAGCTTTGTGAATGAACAAAAAAAAAGCAAAAATAAATAAAATTGTTATAAAGTAGGAGAGCAAACTTCCAAGTTTCTATATTTCCATACTTTCCAACCTCTAAATCTTACACTTCTATGCATAAAACCTCCAAAAGTTTACACATTTACACTTCCAGACTTCCAACACTTCTTTCCTTCCACAAGTCCATTCCATTCCTAAGATACTTCCACAATTTAAGTATTCACAGTTGTACATAACTCCCAGCTCATTTCCATATTTTCTTCAGTTCTACAGCTCAATGTTTCCTCACATCCACCCTTTCAAATGTCCACAATATCAGGGCAATGAGGAATAAAAATGAAAAAATTCAAAACCAAACAATCTACATTAATTTTACTTATAACTATAAGGCTTGATCCATTATTAATAAAGAGAATTCAAAGGAAATTGTTAATGGCAGTTGTACAAGCAAATAGACGTCCATTGGGTCTGTTTTTTATACACCAACACAGCTGAATTTGAATTCCTCTTTTGTTTGAACCATTATCATAGAAAAAAAATTGCCTTATACTTGTGTCAGAAGTTGAAATGGCACTTGATTGAGCTGGCTTAAATTGACGTTGATAAGTACATTCTATGCTCTGACTTTCTCCTTTTCTTTTAAATTCTGATCTTTAATTTTCCAGAAGAAATGTTACAGATTTTAGAGAATAATGGTCGAGTTTCTTCTAGTTTGCTAAGGCTTTATACGCCTTCGCGGCCGAAGTTGTATGACCATCCTCCATAGTGTCCCAGTACTCGATAAAACGCTTATAATGTAATGTAAAACACAATGAAGTATCCTCAATCCTACGGACAGCAGATAGATTTGTGCACCAAGAAAATGTAATTATAAAGAAAACCAAACTTACCAATGTTCTCTGCGCTGCTCTGTTCCACTTCGAAGTTTGGGAAAATTTTTCGAAACTCTTTCAGCATATTTTCCAGGGGATCAGTCGCTATCACTCGGGCATCTGTGTCTTTTAAAACCTCCATCAGAATCCTAGTGAATTTCCCTGTACCGCAACCTAATTCAAGAATAGTACGTGGCTGGCTTTTCATTTCCTTTTCTTCTAAGATCCCGACCTTTTCCAGAAGAAATCTTACAGATTCAACAGAATATGTTGGTCGCGCTTCCTCGTAGTTTGCTGAGGCTTTAAACGCCTTCGCGGCCAAATCTAACTGATCGTCCGCCATATTTTCTAAGATTTGGAAGAATTGGTTTGGACTTTGTTTAAACCTCAATGAAGTCTCCTCAGAATCAAACACGAAATTCCGATGTTCAAATACCTTTACTTTCTCTTGCTAGCCTACACGTGGAGGTGTTTACCCTTTGGCGACACATAATCACGACGCTTTAACTAAACGATTTTCTTTTTTCCTTTATTTACCAAACGAAAGCCAACCGTGTACATCTATACACCACTCACCCAACCCTTAGCACAGTAACGTACTGCTTAAGGATATAATTGGCATTCTTTCGCCTATTCTGTAATACTTAGCTCTAAAGGAAATTGATATAAAGCCTTTAAATCCTTTGTCAAACATAAGAGATTGAACTGTTCTTAGTCTGATTAATCTCCCGAGATTGAGCTTTGAGCGAAAAAAGACTGGGACGAGACAGGGTGTTCCGCTTGAGAAGATAAACATACAGCCTCTTTCCCGCTCTAACTGCAATTTTAAAAGAATTTTCTTTGCGTCCATGCTCAGGAGACTGTTAAAGAAAAATAGACCACAGGTAGTTTAGCTGCAATTTCCCAAAGAAATTTCATTAATGCGAACAAACAAAAAAGACGCCGGACATCTCTTTCACGACGTACTCGATCGTAAAGCAACATAAGTATAAACTTGGGGTCAAATAATGCCAATTCTAAGCTTATCCCAGTTTATTTGCTTAGCCTATCTGTGAACTTGGCACATAGAATAATACAAGCTGAGCTTATTACCGCCAGGGAATGGCAAACTAATCTGGAAAGGATATATCTACATGATATATAAAAAAATCACAAATGAGAAAGCTCTACACATGACTATGACTAGTCATCAATGCTTGTTTCCCTCGTCAATATAATGACAATATATATAATATAATAATATAATGATTATTATAAACAATATCAAACAAGTCCTAACAGGCTTCAATTTGACTACTGGACCCTACTGTAGATATAAGTAAACATCGGCGAACCAATCCTTACGGTAAAGAAGGAAAAAAAGACTAAAGACAACATGCAGTAAACGAAGTAAATTGCGATTCTGAACGCTCGATATGTCGGTTTGCAAAACAAACCTTTTGAGGTTAAAAATAAAACATAAAATGATTACGAATGCAACGTTATTGCTACATAACGAAAGTCCCCTCCCATCCAAAATCGATCGGGTTTCCGTTTGTTTGTTTGTTTTCATTAATATTCTTCATCATCGTCTTTGACATGATTAAGAACTTGACGGTTTTAAACGATCTAAGTTAACGAAGTATCGTATTCGTTGGAACTTTTGTGCACACTTTGTTTGACCTGCTTTTAAACTTTGATTCAACGGAGCCACGAATTAGTGCTTAATTGGCACCAAAAACTATCTTTAATCAGCTCGAGTAGAATCGCACTTGCACTTACAATCATTAATTACAGAACGCTTAAATTTTAACCATCGACACGTTACGTCTGCAGCAGGAGTCCCAGTCTTCTTTCCTTTCCTTCTGTTTCGGTTCTTACGGCAGTTCCATCGCAATAGGTACACGTCGATTGGATCAGACGCCACGCACGACATTCCCTGAGGCCATGAACACTGCTTGGCTATGCAGCGACCCATCTGCCAAAGACAATAGCATGATTCTTAAATTTACACTAAAAGCTCTGATATTCCTCCCGTCTAGAACCTCACGTCACGCAAAACTATATTCTGATTGATAAGTAGGAATGAGGACTCAGTGGAAAAATTTTTACAAGTAATCGTAACTTGATGACGTCATGAAACAGAATTTCAAAAAGCGTTTTAACGCAGCCCCATGATGGATTTTGCTACACGGTGTGGCATTTTGCGTCTCAAAATTTTTTTTGGCGTTTCAGAGGTTTTTTTTATAAATGATCTTCACTCTGTTGGCGTCATTGTCTGATACGATACACAATGTGGCATTTTTTGTTTCAAAGTGGAAAAGTTTTCAGGGGGTCGCGCACCACCCACAATTGTCTTGAACGAACAACGCAGAAGTTGATGGAACTTTCTAACAAGTAATTTTTAAATGTTGACAGTTTTTCTGAAGCAAAAAACAGGGGTCAGCATGGCTAGAATACACCAATGCTGTGACAATAGACAGAAAAGCGGCGAATGGAGAAGACATTAGGAGATGAGGAGGTTTCTCTTTTGCCTCCGTTGCTGGGCTACTCATTCCACCGCTCGCTGCTTGTTGACAGTTCGGGGAATATTCCGAGGATAACTAAAAATAAAACTGACAGAGCTGATCTGCGTTTCTTGTATAGTTCAAGAGGTAGTTTTGACATCCCTAATGCATGTATATTATTTTATACATGTGTAATAATAATAATAAGCACTGCCGATTAAGCTCTCCTCCTGCCCAACACCTTTCCACTTGTTTCTCTCAATTGTGCAAAGTTCCTCATCCTCCGGGACAGATGAGGAAGTCGTGGTATAAGAGACTGAAAAAAAGCACACAGGCACACGCGCCGGCAGAGTACATGTAGACATGTATGGCTTTCCGATGTGTTTGCCCCGGAGGCTAAAACTTTCTGGTTAACAGAATGATCGTGAAATTAGACCGGACACATGTGAACGTGCGAGGCCGCCTTGAGCACGTTTCAGTTTTTGTAATCAAATATGCAGAACCTTAAAAATAACAATGGTTAAACTTTCAATAGAAAAGATCTGATTTTAGCTCCCTTCTCACTTTGACCTTCTGTTCCTACGTCGCTGTTTGCGGTTAGTGGGTTTTCATCTTATTCTCCTGGGGTGAAAGTATTTCACAGTCTAGCCATTTCTCCGCTTTTAAGACAATTTTATTTATGACATCAACTGTTGAACCTTAATAATGAAAATGTACTGCTTTCAAGAAGTGTCCGGCCCTAATCGAGCTTTTTAGTCTTTGCGTTGGAGGCCCAGTTTGCGATTGAGCCATAAAAGAATAAAATCTTATATTTCAGCTGTACTCTCTGATCTCTTCTCATTCTGGAAATGTGTTTACTTGACCTGACAATTGTAACCTTATAAGCCAATAAATGACTGATACATGTCGGCTTTCACGCCCAGACACTTTATAAATCGTTGGGTCGCGAAAAAGCAAGTGGACGTAAAAACGCTTCAACACTCACTCTAAATCAACTAAGCGGTTGGTGGTTAATTATTCCGACCCAATCAATTCAGCCAAGACAGACCGAAAGATGAAAGCACTTAATTAAAAGAATTATGACGTTCTGTTTCCTTTTTTTGGCTTCAGGTCAATAATGATTCATTGAAAAAAATCTCCTGTTAATCCATGGCAAAGAATATTTTGTTTTCTTTTTCTACTGAGGCAAGTTCCACCGTGGTATTTTCCTTTAATGATGGAAGAAACAGAACATGACTTGTGATAATTGGTGTTGTTGTCCACTAACCAGAAAATGTTTTCCTTATTTTGACTGGATTTCACGTGGATCTGGGTTCGTGCAGAATATGAATGACCCCGTGTTCCTCACTAAATTTAAAGCTGATCAGTGTGCCGCAGTGAAAACTTCAGTTTGTCGTGTGATCATCTAAATTAATCCCCCACGACACGCGCATAGCAGCAGGATTCTATCCACGCTAAGATGGTTTTCTTTGGCGCTACGCCTCATACACGCTTGATCTTCCGTTCGTTTTTCCTTCCATATAACACGAGATATTCCTGAAGTTTTTTCTGTAAAAATTAGCAATTGAAATAAGAGATGCCTCTAATATGAGTACAATGAGAAACCAAGTGCGCTCTTCTGCCCTGCACTCGAAATATCCATGTTACAAAATCAAGGTCACAGCCAAGCTTCTAATTTCTATTACTCAGCCTGAATACTTAAGCATTTGCTCTTCATTGACAGGTGGAAAACTTAAGTAAACTTCGTGACATTGCCACAACATATACAAAGATTATTACTTTAATCAATAGTCACTTAAAAAAAGTCAATGAAAGAATGGACTTTTCTGACATAAGACAGGGGCCAGCTCAGATACCACATTTAGAGTCTGGTAGCAAAGTGTTATTACAAAGTACGTGCAAAATTTCATCTGACGTGAGAGTTACTACCTACCGAGATCCATCGTGGCCAATAACAGATACCCTGGTCTGTCCACGTATGTTCCACTGGACAGTCAGATTTGTGAATTAGCCATTTCATAAGAAACCTTTCCATAAAGATGGGTACCTTGCCTCCCATTGAAGGAACAGTCTCGTTTCTGATGACCTGCCTGAGAAAGTCTTTTTCTGAGGTCGTGATGCCTCGCAATGAAACTCGTTCCACTTGTGGGCTATCTGACAAATGGGCGGGCTTGGAAACTGACAAAAAACGCTCATCGATCGAGCCCCCGAGTTTCTTGCTCAGCCTCCTCTCACTCAAATCACGCCCTGTCGGCTTCACGGGTTCTTCATCACAGTCATCGATATGTTTTGGTTGTATCTTTGATTCGGGACTCAGAGGACGCCTGGCAATTCCATCAATTGAAAAATCTCTTGGTTGTGTCTTCTCCAGTAGTTCCAAAGGCAGACCATGACTGCGCTTCAACTTATGGGAATGTGAACACAAGGTGAAAATAGGTGCGCTGAGTAACAACGCAACTAAAATGATCGATATCGAGCACGAAGTCTTCATGTCGCGACTCAATGAAGGAAATGTCTTAAGTTTAAGCTTGTTCTGCTTTTATAGCCAAGTGTTGTTTACTACGTGCTCTCTGTAAACGAACCGCCAAGACACTGGACACTAATAATGTTTGGCGCGACACACGACTAGAAATGAATATCCGCACTTTCTCTCGTTACACGTCCGTCGGCCAAAACTGTGACCTTCGTAAAGTTTCGCTTCAGATAAAAATTGCGTTGATCCTGCGAAACGACTGAATGGCCGATTTTAAGCTAAATATTTGTATTGTGAAGATTAGCGTTAAAAAAGCTGAGAACCGCGGCATATTTCAGACACCTGGCTAAACCCCGTCATAGTTACGTCCCACCTGTATGCTTTATAAATATTCCTATTCATTTGCAGACGTCGAGTAAACTAAACAAAAATGCGATTATTGTGAGCCCCATGCTACTAAATACCTCCCATCCCCTACAAGAAACATTTGTACGAATCATAGTCCATTATCTAACTACTCTGTGTACAAAGCGATAAGTACTGTTAAATGGAATATATTTGTGATTCTAAAATCCAACAGTTTCACACTATCATATTAGTGTCGATGCTTCATATTTCGCTCTGCGATGTAACAGTGCTATAACATGTGTTTAATCCTCATGGGTCTGAATGATGAAAGCTGGCATTGTGTCTACCAGGCAGATAAGAATAATCCGTCACTTCTCAAAAAGACAACACAAAAAATGATTCACCCACGCGAAGAAAATAATGCGGTCGCCACGTATTCTGACGACTCACATCCACTTAGCGTTGAGGGTGAACAGGAAAGCTGTTAGTTTCGCCAAAAAAAATTGGAGATTGTGATCAAGGCCTAGAATCTTAGTGTGTTTATTCTGTCTTAATATTTCAGCACTTTTCGCGATGTCATTAATAGCAAAAACAATAACAAAAATTGAACAGAAAAAAGCAAAACCTTTAAGTACACATTTTGGAATTCCATTGGTAACGACTGACAAAGATATTACAGGTTTGATATCTAATTAAGGGATCAGTGCCACGCATCTCTTCTAGTACTCACTTATTTTCATATTTTAAGCAGTACAAATAGCGTCGTTTTCATTTAAATTAGCAGAAACAAACGGATTGTTGGAATTGATGATTCTTTTGGTCGAAGAACGACGACGGGGAGTTAAATCCGCTTGGTTTCCCGTCAAATCTAAGCTTTCGGACGGCATACGGTCTAAAAGTTTCCCGCCAAATCGTGAACGAGCAAGGAACCGACACTGTTAGCAAAATACTTTAAAGTGGCTAAAAAAGATTGCTTTTAACCTGACATAATTTCAAAATCGTCTTACCAGCCAGACAGTTAGACAGACGATCATCTTACAAGATATCCGATCATTGCACCGACTAATCAAGCAGTACAAACTATCAAAACCAAACAGCTATTGATAAAGAATGACTTTAAACATCGCAGCGTCAGCTGGAGTTAGATGAACAATCTAGGTCACTCACCGAAAACAAATGATTTGTGTAGTGGTTTTATATGGAGGACTTTCTTGAGTGGACTAACGGTTAGAATAAAAACGATGGAAACAGTGTTTATTCTGGTGTAAATCTTTGTTTGGACTGAAGGCAACTGAGGAGGGCCTCGCCCTTTCACTAAACGGAAATAAGTTACGAAGTCCAAAGCACTAACAAGATCAAGATATGGCCATCTGTGAAACCCACCCTGTTCATATTAATCAGTCTTCATAGAACACCACGTTATATATCACCACCTGAGTCGCTAGGTTTGGACAACAACGACGATGATGCTCCTAGTGAGAAAGGAATTAGCTCCTAATTGGTCCGAAAAAAAAAAAATGCTTTCAGTGAACTTTGTCAAAGTACAAAATCACATCAGACTTAAAAGTTTTCACCAAAAGCTATCCTTCTAGTCCTGCGGAAAAGAATCAGACAGGATTTTTCTTTCCCATAGTTAAAAATTCTCAAGAGTTATTTCACGTTTGTCGAAATTCATTTCTTCTTCATAATGACACTTCTATGCTTAAATGAGCGTGACGAGTCCGTGAACAACTAACACGTTAGATTAATGTTCGCTTCAACTTTGCAGGAGACAGCGAAGTCCACGGCTGGACTACTCATGTTTTTTTTCACGTCCTTTTCTTACATGTCTCGCCATCAATAAAGCAAGCACTGTTTGACATATATCATAAGATAGACTGTGATTTTGGCAAAGAAATCAAATGAAGCTGTTTTAATGTTTGCAATAATCAAATTTATTAGTAAAAAAAACAAAGATTCCCACCAAACAAAAATTATTAAAATTCACAATTTTACTCATTGAAAAACTCTCTTTGCGATTAGTTACTTGATTCAGGAAAAGAGAAAAAAAAAGTTCATATAAGAAAGTGAATTGTATACAGCGGAAAACGCCCATAGGTGTCTTTTACTACACCAGAGTTTGAGAATTTGTTAACCAGAATTAAATCAAGTTATTTATTATTCTCTTTTATTATCCAGCTCGACTGGCGATACGTTTTTGCGGAGCGATGAAAATCTGGTTACCTGCCCGATTAGAAAGGGCCTGAGAAATGACAGTTAACCATTCTTAAGATATCAACCTCGTTTTACAGCTGGATGTTCCACAAACGGGGACAGGAGGTTCTACCTGTGCTGGCTGTGAGTTAATACTAATCGCGTGAAACAATTTAGTGTAAAACAGCTTCTCCCCAAAGATAATCATGATGTCTACATAGACACTTGGGAGAGGTCAAGCAAAGTCCATTAAAGAGTTCAGTTTTTTTTATGACTGGCCGGAATTCGAACCAGACTAAAGATTTCCGCATCATAATGAATCACAGATGATTTGTCATACTATTTTGTCTGCATCAGAAAAATTGTTCAGCATATTCAATTAGCTCGTTTGTCTGTTGGTGCCACAAGACACCGAACTTCAGACAAACACTTCAGGAACGTCAACAGACCTGTCTAAAACGCTCTCCAGAGAAATAAGACTCGTGCACTAGGAATGTCTCCTCACGACATTTCTGAAGAACACCTTAGAGTAGAAGCTAATTCACCCGTCGTGTTTACCCCTAGAGGTCGACTTACGGGAGAAAGGATCGTCAGATGTTTAATTTCTTTGTTTATTTCTCACTTTAGTCTTTATCAATTTGCGATTAACTTAGTAGGCCTGCAATGTAGTCAACGGTTTCTTAGAAGACAGCTTTAGCAATTCTTTCTCGGAGAGCGAGCGTGTAAGAGGTCCATTGATGTATCGGTTGTTCCTTAGCTTATACTGACCCTAATTATGGGAAAAGTTTTAACCATTTAACTTCACCAATACACAACCTGATTATAGGAGAAGCGGCGGGAAAAAAAAATACAATATCCAATTAAAAAGATACTTCGGCGGTCACGGAATATCGTAAGATGTTTGACACTCGCTAACATCATGGTTCTACCCTTTAGGATATATGATAAATAACAACCGAAAAACAGCAGATAATTCGCAATGATCAGCTAAAAAGAATCTTCTTTACCACAAATGAAACATCAATAGCATAAGGACGGCGAAGAGTCCTAGACGTTCAACCTTTCTCGGTAATACTGGTTAATTACTTCGATAACTGTATTAGTTAATTACTTGGAGATGCCGAGTAACAGATGTCGTACTCAGACACGAGAGCAACCAGGATGATGGAAGACGATAACAATACGATTGATACGGGTTAAACGAGAAACGGGAAAATTGCGTCAAAACAGAACATTCTAACATTCTAAATTCCAATTCGACGTGGAAACAGTGGACAAGAAAAGCCACCCCGTGGAGTGTCTACTGCTGACTCCCAGTTTTAATACAAAGTTAAAAAGATCAAACTGCCACTCCTATTTCAGTTACTCGTTATGAGAGTTCCGTCGAGAATTCTTCACTATTAGGCACTTGGTCTGAATTTTCGAGATCGTTATTAGCAATTCATGTTAGTCATCTCGACCTTTTCCTTTTTTTGTTCCCTCTTGGTTTATAATTACCTCGTTTGTGTTTGTCTATCTTAACGAAAAAAATACATATTTTTCTGATTCAAGTTTAACTCAAAATTATTGTTTTTGGTTAACTTCATTACAACAGGTGCAAGCCCTGGCACCACGAACAGTCATAAAACTGGAATTCGCCTCCTAAATCAAACTATGTCTGAATGGAAAAGCCGCGATGGCTATAATTGAAGACTTCACAACTACACAAATAAAATTACTCCATAATTTAATTTTTAATTATGTTTAAAAACATAAACGTTTTCTATCATATTTTTTTCTGGAAGAGAATTCCGGTTTTTTCCCCACAAAATATCCATCGCCTTTGTTCCCTAAGAGGCCTAAACCTTCAACACTTCTGTCCCGATGCTCCTCAAGGGAAAGAGACTAACTCCATCATTGTAATCCTAAAATAATTCTCAATGTTAGAAGTATAAAGAAACATCTTGATTTGGATTTAAACTCGCCCCGCCTGCAGCAACGAGTACAGTCCCACAAATTCCTCCGTGAATTTACCGTCGAGTGTCTTGGTGGCTCGCCAGTACAGCTGACCTACATTGTCTGGCTTTCCACCAGGGTGTAGGAGTTCCAGGCGAATATAATCCACCCACAAATCTGAGGAAAATAAGAAACACACGTATGAATTATTGTAACAAGACCAGGTCGAGTCCAATCAAGCCTATAATCATACGAGTGATTCACAAAATTTCAAGACCGCGAAGCGGTAGTCCGACTTTGTTAATCAAGAGTAATATTACAGACAGATTTGGTCGGCAAGAAGTCTTAATAACAATTAATCACAAACATGACAAATTTGAGACACAAAATACCCATCAGTGAAGCGTAGTCATAAATAAAAACATAACCGTTAACCTCTCTCCACGAAAAAACGAACCTATCAGTCTAAATAAACATGTGGAGAGATAACAAACATAGTCCAGAAGCACTCCGGCTCTTAAAATGTCCTATTACAAGCATGACGCCTTCACTGTCCAAGTGCCCACATCAGCCAACTGATAGCCAATCACGTTCGAGAATTTTGATGTATGCGTTGGGCCTCGGTAAGAGGTTCCAGTCCCAGCCAGTTCCGAAAAAGGAACTATGTGGTCACACTTTCAGTCGTTTAATGCGGAAAAAAATATTTTGTAATAAAAGAAAAATACACAACAATATGAGCCCAATCTCGAATTAACCATCTTATACTTGCTTCCTGAGTTTAGGTTCATTTTCGAAACTATTATGAGTAGATAATTTTTTCATGGAAAATGCACCAACTGCCTCTGTGCCCACTCGAAGCAAAGTCCTTAAGTCTCTGTTTCCCAAACAGCTTGTCAGCTCCCACTTGACAAAAGATATAAATTTTTTAGCATGCAACGCCATGAATAGCTCCTTTAAGTAATTTTGCGCAATTTCTTTTAGTTGACGTCTGAATCTTTCTCAATCTTGAATAAAAGAAAAACCGGACTAAGCAACTTGGATTAAATTACCAACCAACGTAAATTTTACGAACACCAACATGATTTCAATCAGTGGATTAAACCTATTATTTTCTCCTATTAAAAAGGACCAAGTCATGCTAAAACAATTTAAGTGTTCAAAGTTAATCTGCTTTGCTGAAAAGGAAATCTATCAGGCTAGTTTGCTCTAAGACTTCTTATCTGATGTTGCTGTGTTCTGTTCACGGTCTTCACATGGAAACTTTTTCGACTTTGCATTGAATATTACATACTGGCTAACTTCCATCCCGATGAGATTTTTTAAAGCCATTTATCTTTATCCACAATGTTTGTTTTTAATTCATTGGTATAGAACTCTAGGAAACCCCACTAGGAGGGAGGTTGATTTAAACGAATATTTTCATTATTGTTCTTAATTTTAATCCATCACACAGATGGCTAAAAGTCGGAACTGCTGAAATTTTAATTAAATAAAACAGGCCAAGAAAATGCGGATGCAATAAATTGACAACGTAAAAAAGAAACTGACGCCATTGTAACGCTAAATTTAATCAATCTTTAATCAATGAAACGATGTTTGGAGGTTGACACGACGAGGCGCTTTAAAAGATCAGCAGACTTAAAACACTGAGATAATCGGATTTAAACTGAGGATAAAAAGCCGTGGAAAGAGTCAAATACCGTAACGAAAAAAGTTCGAGCAATTGAAACAGTCGTTTGCAGTCTGTTAAGGAAATGTATGTCGTATGTTAATAGCTTGCAGAGCCGGGTACCATGGTCTATCCACTACTTCCTGAGTTCACAATTTACATCACAAACCTTATGGAAACCGTTCAATGAAAATAAGATTAAATAATAATAACAATGAATAAAATAAACCAGTCACAACATCCGTAGCAAGGAGACTGAGCTATATACTTATAAGACACGATAAGTAGTATTCGATCTCCCTCTTGTGAAGCCTTGTGAACTTTAGACTAGGACACGATGAAACAGTCACAATGCTGTACTTTCTACCAATGCTCTACATTTCACAGCATAAAAACGTGATAAAACCTAGAGATCATATGATACAGTACCACTGCGTGTAAAGAATGCGTGTAATGAGACAAAAAGATTGCATTCTGAATTAGTCTTATGATTACTTGGTGGGTTCCTTGCTAATTGACAGTGTGTGTGTTAAGACGAAAAGATTAACTTGCACCGCTTCAGCTCTCAAAACTGCCTTGAAACGTTTCTGCTTTGAATTCGTCTGTAATTTTCCCGCCGCATGAGCGAAACTCTGCTGGGTTCTTGGTGAATTCAAGTTTCAAATAGTTTTTTAACTGCCAAGAGCCAGCTCCAAACGTGAAATGAGTAGTTTGCATCTAATCTATTCAGTGACTTGGAAACAGATTACTATGGATACAACTCTAGTTTCCCTCACATGACAATTGCGAATGAAACTTAACTGAAATCACTTCCCTTTTGACCACTACGGATAATTTTTTTATCACAAAAATGAATGTAATTTTTAGAATTACCGTGGAGGGCCGCGACTGCGTCTCACTCCAACAACTGAATTAAAAAGAGCTTTGAAATTAATGAATAAAAAAAATAATCCTATTTATGGACTTTAAAATTTAGGGAACATTTTGATCGAATTGTATTTTTAAACGTTCTAAGGTTTTTTCAACATCTACAGTTTATTAAAAAGCTGGATGACTGAATGAGAGAACGCTGACCTCGTTTCTACTCTACAAAGATTCTGAAACGTCATATTTTCTTTCACTGAAGCATTTCTGTGGATTAGACATATTGGCGCGTTGCATGCATGCATGCAGAGTAATAATAATTTTATTGACTTCTAAGGCGCAAATTCTATATATATACATTCAAATGCGAAACAGAGACTAGACAGGAAGCCAAGTATGCAACATGCCGGCCGACACATGCACAATATAATTAGACCATATAAATTCCATTCCAAGCTTAAAACGACTAGGTCTAGAATGCCGAATTGCACTAAAAATATATCACGTAGGAAGCTTTGCTGCGTTGATAACCATTAACTTAACAGAGTCAGGAGGGAGATAAACAAAACAGAAAAATTACATCTCTTTCTCTTAGCTAGCATCTCCAGGCACTTGCTACAAACAGCCCCTCTCTACACCGACGAGAAGAAGCAGAGAAAAGCCGAAGCCCTACGCCCACCACAACTAAACCACAACTACGAACAAAAGAGACAAGTGTCTGGACATCTGAAGGCCGGCGCAAAAGCATAACAAGGGAGTGACGAAAATGTTCGTCAGCAAAGGAAATTTATAGCAGACACAGGCAAATTGATGCTAACTCAAAATAATTAAATCGATAAAAATGTTCGTCGGCAAAGGAAGTCGAAAAACCTTTCGAGAAAATACGACACTAAGTATAACAATATGTTCTTCTCGTCAAGAGAACATCACGTTCTCCTACAGCACACACAAATGAAACTCCAACCTCCCTACCAAAGTCTAACTCTGGTGAGAAAGTATCAGTTACTGCGCATGTTCAATGTATCGCTGTCCTTTTGCTAAGATCTGCCGTACTTACCAGGATAAGAAGAACCAAACTGATCTACGGCTGCTTCATACAAATCACGAATACGCTTCGCACTCGGCTCAACCTGAGCAACCAAGTAAAGTAAGCTTAGTAGACTGCACGACGTTCCGACATGCGCACGAACAAAACATACTCCAGCACCTTGGCAATACAAGTTATTTCCTATTAGTATCATATCAACGTTTAACTAACGAAGGTTTATTTAATGAAAATCCTGCCATACGACCGTCCCGTCGACACGGCCAGTTTTACATGCCTTGATCGATAAATGAAAGTGTAGATTTAGTTGTTCCATATTTCAAGACGTTATCAATCAGTCCGATGGTCGTCTTAGCTAGGCAAGGTTCCATTTTTACTTAAACTACGCTTTGCTAAACGTTTGGCTGAACTTCAAACGATTAGAAGGCGGATTTTTCAAACGACGATTAATCTTCGGCCCTTAATGTCAAAACGATTACAAGATGTATAAAAAAATGATGCAGGTTCAAGCTTGAAGAAGCCGGGCGCTTTCGCACAAGTATTCAGTCACATATTTTTTGTGCTTTCACTATTTCAGCATCTTTTGCGTTAGAACTAGTCGAGTATAAAACGTCATCCTCTTCCCAGGATTTTGTCAGGATCACGAAATTGAGGATCATTCAAAACGACGGACCATTCAACAGATGCAATTTTTGTCTGTAACGATTTAACATCGCTTACCTGTGTTAACTCGAGGTCGATACACTTTCGAAAGAAAGAAATTGTATAAGGTCGCTCTTGAATCAGTCTGAAGGGGAAAGGCGAAAAGACCCGTTACACTTCATTATTAATAATTGTATGACGGTATACAGCCGTTGCCCAGAAGTACTGGTACATATCCATGCTTTGTTATAAGGAGGAACTTAAACATGAGGAGAAGGTAGCGATCGTCAGAAATTTGAAAATGAGCTTACAGTGAACAAGAAAATTAATTTAGCGAAGTAGCACAGAATTGTTTGTCATCATTGGACACAGTTAATAAGTGTAATTATTTCACCTTTTGTAGAGTTTCCTCGCTTTCTTGATCCCTTTTGTGCTCGAGGTCCACTCGACATATTTGTATTTCGTTTCGATCTGTACGTCAGCACAGGATTGCAATGACAGCTGTAATAAGACATAATAACGAGAGGAAACACAAAAAAACCTTTAGTTTCCTTGAAATATATTGATGCAGTTTTAAAACCGAAAAGTTGGCAGAATCCCACCATTTCAGTGTGTTTAGTAATTTTAGTTAACATTATTGTGCAACTATTGAAAGATGAAGGTAACTCACTTCAAAGACAGATTCCACCTCATCCGGATTATTTTCAATACACCACTCAATCCAGAGATTCCAAAGAAATAACGAATCCTGCATCAAGAGAAAACCATGAGAAAACACTGTGTGAGAATATTCAAGGACACTGCACCATCGATGATCACGGGAAAAAAAAGACAGTTCAAGCGATACACTGGGATATGCACTTGTGTTGATTCACTATTGCACCTTTGACCAAATGCTTCACTTAAATGCATTTTGTTCTAAAATAAGCCAACCGCTATAAAGGATTTGTGGACTCCGTAGTAACACACGTAGTGATGCAGATATCGAGGAATTTCCTAGTTCACTTCAGTTTTCTTACCTTGGAATCTACGCACTGCAGAGCTGTAGAAAATTCATTTTGAATGTCCTTTATTTTGCCTGTGAATAAAAAGTAAAACCCCAATTGTGATCATTAACCCTTCCCTTACGTAATGCTGTGGGACAATTAAAAGAAAGTACAGACTTTCTATGAATAGAAGCCAACACCTGCAATATGCTGGTAACGCAAAAGAAACTGAATAAACATGTCCACGAGCCAAATACATGAACCTTGTACATCGATAGCCTGCAAGCAAGCTTTCCAAGGGTCCTGGGAGTAGGAGTGATGTATAAGAACGGAATCTCTCCCTGCTCCTCTTCTCCTTCTTGCCAACCAACCACAAGAGAGCTAGCTGGCAGGCTAATGCATGCACACAACTGTGGGTTACTTTTGAGTGCTTCACAATGCACTGCATGTTTACCTTCCATGGCATTTAAATGTTCATTGTGTAGAAGGAAAACTTATAATTGTATTAAGCAATCGATTCACATAACCTTACCCTTGTTCAGCAGTTTAAGTCTCAAGTACTTGCTCCACAAACTCGCTGATGTTTTAAAATGTTTAGTTGCCTTTTTACAAACCAACAAGGCTTTCTTTGACTGATCTCTTTGAAGCAGGAGGTCAACCTGTATTGTATACAAGGTACATGTACTGCTTTCAAGTTTACAGTTATTTCACCTGGGATTTTGATTAGTATGCAAGGAACTTGTCACCCTTCATTAGCAGGCAAGTAGAATACTAAATACTTAAGTGTTCCTTTTAATTGGCTACCATGGCAATTTTGAAAGGCTGACAAGTACATGTATGTACTAATGTACCATGGGAAAAAATGTCCAGTTCTTGTGGAAAAAAAAAAAGATAAATGAAATGTGAACTGTTCAAATTCCCATAGTAGGGAATTATGTACATGTAGGTATGCCTTTTCAGCTTCATGTACAAGTCAACAAAATATACCAACCAGAGTGAGTTCGTTTAAAATGACGCTCCTCTAACTTGGGTTAAAGTGAGATTTTTTTTCTTCCGAAAACAATGTACATGTACATTCACAATGGCAGCAAAAAAGAGCACAAAGGCTCTCTTTACATCATTGTAATTAATGCCCACATCTAATTGGACATTTGGGAGACTCACCCATGTTTTGTAGAGATCCTCACTGACACAATTAGCTTTTTCAGCCTCAGAAAATAAGCACAAAACATTTTGCTCTTGTTGCTACAGAACAAAAAGCAGAACGAAAAAAATTTAGAAAGACTATTGGTGTTAGTGCATACACAGTAGGACTGAATAACTTGCCATTTTAACCTACAATTAAATGGAAAGAATCTTATAGTTATGTACTTACCTCTTTAGCTTGCTCGAGTGAAGAATCAGTAAGTAGCTCCATACAGGTAGTAATATATAACTCCCACATTTTATCTGGTTGAAAAAAAAACAACAACAACAACTGCAAAATCAAACAGTTGACAAAAAGTTGATGTGTAAATCAACTAAAACATGGCCATAATATAACTGTAAATCTTAATTCACATCATATTACAAAGGCAAAACAAAAACAAAGTGATGAAAAAACAAATAAAAGTGGAAAAGTTAAGGACTGAAGGAACACGAAGGAACCTTATGAACAAATAATGGTCAATTATTGCTTTTAAGGAGAAAATAGTTTACCATAAAACATGCAAACTATTGATCATTTATGGATGCTTAGCTCACCAGTTTGAACTTGTCGTACTGCCTGGTGAAACAACTTGTTCATTTCCACCAGAAGCTCTGACCACTGGCTATCTGTAGATGAAGTTCGCATATTTAAGTACATAGTTTTTTCTTAAATCTACCCTGCCGTAAATGATGATTAAACACAAGAACAATTTTATCCTAATCATTAAATATGACTATGAAACAGTCCATCAAATTATCCACCAGAATTCCCACCTAGAGTACATTTACAGTACAATGTTAGTTGATTCGTGAAATTACTTAATTAACTTATATTTGCAAACTTGATCAAAACACTGAGTGATAGTCTTAATATCAACACCTGTAATAACAGCTGTTCCTTTCTTTACTTTAGCTTTTGCTTCATCAATGGGTCGACGTGCTACCAAATTCCACACCTCCTCCTCAGATTCAGGAAAATGTTTTATTAAGCTAAAATAATAAAAGGAAGCACTAAGTTAAATTTTAAAACATACTTTAAACATTTTGCTCTGTAACTTCACTGGGAAAACAAAAATATTTTAAAAATAGGAGTATTTTAATTTCCTTTAGCACTGATGCAAAAGGTTCCTTGCAGTTCAGCTCCAAGAGAAGAATTGCCGGCTAAGGAAGGCTCTATCATACAAACATGTATCTGAGACATAACTGACAAGAGTCTTCAAAACCAGTGTACACTACATATGTTATTTCCAATAATCCATGTTATCACTATCACCTTCATAAACCATGTCAAATCAGGACAGCAAAAGTGATGAGTACATTCTTAACACTGACAATACCTTTCATATATCATATCACAGCCATGTTCTGTGTTTTCAAAGAGGCGATAAATTTCTATAAAGGATATTTGGAACTTTATATCATCTGCAATGTACAAAAAAAAAATGTGGTGTCATCAAGTTGTATATAATTTTTCAGACACAAAACACACATGGTGTACCTAAGAGTGCTGGCAAGTACATGCATTGAAATAAAAGTAACTACACGTACAGTATAAAGCACTGGTTAAGTAACAGTTGATTATGTTCTAATGTACAGTGTAAAGACACTGTGGCTTACATTTACTAGTACAACAAACATTACCTGGCACAGCCTCTATTGCCTTTTTGTAGACAATTTCAGGAACTTTTCCAGCAAGAAATTCTGCAGTCACTTCTTCTTCCTGGAAAATAAAAAAATAGGGAAATCAGAGCCAAGAAATATAATGAAACAGAGCATGTACGGTACATCTACAAAACCACTCAAGTTTCTTTTCAAGAATATTGTCACTGTTAAGAACATACAAGTTAGTCTACAGGAACAATAGAATTCAGCAGTCTTCCATTAACTAAGTGGAAAACAAGTTAGTCAATCATGCAAACTTCATCTGAGTCAACATACCTGGGAATCTTCTCCTCCACTCATTCCAAGAACTTTTCTTCTATTATGAATCTGAGAAAAACAGAAATGTATACATGTACTGTACCAATAAAGTGTGACAAAAATGTACTAACTTAACAAAATAAAACTGACCTACTTTAAAGCCAGCCAGGGGAATAATCTAACTTACACTGAAAACTCTTGAAAACATCTTTAGACTAAAAAAAAAAAATCTTAATTGACTTACTTTTTCCACATGAAGAAGTTCCATTCTGAAATACTGCAAGACAAAATTTCATAATAAGAAATATTGTACCATTAGTTTGTAACTAACTACAAGTGTTACAGTATCTCTGGCTTATCTTACCTCCAGCCACAGTTGCTGAGAAGAAGAGTTTACCCTCAGACCTCTTTGTAATAAAGATCTGCTGTTAGGAATGTTCTTGTTTTCTTCAAACTCCCACTTTGCTGCCATTATCCACAGACCTGAAAGTACATTGTATAATAAATAATGTCTTGTAGCAAAAAGATGGAAATACCGGATTGAGAAGAAAACTGTGCCACAGGTTTTACTGATTTCATTACAATTACCCAGTAAATAATAAGGAACATGGCATCTTTCCCCATAATGGATGCTGGTCCATCACAGGCTACCCAAAACCTCCCGAGCATTTCATGAGGTCTTGCTGATAGGTCTGTGGTACCTAGCTGATTTATATTCATGGATAGAGAGAAGTGTCTTGTCTAAGAATGCATTACAATGATCCAGCTTTGGCTCCTGAGTCAGCTAATGAGCTGCTGTGACTCCCTCAAATTGAGAATGGTCTTTAAACATTGACGACAACTGAACATATCACATAATTTAAGTTCAATTTAAATCAATCTCACATAACCAAGCCTTAGTATGAAACATATTCAGTAGATCTGAAAGTTTATAACAAATGAGTAGTTAACATACTTGGCTTGTCTGGATGATATTGCAAGAGTTTTGCAAATACTTTTCCAAGAATTTTTAAACTTCCCTGAAAGAAGAAATAGTATTACAAATACATGTACATGTAAATGTAGTGACTATGCAGGCAGTTAAATCCTGACATCTGAAATACTGCTACAAAGGAGACTACATTGGTATGACAAAGCAAACATTCAGTTCTCAGAAGAAGGCCACAGAGCTTAAACAGAGTTGAACATGAGTTTACTGCAACCATGCCAAACCCTGTGAATCTCTTAACATCTTATGTGCAAGTGCCCATTAGCCTGGCAAAACCCTTTTAATTATTTAACTCCCACAAGAGATTAGCATGTAACTTCTCCTAATAATATTCATACATCAACCTGCACACAGGTAATAAGAATACTCAAACTAATCAGGGAGAATTTGTTATCTTGATCCAACACCAAATTCTCATAACTACTTTTCAAGGAGATGTGTTGCAGCTAGAGGGGAGAATTAACAATGACATCTTGGGACTTAAAAGGGTTAAACTAAATTGTATAGCAGCCATAAAAATCAATAACAATTCAAGTCTATTCCTACCATGTGTTTGCAAAATTCAATGTACTGGATCCAGAGCTTGATGTCTCCCTAAAGGATTAGGGCATTATTAAACACTTGATACTATTTTACACCTAAAGAAATTCATAATAATTTTTTTTGACAGGTGTGGGATGAAAACTTCAAGCAAAGACCTTCCAACTTCTGTCAACTCAGCTACAGAGAATTTATCAACAAGGTAAACTACAGGCATAAAAGGATCCTGAGAAATGTACTAACACCTAAATCATTTATATATACAGTTGTATGTAGCTGGTCTTGCTGTGATCAATATTCTAAGATAGGTTAAAAGTTAGAGTGTTGAACAATTTTTGTACCCTTTTTGTGAATCGCCTTATTACGAATATGTTACTTTTATTCACAATGTGCCTTCAAAGACAGGTTGCTCAAATTTACCCCATTACAACTTACCACAAACTTCTTTAAGGCATTCTGAAAAGCAAAACAAGATATGTGTGTTTAATTTTTGTACAAGTGAACTGAATCATGAAATCTAATTTTTAGATAAGAAAAAAAACTGGTCAAACTTATTGGGAGGATTAAGACATGGGGTCAAATTCATCTTCTATCTACAGGTGTACGTGTATTATGCAGGCTGTAGTCCTTGTCTACAGAATGAAGCTATTTTTGAAAGGAGGTGCTGAGGGATTAGGAGGCTTAGGAAATAATAATTCAGAACTAATTCCGTAGGTGATTTAACTGAGCTGAACTAACCTCATTTAAAACTGAGATGCATTAATAACTCAAACTGCCTCGCTTAAAAAACTAAAAAAAAATCCTGTTTACAAACATAGAAATTTCTAAGAATAATCATAGTATACCTTATAGAGATTGTAGTAAGGATATCAACATTCTTTACCTGAAACAGATTGTGTATTTTTTTCATTGTTGCATATTCTGCTTGTAAATTCCTTTTTATGCCAAGTCTCTGCAAAACAAAAATAAATGAATTTCTACACTTGAAGATTTCAGTAAATTTAATTGAAAAATACTGCACTGCAGATAAATATCTCACCGACTTCCTCTTTTTCTTCAACATATCCAGGTTAATTTCATACTATAAGTAAAAGAAAACAAATTCATTAAATGTTCGAACCAAGAATCTGTAAGCCTTGATCATTAGAATGGGAATCTCATCAGTGGAATATAACAGCTTTTGTTATGGATGTACTACAGTAGGTGATCACGGTTCTGTATGTACCTGCATATATCTTAAGAAGTCTGACTTCTGAACGATTCTTTTTTGCAGACGGTATTCATAGTCTCGTCTCTTACGTACAATGGTCCTGTATCGTGGTAAATGACATTAAATCAGTAATAATTATGACTTTAATAGACCAAAACCATCTTTAATACATGTAAGAAAATTTAGTTGGGTTTTACTCTTGGTCATTTGTTAGACGTTGAGAACGTTTTTTCACAAAATTGCAACTATTGAATCCTGGTGCCCAACTTCTGAGATGACACGGATTATCAAGAAATTAATGTTTCTTAGCTTAGCTACATAAGAGGCATGTAGCTTAAGGACAGAACAACTGTGCATCCACAGTCGACGAATCAAGACTAAGTAACATGAGTAAATGAAAGTTAAGAACGAGTTAAAAACAGTCGATACTATTTATTTTCAATGCAATGCAAGTAAGTAGCAGGTATGAGTTCTACAGTTCAGCTGTTAAAAACATGTTCTCCACCAAAAGACGAGTAAACAGCTGTAAACTTTACTCACCTGATTTCATCACTTGAAAACACTCCCATTCGCTCCATTTCCTCAAGTTCTGGCAACATACCCTCGAGATTTTGCTGGACGTACTCTGCCATAGTGGAACTTTTGAGTAACGAGAGAAAAAGCTATAGATTTTCGAAGAAAAGTCTCGACAAAGCAGCACGCTTCTTTCGTCCACCATGTGCAATGTTAGATACCGCTGACAAGTTTGCGATGATCATGACCTGTTACATGAACCCCTGTTAGGTCTATTGAGAAATTCTTCTCATCACAGACAACCCAAGCTTACGTCTTGTGTGACTTAGTGTTAGGTTACGAGAGGAACCGTTGAACACGTTATAAGGAATAGTATGGAGAACGAAATATGGTCGATTTACAACGATAAATATTTAAAAACATGAAAATTTTTGCACGTAAAATCAAAAGAACTTACTCACATATTGTGAGTCCGCTGTGGTTTCTGGCGATTTCTGCCGTTTAAAGCTTGCTTTTCCATCACTGTTATTCCTATTATACTTCGTCTTTTGACAGGAATAACAGTGGTGGAAAAGCAAGCTTAAAACAGCAGAAATCGCCCGAAACTACAATGGACGCACAGGATGTGAGTAATTTTTATTGATTTTACGTGTAAAACGTTCATATTTCGAAATATTTATCGTTCTAAATCGACCATACTTCGTTCCCCATACTATTCCTTATAACGTGTTCAAATTCTCAACGGTTCATCTCGTACCTCAACACTGAGTCACACAACGCGTGACGCTTTCAATTGTTTGCTTTTTCTCGAGACGTGAGCTTGGGCTGCCTGTGCTCTCCTCAAGTTATTACGACAATTACACGTTCATATTTATGACCCTCCACAGGATTCTAGGGAATAAGGTGAACGCACGCGCACGGTACGCTCGCATGCTGAAACAAAAGAACTAGCTTTTAACACGTTAGCTGCGTGTTTGTTACTTGCCTCATTAACTTCGCAGTTACTGCCTTGCTTCGCACGGTAGAAACAAAGGAATGTGTAAAGATCTTGCTTGCAACTTTGCACAATATAACGCGGTAACACGCCTCTTAAAGTTGAAGTTGCTTTCAACATGAACATGTACGTCCTAAGATGTAAGGTTTTTTAGCTCACCGATACGCCCGGCCGATACGGTACCCAATATCCAGTGAAACTTGGGTCGCTAAATCGCCAAACATAAAGGAATATCTCGACTTGTTGTCCATCATTTAAAACTTTGTTTGAGTTTTTTCCTTCATTTTCGAATTCCTCATTTTCTTAAAACAGCTTGCAAAACGCGGGGGCCAAACGAGCAAAGTACTCTGCTCTTGAAATCGTGATCATCTTCCTCTTCTACTGTCTGGCGCTAAAACAATCTTCTGACAGGGATTCTAAATATTTTTTGCCGGTTAGAATGGATGAGAATTCATGACTTTGTGATAGCATTTTGAAACTTGATGATGAACAGCTACGAAACGTTTGGGTGTTCCTTTGCGCGTGTAAACGTTTTGTAGTGTAAATGACGTAACTATGGAGAATACACGCACGGGATCCAGAGGAGTTTGAAACTTTAAGTTTGCTCAGTTTGCGAACTAAAATACTCGTTAATACCTTCGAAAATTTTAATTTTAATCGTCCTCGCGTTACAGTTGCGTTACGCAAGGTATATACCACAGTGCTAAAGACTAAGAGCTTGTAAGATGCCAAGATCGGCGTACAGTAAATAATACGCGGCTTTGCTCGGGAAAGCTTCATTATGCGCCGGCTAACTAGCGGTTATTTATTTTATAAATGCCGATTTGCATAGGGTGACGAACAGCGACTGCGTCGATCAGGAGACATGGAGCCGGAAATCTGATGCTAAGGATTCACAAAGATTCAGTGCTGGGCTTATAAACTGCGTGAGGCGATAAGGATTTATATTTCACAAGGTAAGAATTAAGAAAAGACAAAAATTAACAAAAACAAGTTTACTCAAGTACTTTCGTTTGCGTGACTTGACTCATGCGCAAAAAGAAAGACGAACTTCGGTGGGAGGCGATTCAATAAAGTTTGCCGGCCCTATATTACTTCACCAAAGCATTTGACGTTTTCAAATGACTTCTCTTTAAGGATACCAATGAAACGTTTCCAAGACTGATGACCCGTTTTTCGTTGTGTACCGCCTTTATGTTCATTACAAGTAAAACTTTATTTTCCGCACAGACTTGGACTTGGCAACTGAGGTTACTAGACATTACTGAAACATTGTGAACCTTTTGCGTGTACGATCTTGCAAACGTTTTAGCTTATAGACTACTTATGACTATTTAGCCACAATTCTGCTTATCCCAAATTGTAATTGCCTTGCTGCAGTAAGTTGATTATTACTTATTAATAAGTCCTTAAGCACAACAGGGAAAAGTGTCCTTAATTTCACGAGACATGAATATGAATCTGAATTTAAGTAAATGTTACGTAATTTGTTCTTCTTGATTTCTGTTTTCCATGTTGGCAAATAATTTTTCCCGTGAGCTTCCATAGGAAAAACGTTTTAGTCATAAGCGTCTGTGAGTAGATTCGAACAACAATATGAACCACCGTCGGCTAAACTGTTTTCTATAAACATTTCTAAAACTCTCTCAGGACACATCGACGAAGGTAATTTCGTATCGCGTGTCGCTGTCCCTGAAAACATTCCAGGAGTTTCCATTTTTAATTTCCTTTTTTGTTCCCTTAAAAAACAGGAGGAAACTTTTTTCTTTGCTTTTGGCACGACTTTCATCATTTAAATTCAGCGTTCGTTTTCTTTTCAATAATCATTGGTTCAAGTGACTCAAGTCAGGATTCATTATTCATATCCCTTTAAGTAATTGGTCTGTTTTGCAGTTGTGACCGCGGTAACGCAAGCTGCTGTGTGATATTTATCACACTAGGTAATTTAAAGATCGATAATATATTCATGAAGGTGAAGGCAAATCATGAATTTTATTATCTTTTCGGGTATATAAGCATATCTTTTGATTGCACCGTCCAGCTGATGGTAATAAACCTTATTTACCACACGCCCAGGGAACTGACTAACTGAGTATCACTTTCAACCTCATATATTTAAATAGGTTTCTGTCGTACAGCTACTAACTGTGTATTGTTGGTACCCTGCTTTGCAGTGTCGGTGGAAGAATAGAATGTTTCTTACAAGACAGTCTCTAATGGACGTCAAGGCGTAACAGTGAGTAAAATCAATGTACGGATTAAGATTATTTGTTTGAATCTCCGAAACTAGTAGTTTTGCTTCATACAGTCCAAATCTTCTTGATTGACGGTATTTAAAAAATGATGCAAGTAAAATAATTAACTTTAAATTATTTCTTTTTTTACGGAATATTAATTCTTTTTTTGGCATAGGCTTTGCGTTTTCACCCTCTCATGGGTAATTTTTTTAGATTCGGACCAAAAAAGAAATTAAAAAGGCAAAAACCCCATTGATCAAATATACTTCTTTTAATATCGATATATAAATTGAAAAAAAAATTGTAATGGGAGAAGAGACGCACCGCCGATCCCGTCAGTTTACACGAACCTTAGAACGGTTATGGCTTCCAAGATTACAAGCAGTTTGCACTGCCAGATCACAAAAGTCGTTCAGCGAAATGAACCACCGTGAACTGTAACCACAATAAGGGTGAGTTAGAATTTTGTTAACTTCACACATTGCCCCAACATATATGCGAGAGAAAGTTCATTAAAATCATTTTGTCACAACACTTTAAATATTCAATTCATTGAACTTGTCGTTGTTTGTAGGAGAACTTTTCTTTTTTGCCAGATTTTTCACTTTAAAATGAATGGAAAAAGGTTCGTGAAAAAAAGAGAAAGTTGTCACTTAAGGGAATGGAAGGGTGATATATAAATACTAAGATTGATTGCACGAAAATTATCAGCATGCTAATTAATCAAGGCCATTAGCTAACTTATTGAAATTTCATGTTCGGGTGGCTCTTACCTCTCATTAGAATTAAAGTTTTAGTACTTCACGAAAACCGTATCGCCACGGCTAAAGGTGTCGACGAGACATATTCAGCATAATTAGAACTGAACTAAATAGAAGGGAGGGAACTTTCCAATTTTAATGTTCTTGATAAAAAGTAAAATTTGATGTAAAATTTACAGGTGATAAAAATGATTGAAAAAAAAGGAATTGACTGCCATTACAAATAAGAATATATTCAAATTTGAACGCTAATGTTTTCGTGTTTCACGATACGAGGATCAAAATGAACTTCACTTTGTATCGTGAATTGTTATTTGGCCGAGGCACTTTTCCTGTCGTAATGTTTTGTTCCAAATCTTAATGATATTGATTAACTTCACCCAACAAACTCTTTGTCATTGAAATTTGCCAATGTTTTCATTTCATGTTTTTTTGCGCACTCTTCCAAATTTGCAAACAGTTCCAAACAGAAGTCTCCGATTAATTACTCGAGAGCAGAACACTGATATGAGTATGGTAAGACTGATATTTAGAAGTTTAGGTTTATATGCAACCTGGCAAGTTCAATACATTTAAATAAACAGCGTATGAGCGGAAAATATGATATATCTTGCCTTCTTTGATAAGAATTATCAGTAAATTTTACATTTCTATCTTACGGTTCAGTTTTGGGTGTTTTTTTAACATCCACGATCTGAAGTAAAAAATTATTACATTCATTGACGAGACCTCGTAGATTTTTTCATATGCGCTTGTCACGTTATCATGTCAGGTTTTTTTTAATTTACCAGGTTTATAAGTCAAGTTCCCTTCATCGGTAATTTTCATGTCAAGATGATCAAAAACGTAATAACATGTAGATGGCAGATGGTAATGAACATATGCAGAAATACAAATCTAGAGAAAAAGTTAGAATCGATGAACTTGCTACAATAGAAATTGTATATAAATGCAACGGACTGTTTCTTATCGTTTTGTGGTTTTGAATCATTTCGAAATCTGTTCCATCGGAGGAAAAAGTTCTGAAAGCATTTTATTCACCATTTGCAAAATTTATGTATTTAAGTTGGACAGGAGCGTTCCTCAGCTGACTCAACAAACTGATGAAGCTTTCTGGGGCTTGTTCAACTGGGACGTCAAAGCAAACAAAAGCGGATGCTCTTTATGACTTTGCTCAAGTATTTTCTATAAATTCTTGCCGCTTTATCTTGTGATTTTAGATTTCGTACTTTCAGTTACTTTCTTATCCTTTTCTAAGTATTTATAGCGGCTTGTGTTCAAAGCTTTTTGTTCCATTTTTATGGAACGACACAGTTTGAGACTAGCTACAAAAATTGATACTGAGAAATTCGTTATCCCCTTAAAATAATGTTAACAAAATACTTTTTGACTCCTTCATCTAAAAACAGAATAGAAACATGATAAAAAGAAAAAACTTCAGAATGTTCCAAAGCACCGTAGACACACAGTTAGAAACCTTTCTTTTTTATTCTTATGCAAGTAAGCGATCTCAGTGTGTAGTTACCTGACTGTTTCGCTCCTCTTTGAGATTGAGGTGAGTAATGGCTGGTGAAATTTATTCGCTGAGCTGCGCCAGTCAGAGAACTTTCCTTTACGTTAGGTAATTATAACAATATAAACACATTTAAGACTGTTTTTTTCTCCAACAGCATGAGGTATATTGGCACAACAGGCACAACACGTAAAATGTTTTATTGTAATCTTCCTCTCTCTTGAGGAATACAATCTTTATAGTCTGTAAAATTATGGCATCACTTGCCAGAAAAAGAAAGCTTGTTAATTCTACAATTTTTTATGAATGTCTAAAACCACCCAAGTTAAGACATCATCCGTTAACAAACTTCCTTGCCAATAATTCTTGTATATTCTCACTTTTCGCGGATGATTTATCGTTAGCGAAAAATTCAAGCCTATCGGACTTTCTCACATCGACGGTGTACTCGTAAACGTCGCGTTGATAATCGAAAAATTAATCTGCACAGTGGCATGTTGTATCGATCCGGCATCATCAGTTTTTTAGGCTTTAATAATGTAAATAGTTGCTTTTTTGCACGCACACATGCTGTTTTGTTGAATCAAAGAAAATTAACTGTTTGGGATAGGGGCGCCGCCTAAAGTCAGCTTACTCCACCAACTTAGCAAACAAGTGATAAGACTGACAGTAACGCGGTGTTCATTAATATCATTTTCCTTGCAAAACTGTTGTAATGCCTTTCCTCTAAGTAAACGCCAAATAGAATGTCTGTAATTTTACATTTGACCGTCCTTAATTACACGAAGCTGGGCAAATAAAAGCCGGAAAAGTCGACAAAATTAAAAAAAAGCATTCATCATGTAACGTGACAACTGCTTCGTGGAGTATTTTTGAAAAATGTCATGATCCTATTTTTTCCTTTCTCGTGTCTTTTAAGACAAACCTTTACATGACTCTATATAGTAAGGCTATTTGAAAACGTTTTCTTTTCTGATGTTATCTTGCAGCGAAGTAAAGACGCTGAAATATTAATGAATAGCAAATACAACTTATTCGATGGTTTTACGCGGAGGGGTTTTGGCGCGTTCCGATGCCCTAATTTGGTAAAACGACACAATGGCGGAATAGTAAAGTGAATTATTGGTTGACACTGCAAACTCGAGGCGAGATCTGCCATTATATTGAATATTTTATCGTCATTATTCAAAATAATTAATGTCCGAAGGCAGTAAGACAAACTGAAGGCTTTCTGTTATTGAAAAGTGGTTTCTTTGAGTCGAGGTGTGTTTTTATAACGTGTTAGAGCAAGTTTTTACTGATAAGTAAGTTGAATTATTAAGACTAACCACGAAAGGCTTTCTATGTAAACTTGTTGGAGTTTTTGGAAAAAGGTGAGAGCAATGTTACTTGTGGCTCGCGATTCTTCATTGAATTAGCCAGCTTCTGGATTGGACTCAGAACTTTAAAGGACTAATGTAAGTTTTGCTCTCTGAAATTTCATGGAGAGTGAATTAACGTTACCCGAAATTATTACAAAAACCTTTAATTAGTCCTTAAAACGAGAGCAGAAATAAATTCATTTGATGAAACTAGTTACAAAGTACAATCATGCCGTGTATTATGCCAAAACTGATCTATCCATGTGTTCCGAAGCCATACGAGACACAGGTAATGACAATTAATTGATGATGCTGACAACACTAGCACATTTTAAATGTTATTTTGAACTTGGCATTCAATCTAAATGATTCAGCTGACATTTAAGTTGAATAATACTCTGTTGTATTTTTTTACATCTTGGAAAAAACTGGAAAAGTTGGATATTATCACTGCAACTGATTGATTAAGAAAGGGTACTCTTAGAATTTATTCCTGCCTTTCTGGATAAAAATTACCATAACTTAGAATTCACCATATTTAAATCCTTCTTTCATTTTAAATCATCCAGGTATTTCATCATGCATACCTTTCTTGCTAATTACTCTTTGGACTTTTTGTTTAATTTCGCGTCGCTGTGTTTACCAATAATTCTGTCATTCACTAGCAGGGTAAATAATACAAAAATTTGCAAGTTCCCTTTTGTCCGTTAATTTGCTACTAACGATGAAAATTTTGGCCGTTTTACGGCTAACGATTAACTCATTAAAATCCTCTAGATAGGGGAGCATCTTCGGGTTTTTTACGCAGTTTGCAGATTTCTTTTTTTCACTAGCACGAATTTTTAAGGTAGAAAAGATGGACTGCATGTGGTGTCGCTGTGTTTACCAATAATTCTGTCATTCACTAGCAGGGTAAATAATACAAAAATTTGCAAGTTCCCTTTTGTCCGTTAATTTGCTACTAACGATGAAAATTTTGGCCGTTTTACGGCTAACGATTAACTCATTAAAATCCTCTAGATAGGGGAGCATCTTCGGGTTTTTTACGCAGTTTGCAGATTTCTTTTTTTCACTAGCACGAATTTTTAAGGTAGAAAAGATGGACTGCATGTGGTGTTTTGAAAAAGGTGAATTAATGCACATTAATTAAATATGTATGATGGGCTCATAATGGTTTCTATCTTATTTTCATGGGTATCTTAGTCAGAGTAGCTTTCTTAAAAAATCAGCTCAGAGGAAAGAGCTCTAGGACAGAAAAAAACTTGAGGATGTGCCATCAACTGGTGACTGGCACTCTGACTTTGATTTGTCTTGTGTGCAAATACGATGTCAGGTAATTTAATTTGTCAAACATCCTCATTTTGTGTATAAGGGCTTATTCACTCTTGCCATAAGACCACATCTTTGAAATAGTCGGGTCATTTTATCAGCTTTACGTTGATATATGCTTTTCAGGGTTATTGAAATACGGAGTGCGTATTATCCATTCTCCGTAACACACCTCTGAAGGTCTACATTAACCTTTACGGCGAATAATTTCAATTCTCATCATTAATTTATAATGTCATTGCGTGGGTATAAAATACGTACTTTTTTAACCCTAATTCATGTGACTAATTTTACGTTTCAGAGAGTTCAAGCTCAGTGTAGTGGTTACATTCCACATAAAGAAAAGATGGTTCTTAAGTTCAAATCAGTGCAATATGTTATCATCTTTACAATTTACTTATTGGACGAATTTCATCAGACTTCCCCTCAGAATGAGACTGAATATAAAACAATCTCGTCGTCTAAATCCATCGAGGAACCAGGAAAATCAACAGCTGTATCAGCAAAGCAGAACAGTTCCGGCAACAACAATGAATCAATATTTTTAACTTTGCTGCCTCAAAACAACTTAAGTGTGCAATCAACACATACAGTGCTTCAAGTGAATTCAACGCCGATACCAACTTTGGATCCACAGACAAATTCAATTGTACAATCGACAACATTACCTCTTCAACACAATTTAACCGTTCAACCCACAGCCACGACTAAAGCGGTACAAAATCCCTCTGAAGAACAAACAAAATCAACCGCAAATGCCACAACTCAAGTGACTTCAACGCCGATACCAACTTCGGATCCGCAGACAAATTCAATTGAACAATCGACAACATTACCTCTTCAACACAATTTAACCGTTCAACCCACAGCCACGACTAAAGCGGTGCAAAATCCCTCAGAAGAACAAACAAAATCAACCGCAAACGCAACAACTCAAGTGACTTCAATGCCGATACCACCATGGGTACCACAACCGATAACTTACTCACCATCAAACACAGGTATCGACCTATGATTTATTTCATTTAACATTTGCTATTCAGTTAGGTATTCGAGTGACTTAAAACTCAATTCATGCTCACAGCTAATAATACTCTCATAATTAAACTGGTTCAAGGTCTAACTACACTGCGGATGATGAAGTCATGATTTAACTTGCAGATTCTATCGTACTAAGAAAGTGGTCATGAAGCTTCTACGAGCATCTTTTAATGGCTTTTTAAAACGTCTTAAGACATTTTTTGCGAAGTTGGCACTGGGGCCGTATTGAGAGAGTTATCTCCTACTGACAGTTATCAGTACTCACGTTACTGTCCAGTTTTACCTAAAAAAAAAAAAGATCCAAGGCAATGGAAACACTTTTCCTAGCAAGATATCGCGCAGAAGTCCCCCCTCTAATAACGTTTCTATTTATAAAAGTAGACTGGCGAAGGCTTCCAAAAGGGATAAATGATAACGTTTTAGCGTTTAAAAATTATGAAAAATTACGTGGGGAGAAAGTTTCACGGGTGTGATAAACTGATATCATTATAAGAAGCGGGCACGTTCGCGATTCGAATTTCAATGCGCTGACTTCAACCATATGTCTTGAGCCATTATCGGTGAAACACGTGTATATGAAAATTGCTGATTTATCTCTGCTCCATAGCGGGTGTGCGATTTGCCTTTCGGAGGAAACAGTACAATTTTGACCTCAATCTCCTGAACAAAGACTCGGAAGTTTATATAAACTTCGAGACGGAGCTCTTTTACGAGGTAAGGCAATCCCTTAACAGTTCATCATGTAACGTGATGTAAAGTAAAAATGTATCAATAGAGTTTCACGCTGGGATTCCTCGCTTCACTTTTGTTTTACTATTCCCTCACATATGTCGACCAGCAGTAAACGTAGTCGACAAATCCCAATCAACACTACAACTTATCGTTGTACTTCACCTCTATGAACAACCAAAACCGTAGTATCGATGTAAAGAAAGAGTGGTTGAAGAGTCTGTTTAAGAGAGGACCGGGCAGGCGTGACACATGCCATCTTACCGATTTCTTTCAAACTTTCACAGTTTATGAGGGTCACTAAGTTATTCAAGAATCCAAAGTGGTTCGGACTCCCGGCTCATCCCTGGGGTATAAGAGCCCCCCATTAAATCCCTGGAGTAAAAGGCTAAAATAAGCTCGAAAAAATGCACTTCCAACGAATCTCTCTCACGCTAACAGAATGCGATGGATTTTAATCTCATTATGTCCAATGGTTGCTTGAACCTTGGGGAAACAATTCCTTAAAGTTGAGGTAATTTGATATAACTTCTACCAATTTAGAGCAGTTGATCATTAACTGTGTCACGCAATGGGCAATATTGTATGTTGACAAATATACCATCACAGGAAAGACCTATCTTAACACGACGTTTGTGGGCAAAACAATTTTTGGCCTCTGTAAAAGATTAGTGATCACTTCCCTCTGAAATACGTGACCTCTGACGTTAATTTATGCAATTTTTGGTCATAAACTGATGTTTATTCATTCAATTTCAATTTGAGAATGGGACCGCCGACGCTAGTTTTCGTGGTACTTATATCTGAAAACGACAGATGTATAGCTGCCGAGCTAAAGAGTCACTTATCATAGAAATTCTGTAACGCTGAAACAATCTATTGGAAAAAATGATCTATAAATGTATGTATATATCATACATTGAACATTACAGGATTGAGTAATGGACGTCGTCAGTTCATAGCGACGTTTGACGATGTTTGGTGATAAACATTAGTTTGTTAGTCAATTAGTGGTGAAAGTCCTTCGGTATGAAAAAAGTCTGTAGCTAAAACTTTACTCAGGAGGGCTGACTGTCTATCATCTTCACTTGATTCGAAGGCTGAGGAGAGAAATATGCTTCGGAGGTCTTAAAGCTAAATGGCTCTACCATAACATTTCTCCGTAACTGCCACAAACCACTTACAACTAGTAACACTCCGGATGAGAAGGAGCCAGCGACTGGTTTTGCCGTTATTCCATTCAGGGTGTAAATGTTACAGAACCCGTTAAGAGAATTTTGAATAGCCACAACATTAAAATCGCTCAAAAACCTTTTTAGATATTAAGGCATATTTTCGCCAAACCTAATCCTGTCACGAAAGAACAGCGAACCGACGCTATTTATTCTATTTCATGCAATGACTGTGATCACGAGTATATCGGACAGACCAAACGTCAGTTTGGTACACGTTTGAAAGAGCATCAAAAAGCGGTCTTCTTTTGCAAAAAAGAAAATTTAGCTTTGTCGGAGCACACATGCCTAACTAAACATACGATTGGGTGGGATAATCATCACCACTATTCGACGTTACCACCAGCGCCTGACATATCAACTCCGCCCACACACCTTTAAATCGTGATGATGGCGGCTTACCACCTGACGCCTATTTACACCTCGTAAGAGAAAATGGCAGCTAATTAGTGAGCATCTAAAAGGACCTCTTGTTGCAGCGATTAGATCACCCCTGACGAAGGCACTAGACAGGAGTGTCTAAAAGTTGGGTCTATGAATTGTAACTTCTCGGTTACATTTATTAAATCTTTAAACCAGAGTAGCATCAAACCATGTCAGAAATCAGTGAGATGGCATATGTCACGCCTGCCCGGTCCTCTCGTGGACAGACTCGAATTCATTTGTTGTACTATAGTTTTGGTATGATTGACAGCAGGATAACAACTTTTCGTTCTGCGTTGCAGTTCATTGGGAAACTCGGACAATATGATGTCACAGATGTAACTCTATTATTTGTAAGGTAGGCATCTGCCGTTCCCTTTAACATGGCCAATCTTTTACAGATTATGTGCTAAATTGAATATAACAACATCTTCGCAATATTTTCCCTAAAAATGTTACCAAGAACGGATCTATGGATGACTTAAAGATACTTTATGATTATCATGGCGTTACTGTTGACGAGCACCGCACTTATGGAGACACGTATTTTTAACGTGACGATAAAAATGTCCTTTTTAGGGTTTCTTATAGTTTGTTGTGGATATTGTCATTACCTACTTGAGTCTTACCGTAAACAACTTACTTACCATAGAACTCGGTTTATTTCATTAATTCGTTGTTTTTGTCCATTTCCCAGAGTTACTAGTGTCCTTAATAAATAAAAACACTTCAGTTTTAAAAAACCTTCCAGTGATAAAAATATTTCAAACCATTCCCTGAAAATTTGTATCTTTCAAAATGAAAAGAGTTTTTGAAAGACATCAACCGACACGTTGACAAAACGAGAATTTTTTCTTCTGATCAGTAAAAGTTTTACCGCTTTCTTTGACAGACCGGGAAGTGTGGAAGTTACCACTGTTTTGACTGTAAACGACAGAAATAACATCACAAATGTCGAAAGAGCATTGCACAACTTTAACCAAACTGGCAGACTCGGAAGCATAAACTTGATTGGAATTTTCTGGAAGGCTGAAGGTGAGAAAAAGGAGCTTTGTTTAATTGTAGGAAAAATAAATACGAGGGTTCAAATTTATAACATCACAAATTGGAATAGAACTCAAAAACCCGGCTTTTCCTCGAAAAAGGAGGCCGGTTGAGGCCTTCGTAACAACTCGCTCACCATTCTCAACTACCCTTTTGCACCGACTAATATATAATTTAATCCTTCAGTTATCACTTCCGATGTCAAAGTAGTTTCAGGCTTGTTCTTGTTTTGGACTTGATGATTGAATCATTGAAAATTTGTTAATACCGAATATTAAGGTATTACCGATTGGATATCATTATTGCCGCTGTTGTTGTTTTATCATTGATACTGTAATGAGTTTTGTTGTCGATGCCATTACTTTGTTGTCAATGCCTCTTATGCTAAGATGAAACCTGTCAGCCTCCTGATGTTAGTATACTGAATCTGCCAAGATGGAAAGAAAACGAGATGGTTCACATTCTTCGCTCCAAAGATTTCATCGTACAAACATTGGTGAATAAAACAAACTGTAATCGACCACAAAAGCTGTTGTTTGAGTGGCGTTTATCCAAGTATAGTGTGGACCAATCAAATGACACTATCATCGAAACGACAACCACGTTGAACTCAAAAACTACAGAATGGAACTTGCAAAAGCGACAGCTTGGTTATGGCCTTTATTTTGTGGATTTTAAAGCAGCCCTTGAAAGTAACCCACCGGTTGTAAACAGTACTTTGGGATTTTTTAACATCACGAAATCTCCAATAATAGCCGATATATTAGGAGGAAACAAAGTCACTCGGGGAAAGGGAAGTGTCATCACTTTGGATGCTTCAGCATCTAGGGACCCAGACGTGGAGCCTGGTAACTACACCTCCATGCAGTTCACGTGGCTATGTAAAAGACGAGAAGAAACTTTTCCCACCGGCCCTCTGGCTTCGGTTCCAGTAATTACAGCGTCCTCGGGCCCCGGAGGAGGCGGTTGTTTTGGGACGGGTGTTGGAAAACTAGCTTCTAATTTAACGGTGGTGACGTTAGAAACATCTCTAATGACTGTAGATAGGTCTTATGACGTCAAACTTGTAGTAACCAAGGATGACCGAAAGGACGAATTCGTACAAGAAATCAAGATTGTCAGCGGTAACCCGCCGAACGTAATAATCAGGTAACTAATGGTGATTAAAAGTAATCAGCCTAAAGGAAATTTAAAGCACTGAACCATTGGTCTATAGATAACTTGGCTTGATCAGGCAATCCGCTGTTAGGGAAATGTGTCTACGCTCTCTTCCCAAACTCGAGAGAGACATGTGACTGAATTACAGGTCGGCAGGATGATCATGGCGACAGCAGCCACTTAAAGGGATTAGCGCACGATTGTATCTGAGCATCTCTCTCTCCCTCTGTATAGAGTAGATATTATCAGGTTAGCTGTGCCATGCTGATTAGAAGAGACCTTAACAAGACGAAACCGATATACACGGCTGCTAACTTAATGACTTATTTGACGTATTTTTTTGACCAAATGTTAGTGCTCTTGTCGCCTGAGCTTTAACATATCGTTCACCTTGTCATCTGTCAGTGACCTTACTATATTATAGATCCATTCACCTCATCACGCACAGGGTGCTTAATTGAACTCCTCGTCTTGTTTCAAGGTAAGGAATTTCAAACTAAGCTTCCGTATCTTTTCTTTCACTGCAGGTGCCTCATCAACTGTGATAAGATTGCAAGTGAGTCGACGCGAATCAGTTTGACCACCGAGTGCACTGGGGATCCTTGTGAAAGAGCAAAATACCACTGGCAGTTAAACGTTGTTCACTTTAGTGGCGTTGAGGACAATGACAAGGAACTGAAAGACAAAGCAGAAACTAATCTAAATTCCACTGGCATCATCATAAAGAAGAACCAACTAGGAGAGCTACCGCCAGGTCACTTTTATCGATTGAAAGTCGAAGTTTCACAACAGGGTGAACCCCCAGGATATGCCACTTACCAGTTCAGAATTAACGCCCCACCTCAACATGGATCTTGCAGCGTGACACCAACAAAAGGAGAGGCTTTGAAAACGCAGTTTAAATTTGAATGCAGAAATTGGCAGGTGAGAATATTGGAAATAAAGCGAAATGATCAGAACGTCCGAGGAAAAGGAGTCACCTTCCAACAGAAGTAGATGACATTTGCCATCGAGGGCGCAGTTTACGTCTAATTAATTATGTATGCAAGAATTTTACCAATCCAAGTCAAGCTTTGTTTTGCCTAAATCTTAAATCTGTTCCATTTTCAAGGCGAGGAAAGTGAACTTATTATTCTTCTTTCTCCATATCTTTTTCTGTGTAGGACCGAGATGAACCAATTACTTACCAATTCTATTACAAAACCGAGAATGGTGTGTACACAGTAATTTCATATGGCTCAGAAAGTCTTGTCAAGACAGTGCTACCTCCGGGGAAGATACATATTAAAGTAATGGTGTCTGACCGTTTGTCTGCTACAAATACTGCTTCTCTTGAAATAGAGGTAAATGCTCTAATATTTTGGAGAATTTGTTTTTTGGTACGCCACAGACAACGGAGGACAGTCTAAAACAAAGTCAAGAATTGCGTAAATATATCTTAAGCTGTACCATTTTTCACCCATTGTAGAAAATGAGAAATTAGCCTCTGATTGATGTTATCTTTTAACTTTTATAGTATCCTGCAAGTGTCTTGAAATTTTAATGCGTCAATGGAATTAGCGCTTAAAGTTACTATTACTATGCGTCATAAATTCCTACAATTTGACCTTCAAAAAAATTCGAGAAGTATCCAGCGATAGTACTATAAATTTTCATTCTTAATCGTCTTTAACGTCACCCAGGTTAAACCTGCACCCGCTAGTGAGAATCTCAGCGAACTAACCGTCGGCAATAGCAGTCTCTTCAACCAACTAGTCCAAGTAGGAGATGTCCGTGGCGCCACACAACTGGCAAATGCCGTGCTAGAGAGCGCTGAACAGAGAAAGTCAACTACCATCCAGGAAAAGATTGCTGTAGGTGATAAATTAACACCCACACATTTGTTCACCGACAATTCATAAATTGAGAGGAGAAAGGGATCACCTCCCTTACGGTGTAATTTAGTATTATCAACTGAGTTGATAACGTAAATCGGCCACCGTAAAGAGTTCAAAAGCTGAAGTTTTTGCCGTTAGCCTTTCGTCAGAGCGAAGGGCTAACGCTCGAAACGTCAACTTTTAAACCCTTTACGGTGGCCAATTTACGTTTTCAACTCAGTTGATAGTACTAAGTTACCCTGTTATACTCTCCCACCGACGCACCACCGCAGTTTCTTTAGAAACTTACCCTTTTTATTCATTTACCTTCCTTACGAACTAGCCTCATGAGTAATCAATCGCATGGCGACTGTGAAATACTGAAGGATAAAAATATCTTATTTAGAGTTCTAAGTTCTTCTTTGCCCCAAAGATTTGGCTTTCTATGGTTTATCGAAGATTTTCAGAGATTTTCATTCTCTCCGATACGTGTGATCAAGCAAACAAAAAGAGCCATCTGACTTATTCCTACAGATTAAAGATTCTGTTGTGAAGACTGTGTCAGAGATACAAGTTGGCAATTTACCATCTTTGATTCAAGTGACGTCAATTATTGCACGAGCAACACTGGAACCCAGCGAGGTGACATTCGACACTCAGGTATGAATCGTTTGCATGCAGATGACCACGTGTTCAACACGCGATATATTCTCTGGTACATGGATGGAATAACATTTTAATTTATAATTCTAAACACGCGATCCCCTCTAAATGCTATTCGTCTACTAACGATAAAACTTTCAAGGGCATAATTCGAAACTTTTGACAAAAAAATGCATTTTGTTTTCACCAGAAACTTGCACTGAAAACACTCACCTCTATGACGTCACTACTTTCAAGTAAGACGACAGAAGATTATGCTTCAGAATATGTCTTAGTTGACGAAGGAGGAGAGAACCTGGTACTGGGCCTCGGCAATCTTCTCCATTCCACTGCCCAGAAGGCTGATGTTGTCGGTCAAACAAAAGAGCCAACGGACGTACGATCTAAGGTTAGTTTCGAACTTACCGAATCTGTATGCGTTCTATCCCAGAAAAATGTGACTGACGACATGATAACAATAACGTTTTCTTGAGAACCTGATCAGAAGGTCAAATATATCTTTTTGGAACAAGTTAAACCATGGCACCTGCAAGCATTTTTTAAATCTAATACTGCAGAGTGAAAACATCTCCAGAGACACGGAGAAACTCATTGATGACGTTGCAACAGCTCTGTTGTCAAAGATGATAGTGGATCAAGAACCTCGCCGTATTAATACTAAGTCCATCAACATGGAACTAAGCCGAATGAGCTCCAGATCAAGGGGAACCAGTGCAGACTTCACAGACGATGATAGGGCAGGATTTAAATTTTCTCTTGCTGCCATAACTGATGACAAAGTGACAACTCCTGAATATATAGATAGCGTGGTAAGCCTGCATTGGTTTCCTTGAATGTAGTTAGTCCTGTATAAGACAAAAAGCGCGGCGTCTCTAGAACTTTAAACTTTACTTTAATATTTTCTCTGGGTTTACACATACTCAGAATGCTTTCGTAAACGCCATCTCGCACCAGAACTGCATAGTGTAAATGCTGAATAATATGTATTCACAATAGTCGTGTCTTTTTACAGTTGACGATGAGTGCTTTTAATCCTTTCACTTGGGATAACAGTTCAGCTGTTGTCAGGGATTCTCATGTCCTTAGTTTGAACCTTAAAGATGACGAAGGAGAACCTTTAATAGTCAAAGACAGCAGAGAGGATATAGAGATCAAGATTCCACGGAAAGTGAGATTTACTCCAGAGGAAAGAGTTTCGTTCTTTGTGAAGCCCAGCAGTGAGGGGAAAATGCAATACCATGAAATAAACTCACCAGGTGTAAGAGGGAACGCTCTACGGCTGCGAGTAAGTATTGTTGTCTAACCCGTTTATTCAGAATCTTTCAGACACAGGCTCCTTTGTATCCGTCAATGAGTGGAACATGGGCCGGTTGAATGGTCGGTTACATGGTTGATTGGCTGGCTACAGTCCTGGTCTTGCGTGAGCTTTGAACAAATTGATGCACATGACAACTGAACACGCGAATTAGAAATTAATTAAGTGTTAAAAGATTAAAAAAAACAGCAGGCTCTGAAATGGGAGATGAGCCACGGTGGAAAAGTCTGATAGAACTTTGGAAAAATTTATGAAAGAAGAAATAACACTTAAAACGCAGCAGAGTCTTCTATCCACAAAAAGCACAAAACTGTTCACAAATTTTGACTGATAATGCAACACCCTAACCAGTGAGTTACGTGTAAGTGATGACTGGCATTAAGCTGATCCATCGCTTTGAAATTTCGGTAAGAATAACACATAGCAAAATCATACTGCCAGGGTAATCAGTAATAAATCCGTTTTCAGATCACACCAGAAAGACCCACCATCTTTAAGGTGTTTGTGCGACAAGGTCAGCGGCCAACTGTCACAGAATACGACCTAACCAAGAGAATCCCCGATGAGTCGTGTTCCATATCTCCTCAGGCTTCTCAGCGTGGTTGCAGCGAAGAAGCCTACGATGTTGTCTTGTACCATGAACTAATCAGTGAGGCGGGTAAATACTACATCGGTATATTATACGAAGGAGGCAGCGTTAGACCTCAGGGACGAAAGAAACGATCATGCTTCGGAAGTGGTCGGCAGAAGAGGTCGTGTGTGGAAATCAAGGATCCTCCAAGGCCCGAGAACAAGACAATAAAGCCTGTTTACAACTCAAGAACAGACATGAATTACTCGATGAACATTTTGGAGGAGAGTTGCGTCTTTTGGGACAGCAGAGAAGAACACTGGTTGTCGACAGGATGTAGAGTAAGAGTTTTTGAAAAAAATTCATCTGCAGACATTTTTTTTTCCTCTCATACGACAATCTTTTTTCCATTTGGTTGACGTTTGGTAATCTCTTAGGAAATTTACGTACCTAATAACATTCCGTCGAAGGAGCTAAATGAACGTCGAGAAGTTTATTGATTCGTGTTCTTAACTGATCAAATGTCTTTAAAAATACGTTACCACTTTCGTAGATTTGATGAAGTTATCGTCCTAGCTGTGAATAGTAATCTTCTCTACTTGAATAACGGACAAGAGCAGTTGACTTAAATCTTTACAGTTTATTTGTCTTTTATTGAAGGTAGGACCAAAATCTGATTTAGGATCCTTACACTGCCTGTGTAACCACTTAACGTCATTTGGAGGAGGTGTCCTGGTGATGCCTAACACGTTGGATTTTGATGTCGTGTTTACAGAACTCGGACGACTCGACCAGACTGGAAACGTTGCTGTCCTTTGTACGATAATCATTGTGCTGCTGTTGTATTTGCTTGTGGTGATATTCGCAAGGAAAGCCGATAAACGAGATCAAGCTAAGGTAGCTCCGTGTTCTCCTTGTTTTTGTAAACTGAATTCAAAGTCTCAAATATTAATTCTCACGAAACATTTTCTGTGCTAAATTACGTTTTAAATATTTACTCGATATGCAAGGGTCATTTGATCTATGGAGTAACACCTAGCAATATTATGACGATACGCCTCCTCACCTGTATGAAATCATCTTTTCATACTTCCAACTTACATTTTGTGCTTTCATACCGAAAGGCGAATTTCTCTTTGACTCCCTAAAGTCATCTTTTTTTTTTATTATCATTATTTTATGTTTTTCCACAGAGAGGCCCGGCGCTCCATTTAACTTTGACCCAGGAGGCTTCCTATGAGTACGATTTGACCGTGGTAACGGGAGTCTGGAGAGAGTCTGGGACGGATGCCAATGTCGCCATCGTCATTCATGGAAGCGAGGCGGAGAGTCAACCCATAGTATTACAAAAGGACATGATCAACTCCAGGAAAATTTTGGCTCGCGGAAACGAAGATAGATTTGTTATTCATTTACCAATGTCACTAGGGATTATGCAATACATCCGCGTTTGGCATGACAACTCAGGAAAGAGTCCTTCTTGGTATTTCAGCCATGCTGTTGTGAAGGACCGCCAAACAGGGAAAAAATGGACATTTATAAGCAACAGTTGGCTGGCTTTGGAAAAAGGAGACGGTAAAATTGACAGGATTTTAACACCTCTCTCTAGTCGAGAGATGAAGACTTTTAAACGCTCTCTCAACTCACGAGGCTCAAAGAGTTTTTCTGAGGGACATTTGTGGCTCTCTGTTATAACTAAGCCACCGGGGAACAAATTCACACGCGTCCAACGAGCTACATGTTGCTTGTGTCTTCTTCTGTCTGCGATGCTTGCGAATGCTCTTTTCTACAGGACTGAAAAGACAGGAGATCCTACCATACAGATTGGTCCATTGAAGTTCAGCTGGAGGCAGATTGTGGTGGGCATTGAGAGTGCTCTGATAGTTACTCCTGTGAACTTGCTCATCGCGTCATTGTTCAAAAATAGTGCGAAAAAACCTTTAAATAAAGTTGATGTGACCAAGCTGGAAGATGCGCCTGAGCCTGTGCGACGCAACAGTTATTCTTCCTTAGGCTGCGAAGAGGACACAAGCGGCGTAAAAGCTGCATCGAAAAGTAATACTTCCTTCTGGACAAGAACACGAGAACGAATGTGTGGCAAAACCAAAAAGGACTTCATTTGTCCTCATTTCTGTATCTACATTGCTTGGTTTCTAAGTCTTGCTACTGTGTCTGTATCTGCGTGCTTTACTTTTTTCTTCAGCTTAATGTGGGGAAAAGACATTGCAAACCAGTGGTTGTCCTCTATGTTAGTTTCTTTCACTGAGGATCTGTTCGTTCTTCAACCAACCAAAATAGTTCTTCTCATGGTTCTAGCTGCATGTTTCCTTAGCAACCGTAATGACGCTGACTTTCGTCATGTTAAAAACCACGAGACAACTGCACAATTATCTTCTTTGGGAACAGAAGTTGCATGTGACAACCAAGGTAGAACAGTTGAAATCCCGAAGGAAGCTGCGCTTGAACAAGCCAGAGAATACAGAGTAAAGGAGGCAAAGATGTATTCCTTTGGTAGAGAACTTGTGGTGTATCTACTGTTCTTACTGCTACTAACAATCCTTTGTTACGGTAACAGAAGTTACCATGGATATCTCATGACTAAGAATCTAAAAGACACCTTCAGCAATTATTCATTGGTAAGTATTCAACAAAGCTAAAACAAAGAGGAATTTAACGAACTTTGCTTAGTCCCGAGTCTCTGTGCGGATTTCTCCTCAGTCCTATAAAAAAATTACCTAAATTAAGCAAAATTATGCTAGGACATCAACATTTCGATACGAAGATCACCGGAGTAATTCCGGTGCTCCTTTGCATGAAGTGCTTAAGCAGAGTTTCAAAATTAATGAAGTATAGTAGCCTTTTATGCCTCGGTTGATTGCCACGTGTCAGCAATTGGACACTCGGTTCCCAACATACTGGATCTCACAAATGCAACAAACTGCACCGACGGTCATTCGAATAAAGTGAAGAGAAGTAAATCATTATGTGAGCTCTTTTGGTTCTTCTTCAGGCCAAAGATCCCAGGATCTTTTGGACTTGGCTGAGTGGTCAGTTTGTGAATGGCATTTATGCTGGTAAGTGGTACAATGATGAGAGAGTCAAAGAGCAAGAGTACATTGGTGACAAGATGTCCATTCTCCTGGGATTGCCTCGTTTAAGGCAGCTGAGAGTACAGAAAGGCAAGTCAGATAGTCTAATCATCTCCAAAACAGCTCTTGTAAGGATGTATATCACAAATCGCTCTCTCAGTGAAAACAAATAGAAATTTGCATTTGCTGGTTTTTATTTCGGTTGTATATTTTAAATTAACTAGTACTGTCCAATAAAGACAATTTTCTCGAAGAAAACGTTTTAGGAGCCATCGTTGAACCACAATCAACGTTGCTAATTTTTCCTGGTGTTGCTGTTTTAGATTCTTGCTTGATCCCGGAGCAGTTACAAGAGGTAGTAAAGCACTGCAATGGCTTCTACAGCGTCAACGAAGAGGACAGAACTCATTTTCATCTACCTGGATGGATGCCATTTACAGGCTCGGTTTCGTGGGCTAACTTTTCAGATCTTTGCCCGGCCCCATGGCGTTACGTAAAAAAGGAAAAGATCCAGAACTCGCCAAGCTGGGGTTTCTTTCACGTTTATGACGGGGGTGGATACATAGCAGATTTAGGTTATAGTAAACTCACTGCTGACAGAATTATTACTAACTTGAGACAATACGATTGGGTCGACCGCCAGACCCGCGCAGTGTTACTTGAATTCTCCATTTATAATCCAAACACAGGATACATCAGCATATCGACATATCATTACGAAGTACTCCCCACTGGGTACGGTAATCCTTTCGCAAAGATCGACACGCTTCTATTGACGAGCACGGAAACTGGTTTCCACCGGTTCTACCTGATTTGTCAGTTACTGTTCATCCTCATGGTAATCTTCTTTGTGCTAAAAGAGGTTTATAATATCTTTAAGCAGAAATGTTCTTATTTCCGAAATGCATGGAATTGGGTGCAGATTTTGCAAATCATTTTTTCTTTTCTGGTGGTAGTTTTCTATGTTTTAAAATCACAAATGGTTCTGAAAAGTGTCGTAAAAGTAAAGAAAAACCCTTTTGCTTCTGTAAGTTTCGGGGAGGCCGTTGACTGGAACCACGCAGAGAATTCCGTTTTAGCTCTGACGGTTTTCACAACAACTGTGAAACTTCTGCGCATGATCCGTTTTAATCCACACGTCAGCATAATGATGTCATCACTTCGTTTATCAAGAGGATTACTCATGTCATACTCTGTGATATTTGCCATTATTATCTTCTCATATGCTCAGTTTGGTAGACTAGCTTTTGGTGAGTACATGCTGCGTTATTCATCGTTTCAAAGAACGGTGTTTTCCGAATTTGTCATGTGCCTCGGCGGAAAAATGGACTTGGAAGAACTGCGACGAGCGAATCGAGTTCTAGGTCCCCTGTTTGGATTTTCTTTCCTTACTCTTATGTCGTTCATTTTCGTCAACTTTTTTGTTGCCATTCTAAATGATTCTTATGAGGACATCAGAGAAAATACGGACAAACAGTCGAAAGACTTTGAAATGCACGACTTTATATTGGAAAGACTACGTGAACTTTTAGGGTTTAATAAAGAAACTGAACGAGAAAATGACAATGATAATAACACTGACCTGCTTGAACATCCAGTACCTCAGGAAAATGTCCCACATGGAAAACTAACATTAACATCTGTAGTCGTCTACTCTCAGAGACTTCGTCATATGGCAAGACGCAAACAACTGCGAATTTCCAAATTAAAAGAAGAGAACCATACTAAAAGAAGAGCGAACGTGGTTAGATTTGAGTGCGAGAGACCGACAACAATGGCTGATGCAGAGACACGAAAAAGAACAATTCAGAAACTGAAATGTGTCACATCAAGCTTGTTTATCATGAAGTCCTTAGCGCAAGAGAGGATGTTGGGGAGAATGTCTGATTTAATCGAGAAACTTGCAATGGACGAAGTGCAACGAGATGAAGAGCTTCTTTTTATAATCCGGTTTTTACTTCTAATGAATATGAACTACGACGACTGTTCTAGTATACGTGGCCCAGAGGAGACTTCTTCAATCGATGACATTGCCATTTCTTCATTGACAACACCGTTATCTTCGCCAATATCCGGGATCGACAAGACAAGAGGTGAACCGGTAGATACCTCTGACGATGAAACGTTAGGCCTTCTTCGAAGAAGAGAATTTTCGCGTCCGTTGCCGTATCACTTGAGGGGTATGGAGCTTCGTGAACAACTCCGATCAACTTTGGCAACTAAAAGAAGTAAAAGGGTCAGGCCGAGGCCGTCGAACTCTTTGATCTATAAATACTACTCGTTCCTTTGAATGCGGGTTTTCAGAAGACAACGACACTTTCCGAAAATCCGAATTTATCTCTGTTAAGGGCCGGTATCAAACAGAATAAGATCATGTTCCTTAAAGGTTCACTTTCCAATTATCACAATTATCCACAAGATCCTGATGATAATCTACAATTTAGTTATCTCTTTAATAAAATAGTATCGTGATAATAGTATCGCGTAATTTAATTATTAAATCTGCCGCACAAAAATAAAATACTAATAAAATTTTAGCTGGTGCAGAATGCGAAGGGAGGGAGTGACACGATAGGAACACACCCCCTCTCCCCCTTTTCCCTCTTTCCCCCTCCTCTGTTTGTCTCTCTCATAAACGTTTTTTGGTGACGTGGTCACGCACGTAAAGAAATAAGAAAACTATGTTGCAAGACAAGACTTAACATTAGCTGCGAAAGAGACTACCTTCTTACGTTAACCATGCAGGCTGAATTTATACACTTAGTCCAACTTTACAAGTGAAGCGGGGTGCGGTCAATTATAGGGTTAAATTCGCAACGACGTGGCTAACCAGTTTCTGGCTAATCAACAAAAGGCAAGATTCGCAGTTAAGCCACCGGCGTACCTTCCTTTGGATGTACTTCACACTTAGCACAGATATCCCACGTTCGTTCTGTTGACAAATGGTACATCAGTTAAGAATTCCAGCAAAAAAAAAAATACATTTAAGATAGAGACTGCATCAAGACCAGTTGAAGAATAAAGTAAGGTGTTACACTAAAAAAGATATAAAAAAAAAATAAAGCAAAGTCAAATTATATTACCTTTTCGCGCTTTAACTTTCTGTTTCTTCAGGATGATGCTTTTTTCATCTCTCGCAGCTTTGCCATCTCTTTGCTTCTTTCCTCCTCTTCTCTCACTTGGTGGAGTGTTCGTTTGACTGAGGTATTTTATCTGAAGTAATGGTACAATTGTGAGATAAATGTGTGCGCTCAGTGAGTAATTTTTTGGCTCCACGAAACTGCATGTGAAATACAATGACCGGATTTTACATTTTTTTTTGAGACTGAAGCACCTTCGACTTCAAGCCTAAGATCGTTCCTATGGAAAACGTCCGCTTGAACTAGGTTCCCACCTGATATATGGTTCAGTGACACCGCCAATAGGGAATCACTGAGTAATCTGGTTCGCCAATGTCTTAATGTCTTCTGAATGTAGTGTTAACAAGCATCACTATAACTTTTGTCAATACCAAGCCCATCTAGTCGATGGAGTGTGACTTTTAATAAACTAAAGAAGTTTTATTCGAGATGGATCAAAACAACGGGATAAACGTTTCTTTACAGCAAGCGGAAGATGCTTGTAATGTTAGCTTCTTGAAAAACCAACACAGTGGCGACATTCAATCGATCAGCCATCAATTCATAATATAAAATTTCGCCAAAGGGTATTGGGTTTCTTCAACCTGCATTTCGTCTTTCTTTCCAACTGATTTCAAAACTGCTCGATTAACTAAAAATAGAGTCAAATTTCTGCAGTAACATTGTGAGGTTCGAAAATTGTTGGCAAAACAAAGTACATATAAAAACCTGTACCCTCTCTTTTAACGTCTGACAAACTTCCTTCATGACCTCAATTGACTTGGCTGTTCCCAGAATGTCGCGCATGTCATGATTTCTATCCAGGCCATTAAAAAAACAACATTTTCACAACCGTAATGCAAAACACTCCTCCTAAATTTGTCATCAATAATTAATAAACTTTACGTCATGATTAAAATTCATAATTACAGATTTCCTTGACACACTCTTTTTCTCAACAACTTGATTCGAGAATACAGATACCACAGGGGGTTTAATTTAACAATTAAGAAAAATTTCCCTCTCAGTATCAGGCGTGCAAACATAACGTGACATCCTCGTAAATTTTGGAAATCAGGAAATTATTAAATCACAAAGAGAGTACCACGTGAAACGTTTACACTTTTCAGGAAGACGTTGATCAAAAGAAAATAATTCCTTTCAAACATATTACTTTTTCACACCCACAATAATAAAAAAAAAATCCTCCTAAGCTATTATCATGAGATTCAAGTTTACACCGCATTCTTAGTAACAATGAAGGTTCTTGAATAATTTTACCAAGAGCTATGAATGACCTTACTTAAAAAGCCACGAAAAAACTTCAGATAAAAATAAAATACAATACAATACGATAAAATACAATGTAAGATACAACAAAAATGAAAAAATGAATTAAAAGGCAAAAAGCTGCGCAAAAATTGTACATCAAAATAAGCAGTGACCAAATGTGACCCTCCACGGGATTTCGGAGAATTAGGTGAACGCACGCACAGGCACGCTCACACGCTAAAACAAAAGCACTAGCCTTTTAACACGTCAGTTTCGTTTTGCTGGTTCGTAATAAACCTGGGAAGTGATGAATAAACGATATGACATTCATATAATGCATTCACAGTCATTGAAATAAATTTTGATATAACAAACAACTTACAAGAGGGAAAAGTGTCCTTAATTTCACGAGACACGAATATGAATCTAAATTAAAGGTACATGTTGTGTAATTTATTTTTCTTAATTTCTGTTTTCCATGTTGACAAATAATTTTTCTTTCGTCTGTGGGTAGATTCTAACAACAATATGAAGCGCCGTCGGCTTAACTTTTTTCTTTAAAAATTTTTAAGATTCCCTCAGTACACATCGATCCAAGGTAATTTCTTATTGCTATGTCGCTATGGAAGCATTTCGGGGGTTTCCATTTTAATTCCCTATTTTGTTCTCTTCAAAAACAGGTGGAAATTTTGCTTTTGGCACGACTTTCATCATTTAAATTCTCTACAATAATAATTGTTTCAAGTGACTCAAGTCAGAATTCATTATTCGTATCCTATAAGTAATTGATCTGTTATGTAGTTGTGACCGCGGTGACACAAGCTGCTGTGTGATATTTATCACACTTGGTAATTTAAAGATCGATAACATATTCATCAAGGTAAGGCAAATCCATGATTTTATTATCTTTTCGGGTACATAAGCATTGACCGTCCAGCCTCGTATATTTAGATAGGATTCCCTCGTACAGCTACTAACTGTATATCGTTGATACCCTGCGTTGCGGTGTCGGTGGGAGAAGAATGTTTCTTAAAACAAGACAGTCTCTAATGAAAGTCAAAGCGTAAAAGTAAGTAAAATAAACGCATAGTTTACCATTATTTATTTGAATCTCCAAAACTAGCAGTTTTGCTTTATACTGTCCAAATCTTTTTCTTGATTGGCGGTGTTTCAAAAATGATGCAAGTAAAATAATTAACTTCAAATCCTTTCTTTTTTACGGAATACTAATTCTTTTTTTGGGATAGGCTTTGCGTTTTTACCCTTTCGTGGGCAACTTTTTTAGATTCGGACCAAAAAAGAAATTAAAAAGGAAAAAACCCCATCGATCAAATATACTTCTTTTAATATCGATATATAAATTGGAAAAAAATTGTAATGCAAGAATTTTGTGACGCACCACCGATCCCGTCAGTTTACACGAACCTTAGAACGGTTATGGCTTCCAAGATTACAAGCAGTTTGCACTGCAAGATCACAAAAGTCGTTCAGTGACATGAACCACCGTGAACTGTAACCACAGTAAGGGTCAGTTACAGAATTTTGTTAACTTCACACATTACCCCAACGAGAGAAAGTTCATTAAAATCACTTTGTCACAACACTTCGAATATTCGATCCATTGAACTTGTCATCGTTTGTAGAAGCACTTTTCTTTTTTGCCAGATTTTTGACTGTGAAATGGAAAGGAAAAAGGTTCGTGAACGGAACAAAAAAGAGAAAGTTGTCATTTAAGGGAATGAAATGATGATATATAAATACTAAGATTGATTGCACGAAAATTATCAGCATGCCAATTAATCAAGGCCATTAGCTAACTTATTGAAATTTAATATATTAAAGTTCACACGGCAACCAGGTGGACAATCAGACATAGTTTGATGCTACACTGGTTTGCAGATTTAATTAATGTAACCGAAGAAGTTACAATTCATAGACCCAACGTTTCGACACTCCTGTCTAGTGCCTTCATCAGGGGTGATCTAAACGCTGCAACAAGAGGTCCTTTTCTATGATCACTAAATAGTGGCCTTTTTTCTGACGAGGTGTAAATAGGCGTCAGGAAGCAAACCGCCATCGTCACGATTTAAAGGAGCGTGGGCGGAGTTAATATGCCAAGCCTCCAAACAAAGGCGCTGATGGTAACGCCGATTAGTGGTGATAATTTTAGAATTATCCCACTCAATTGTATGGTTGGTTAGGCAAGTATGCTCCGATAAAGCTGAATTTTCCTTTTTGCAAAGAAAAACCGCTTTTGGTGCTCTTTTAACCGTGTACCAAACTGGCGTTTGGTCTGTCCGATGTATTCGTTGTCACAGTCGTTGCAAGGAATAGAATAAATGGCGTCGGTTCGTTGTTCTTTCGTGACAGGATCCTTAGGTTTGGCGAAAATATGCCCCAAAGTCTGAAAAGGTTTTTTTTTTTTTTTTTTTTTTTTTCAGACTTTGGGGCATATTTTCGCCAAACCTAAGGATCCTGTCACGAAAGAACAACGAACCGACGCCATTTATTCCATTCCTTTCATCACCATTACATTTTCATTCCTTTACGAAAACCTTCTCACCACGGCGAAAGGTGTCGACGAGACATATTCAGCGTAATCAGAACTAAACTAAATCTAGGAAAGAGAACTTTACAAATCAACAGTACCAGTTTTAATGTTCTTGATATTTTTTGGATTAAAGTAAAATTTGATGTAAATTTATAGACGTCTGGTAAATATTATTGAAAAAAAGTTAATTGATTGTTATTATAAATAAAAATATGTTTAAATTTTAACGCTAATGATTACACTTTGTATCGTGAATTGTTTTTTGCCGAAACACTTCTCCTGTCGTAACGTTTTGTTCCAAATCTTAATGATATCGATTAACAAACTCTTTGTTATTAAAATTTGCCG